TACATAACCCTTGAGAAAAGCCTAGATTAGTAGGACGCGTGCTAGACTTTTTGGTACAATTATTGCAGGAGATACATACGAATTGTTGCCTATTTTCTAGAAATGACCTCACAAGTTTAGAATCAACTCCATACCATTTTAGTTTGTGTAGTAGAACCTCTTTGCAGGCCTTATCGTAGGCCTTCGCAACATCCAGCGCCACCATAATACATACATGATCATTCTCCCATGCTTTGTATACAAAATCAGTGATTTGATGTAAAGACAGTTTACTAATTATTTTGTATAGGGGGGAAGCCGATTTTGTATTACGTAGGTTAAAGTCACCGAGGATATACACATTTTTATGGTATTTACAGCATTCAGATAGGAAGTCGTCAAAAAATGCATAGTCATCTGTTAAGGTTTCCTTCTTGTAATTAGGATGGCGATATACACACGATATGATGATTTCCTTATTATAACGTAATTGCACGGTTAGGGTTAAATATTCAATATTGTTGGACGGGATATCATGAAAGTTATTAGGTTTTTTTACTTTAAGATTGTCTCTTGCTAGCACGGCAATACCACGGTCATGTGAATCGGGTCTGGCGTCTTTTCTAAATATCACGTAACCTGGAATTTGTCGTAAATTATGGTGTGGTTTAAGTCTTGACTCACTTATACACAATATATCGATGTCGTTAAGGGATAGGAATGCTTGGAGTTCATTAAACTTACTATTTATTGAATTTAAGTTGATGTGGGCGATTGTTAAGTTTTCTGAATTTTCCTTATTCGGCGAGGAACTAAAAAATGATTATTATATCTCAACGCAGGCTTGCTAAATGAAATATTACTATTTCTTACACTTGTTGCGGTTGTGCAATCGATTTGATTTACTGGGCCATGTCGCTCATTGTTGTGAGACCTAATTTGCATATTACTTTTATTATGTATTGCTGGTACATTGGTAAGAAAAAATTCACTGCCGCCGAAGCTTAAACTTCTGAACCATGACAACTTTTCCAAACTGGAGCTAGATGTGTGTGCTAAACCCCACACAAGTTTGGAATCCATAAAAAAATCAATGGTCTAGAAATGAGGCCAATCTCCCCTGGAACGCGTGCGTACTCCGATCGAGTGGTAGAAACGAAGACTCTGGGCTCGTGTCGCCGTAAAAGATTGACATTTTAAAAACAGAATAGTGTTTCCTACACGAAATTTCATTGGCTTTTCAGTTATGTACTTATTTTATCGAAATTCATTAAACGGAGTTCGCTACAATGAGTTTTTTCTTATAACAGTTCTTTTGCGGGTACTGGGTATAAACATGCGGAACTACTAATGCATTAAAATGATTTGCAAAATACTTCGTGATGAATAACAATGCAATTCACGCAGGCCTTGGTAGCGCTGTAAAGACCTTAAATTCTGTAGCCAACAAAGGTTTACAAAATTTTACAAATATTTCTATTAGCTCACAAATTTTTATAAACTTACTCAGATCATGGCGTCTTTGTACTTTTTAAAATTTTCCAACATAATTAACTTTTACTGTTGTTAACCATTATTAACGTAACGTATGAATTTTGCAAAGTACCAATTATATCAAGCTCTTTAATATGTTATAAAATTTCTTCCGCCCTTGCGCATATGAACAAAATTCGGGGTCTTACGGGGGCCGTAAGTTCCGAAAATACTGGGTTTTCGAGAGGATCATGTATCTGCCTTATTGTGGTAGCTCACGGTTTTTCAGGGCAATTCATGGTTTCCTCGAAATTTGCTGCGGCAGACAACCAATTCAAGCATGCTGGTGGGCGACAGGAACTTAATGACGAGAAGGATCCTTTCCTGGCCAAACTTGAAGATTATGTACATAAATTTGAGTACAACTTTGTGGATCGAAGGATACAATTGTTCATTCAACACTCTGTTTTAATCGGACCACGACAGTGACCCTCGCATCGAAACCTATATGAATTAGTATGGAAGTCGCATCGTATGCCAAAAACAAACTTGTTTATTAGGCATTACAAGTTAATCAAGTGACTACCTAACGCCGACGACTTTGTCGCAAAAATTAGCTTGTCTAGACAATAGCCTCGCACGTCTTACATAAATAAGTGCGTCTTTATGTACGTGTAAAAATACATATGTACTTTTCAACTTTTAAGCACAGTTTACAGGCCATGCTTATATGAAAATATGTAATGTATAATTAATTATTTATCAAATTTCATGCAAATTTTATCAGATGCATTTCACGTGGACACTTTGTCATACATATTCTCATAACGACAGTGAAACCAATTTAAATTTTTAAGTAAAAAATAACCCATAAAGTGATGATTGTTGCTGTTTTTCACATATACATAAATAAATTTATTTATTTATGTAAACATAAATGACTATACTTAATCATATATATACATAAGATTTAAAATAAATAATGATGTGAAAATTGAGTTATGGAGTTTGCATGAAATTAAGTCCCTTCATTCTGCACTACATATCTTCACGTTATGTTTCAAGTTACTAAATCTCGCTTTACAGATACATAAATATGCACATTTTATGTAAACGGAGAAAAATAGATTTTTTGTGTACCGCCTTAATTATTGCTTGGATGATTTATTTTTATATTTGTTCAGACAAGATCGCCTAATGATGAACTGACGATGAGACAAACAAAAATGTGAATGCAATGACTCGAATTAAACGCGTATAAGGACAGATGTCTGACATTTAATTATGTAGATCTACTACAGGACACGCATATTTAGAACCCAAAAAATCGTTTTATGATGTACCTGATGCAAATTTATGTAACATATTTTTGTTGAAAGGGTACCTTGTCCAAATAATTTTGTTGTTGTCCAAAGCCCAAACTTATTTTTATGATCCAAGCTCAATAGATAAATATTTAAGTGCTTGATTTTTAAAATCGAAACCGTTTATAGACTTGACTGGTGTGTCCTTCATTTATCTAATTTATGGATATCAATTAGGAACAATTGTGAATCTTCTAAATCCTAAAGTCGCATAGAGAAAATTAACGAGTTTATTTTAGATTATACATACTTACGATTAATTATTTAGTATTAATACTGGTTAATATATAAGTACGGATAATAAGACGTTTAAACTTTGTCAGCAATTTTTAAAATTATAAATTATAATAAAATTATTGAATTATAAATTTTTTGAGACTTTTTCTAATTTTATTCTTTCGTTATGAAAATAGTGTTAGTTGCTTTGCAATAAGCACTAACTCAGAATTTTGAAATCAGTTGTATTATGTTTGTAGTTCATAAGGTTAATAAATGTTTATTCTTACTATTTAGAATGGATGCGAATTTTAATGGGTGACAACCCTAACGGTTTTCAACTGCTTTCGCATTTCCGTTGTGAGCGTGTGTAAACGGTTTGAAGCTCTGCAACTAGGCCAACAATGCTAGGGTACGAAGTGTACCCTGCCGATTTACTTGAAATTTTAAAATTATGTGGTTCAACTAAATACAATCAACGTTTCTTGAGGCAGTTTGTGCGATGGTGGGAATTGGTCAAAATATTTTAAGTCAAGGTTGAAAAATGGGCTATTTTTACCATGCGGAGGAAGCAAACCCCACTTTCATTCCATTCAAATTGGAAAATTTCCCATGTTTTTAACATTAACCTCAAAAATTTGGGCAAATTCCCACCATCGCAGAAACTGCCTCAAGAAACTTTCGTTGTATTGACATGGACCTCATAATTTTAAAACTTTAACCATACCGGGGGGTTACACTTCACACCATCGCATTATACAAGTTCGATAGTTATATATTTAATTATTTACAAATATGTATGAATCATAGGGCAAATCTCCGGCAAATCCGTCCGACATTCAGATGCCGCCAGAAACAGCAACATTTGCCCAACCCCGCCGCAAAATTGGTCGGCATACATACACCTCTGATCCTATTAAGATTTTCAAATAAAATGATCAAGGATGGGTTTCATCCTTTTGTTACATTGGATTAAATGGAAGACGACAATGTTGTTTATAAATATACATATGTACATATATATGTATATTGTTATACATTGTAATATATATGTATATATATATTTACTGTTCATGTACAAAAATACATATTACATTAAATTAAATTAAAAATCCGTAAATCCAACACTTGTCGATAACATGGACAAAACGTGAGCTATATAAGTTATATGTACATGCATAATAGGTATACATTTGTATAGAGTTTACTCAGGTACTTTTCAAATATATTCTTACGTAAGTATGTGCCATCTTAAATGAAGTGCTCGCATCTCATACATACATACGTATGCACATACAAACATGCATGTATTGCGTACATTTTAGTTTAGGAAGTAGCTCCGGAAGCGTGGGGACGAAAACGACCCCGCCGTAATGTAATGTCCCCATCATCCGCCAACACCTAGGTACATATTTATGTATTCAATCCGTGAGTAAACCCTTTAATCCTCCATCCTACAAAGATAATGTCCCCCGATAGCTTTCGGGGCCACTGATCCTGAGTCGATGTGTCTAGTTTTGACTGCTTATCATGGTGACCTGTAATCTAAGACTAATTTATAGATGCAGATCACAACAAGGTTAGACCACCTGCTCGTTTGTAAACAGGTTTGTCTTACATAAATGTTTCATTAATTGATACAATTTAATGACAACTAAGAAACAAATGAGGTGGGTCAGGTACATAATTTAAGCATAAGTATCTCTTATCAATAAATCTACGTATTATCGCAGGGTTGAATTTTTAAGACGCGAATTATTTAAACAGGGTTACCAATCTCATGTTTTTGGTACTTTTGAGAATTTATATATTTTAGATGCACACTTTTTATAGATGAACGAACTTGTTTAAGACATGCATTGTATTTACAATGCATTGCTCCCTGTGGGAGATACTATTTGACGCGTTTCGTAATCTAATCGTTTTGGAACCTTGATTTGCAGCTTAGTCTGGGTTCGTTCGGTATAAAGTAAATATGTCTCCCTGAAATTAGATGTTAATCATTGTCCGACTCACGGTCAAGCAGTATCACCACCATGACGAAACTTTCAGCCTTCCTTGTTACCCTCTACCTTCCATTGTGGTTGTTTGTGCCCCCCTTAATTTTGGCATGGCTCCCTTTCTACGTTTATCGGTGCCTTGTCAAACTTATGGCATTACTGGTAAGGCAGAAATTGCATAGATTCATATTAGTGGTGAGCTGGGTAAGGATTTTTGAAAACCCAGCCCCACCCAAACCCGACCCTCCGGTTCATGATAAATACCCGGGTAATTGTTTGCATAGGCAAGACCAGATCTGATCAAGATGGTGACACCTGGAGACGCAATATTTTCTTATAATCGAATCCACACGTGTCCCGTAAGTACGGTGGTAGGACATCTGGAATTGGAGGGGGAAGTAGATCCTGACCACATCCAGGAGACCTTAAGGACCCAGATACTCACAGCTCGTGACGAAAATGGCGCCTTGCTGTATCCGGAAATGGAGTGGACGATCACGTATTTTTGGGGATTTTCATTTTGGGCTAAGGCCGCCACAGTTGAGAATCCCGTGAGGACCATTAAAGAAGGTGAATCAGAGGTCTGAGAAATATATTAATTCACGACTGGTGGATTTAGCTTTTTGAATCCATGCGTTCATCGGTTCAAGACCAGATAGACACGAACAGTCTGGTTCAAGTGCCTGGGGAGTGGAACTTAGTACCTGGGGAACGTCACCCAAAAGTTCCGATTCCCTGGACTTTTTAGTTATGCAAGTTACAGGGAATCTGAACCCACTTGTCGCAGGATTGTCGCAGGTGTCGATTCCCCGGTACCCTATTAGACAAAAGTTACGATTCCCCGGAACCCAAGATTTTTCTTCCATTTTTCATAAATTGGATAAAAATCTGAAGAAAATTTGAATTATCTCAAATTAACCTCCCACAAATGAAGAACATTTGATAAAAAAATTAGAATTTTTTATAGTTGCAAAGGTCCCTAAAATCACAAATATCTGACAAATTTGAGGAGCGGCAAGCTCAAAAAGGTACGGGGAATCGTCACCCAACAACTATTTTTAGGAAAAAATACAATTATTTTTAAGGAAAAATAATTGTAACATAATAATAACGTGATAATTGTAACAATAACTGTAAAATGTAAAATAACTGTAAAATTATGTTACAATTATTTTTCCTTAAAAATAATTGTATTTTTTCCTAAAAATAATTGTTGGGTGACGATTCCCCGTACCTTTTTGAGCTTGCCGCTCCTCAAATTTGTCAGATATTTGTGATTTTAGGGACCTTTGCAACTATAAAAAATTCTAATTTTTTTATCAAATGTTCTTCATTTGTGGGAGGTTAATTTGAGATAATTCAAATTTTCTTCAGATTTTTATCCAATTTATGAAAAATGGAAGAAAAATCTTGGGTTCCGGGGAATCGTAACTTTTGTCTAATAGGGTACCGGGGAATCGACACCCGCTAAATCCTGCGACAAGTGGGTTCAGATTCCCTGTAACTTGCATAACTAAAAAGTCCAGGGAATCGGAACTTTTGGGTGACGTTTCCCAGGTACTAAGTTCCACTCCCCAGGCACTTGAACCAGACTGACGAAGGACTCGCGGAGGGAGTACTCCTAATAGTTTGAGATTGCCACCCTTTAAACATACCCCTGGTAGCTCTGTTCGTACAATGTGGTTTTCAAGATAGCTTGTTGTCAATTGTGATCCCAAAATCCTTTGGATCTGGCAATCTAGCGGGTTACCCTACCCTGTGTACTGAATTTAATTATGTATAGAAACTGTCCGCTACGTGGCCTTTATTTCTTGAAGTCATAAGAGAAATTTCTTATTTTTTATACAGCAGACATTGATTATATTTTTTTCGTGTGTGTCACACTTTCAGCAATGACGCATGAAGATCTAGTCAATTTCAAAGCAAAGTTAACACACCAACCTTTCAAAGTAAACGGGCCCCTTTGGGAACTTTTACTCGTTCGTAAGAAAAACAATTCGGACGAACCACCCACAACGGTTGCACTGCTCCGATTCCAACACACTCTAATAGATGGCGTTGGCAGCTTTCATCTCCTCAAGAAGATGGTACAACCTCAAGCTGAACAATGCACTAAGGACATAACCATTTTATCCAAGAAGCCCGGAAGTATATCGCCAATTCGGTATTTGAGAATGCCATACGACTTTATGGAGACGTGCCGTGAATCGTCTCGAAGTGGGTGTCTGGCCAAAGAGGGAAAGGTGACACTGCGACAAGTGAATTTTCCTTCTGAAAAGCTAACTTATTCACAGCAACTAATTTTACTTTGACTTTACTCTTCAGAATTGGATTCCTTTGAGTGACAACTTTTTACCCTCCGAAGCAGCATCCCGTTACACTTTTCATATAAGTGAACCCATCGCGTTCAGCAGGATTCGACAGTTGGGGGCACAACATGGCGTGACTGCAAGTGCAGTTATGCATTCAGCAATTTTAGGGGCGGTTCGTACCTCATTGTGTCCGAAAGGGACTTCATTTATTACGGTGGAGACTCCTTTGCTCCCACCTTGGAAGAGGGATCGCCCCATGGGGAATAACATGTAAGCTAGTAAATATCAGGCCAAACTAGGTACATAGCTCTAATCATTAGCGGCTAATGTTGTTGGCTACAGAACGCATGGCAGGTACTTGGCCCCCATTGGGGAACTGGATGTTGTAAAACGGCTAATTCGTACCCACGAGGGACTCAGGACCATGAAGGAATCAACATACTCCGTAACCACAGCCCTAATCTCGAATGCCATCGGGACCCTTCCGCGACCTGTTTTAAATCAAATACCCATCAGCAGCAATGAATCTTATCGAACCATTTATGTTGGGAATGTTCCCGGTCCGCGGGAACAGACAAATTTTTGTGGCTATGTGGTCAAAGAAATGTCCCTGATTTACGGATTTTGTGTCGCTTTCCCAGGTAATTGTGTTTTTTTATGCATTTATTCAACTTGGAATAAAGATGCATGCCGTCTTTAGTGCTTGGAGTTGGGCTGCTTACATACGGGGACGATTTGAGGATCGGTGTCTTTGGAAATAAGAATCTGCTTCCACGCCCTGGTCAAGCGGAAGAAATAGCGTGTGGCTTTATGCAGGAGCTGGATGACTTACAATTTGTGGAATGAAGTCAAGCTCATTACGCTAATATTAAGTGTCGCAATTTCCTCGGAAAATTTTCTGATAGGTAATTTGAATTTTGGAAAATAATCTAAATTTATCAGGAAGCCTTTCCGATTGTTTTTAGACTATTAATATTGGTTGAAAGGTAGTGGTTGGAAAATTTTTACATAATCGATTAATAATAAATAGTGATATAAGTATGTACATACCCAGAATAAAATTAATTGCATTCATATCTGAGCGAAATGTTCAGGTCAGTTTGACTGCTTTAAGGCTACGGGACTTCTTGGATTACTTTAATAAAGGCGAATGTGTATATCAATACGTAAATTCATGCACGAAGGATATGTAACGTCTTAGATAATTCAATAATCTACTAATTTAATGTAAAAAATTTTATATTCAAATAATAAAAATTTTAAATTCTCTAATAACGCAGTGACTTCTGCTTCAAACAGAAGTTTTGATCTATGTACATGCATACATATTTTCTATGGCTGACAAAATGATCACCCTACAATAAAGAGCACAATAATAAATCGTCCATGAATTACGACTTTTCTCCAAGCTAGTTAGAGTGCAGGTCAACAGAATGAGTTTCTGGAATTGTACATACATACATAAACCTGCGTAGTTTAGTTATTAATGGTATCGTGCTTTCCAGGATTCTGTAGATCAATACAATATTTACATGCTCTCTAATTAAACACTAGTAATCCATGGATATGAAAATCTATAAATATGCAAGTTAGGAATGTTCATACGTATAACACCTTTAGCCAAAATGTACATAATATGAAAATTCGGTGGCATCCGTTAAATGCATAACTCGCATCATCTTTATAAACAACTTAGTCTAGACGAAGGACAAACCTAATTTTTGAAATTCGGATGCGTAACTAGGAAATAATACAATTTGAAAATTACCTAATTTAATCATTGCTTAACATTGCGAGGTATGTAAATAGGCATTTGTGAATATTTGTACGCCCAATTTTTTAACCAAATTTAAAAATAAATTACTAATTTATCTAGTTATGCAATAAAAACTAGGGATATGCAAATATATACAGTTAAAAGGAAAAGAAGAAACAAGAGGATTAAAAAAAAACACATAAGAAAACAAAAACAAACATAACCACAGATGTTACCAGATCATTACTAGGCTGTGTAAGCATATGACTCTACCGGAACGGTAAATAATTATTACGGATTGATAATACCAGAAGAGTAGTAAATTCATGGCATCGCAGTAAAAACTCAAGGTATGGCTCCAATAGTGCCTAGTTGTATCTTTACCAACTAGTAATAACCCTGTTAATAAACTTTATTACTACTGTGTAACAACTCCATTTACCTCTCGGTAAATGTCATTGGTTACTAACCAATGACATTTACCGAGAGATTAAAATCTAACCAATGGTTAGATTTTAATACCAGTTTGCTAGCTAGAGTGTGCTTGTGTATCCTGCCAATTATCTATGATGAAATTTGCTACCACCACTGGTCTAACTGCCTCTATCTACATATTTATGATTAGCCGAATTTTGCATACGTACATACATGCATAAAGTATAAACATACATACATACATATGTATTTGATTCCTTCAAACTCTTACTATCTGAATAATAAATCATACATAAATGAGATATTAAAGCGTACTTTTTAAGTCCTATTCAAATATATTCAAAATAAAGCAATTCGAGCAAAGTTAAATAATTCAAGACGTTTTCCTTACAAGGTCTACCCCAATTAGAGTTGTATTTACAATGCGTAAGGCATTAATGTGTCGAGCACTGCATAAATGTCTCGGGCATACATACATATTACATACATATTTACCGACATTAATTTAAATAAGGGACCATACAGATACCCATCAATGCCAAAATTATGTATGTATGTACATGGGTATTACTACAACACAATTCGCAAAAATTAAGCAAATCCCACAAAAATTAACTTGTATAAGAGGTCGAAATGTCATTTAAGAATAGACAAATTTCTTTAGACCAATATTTTTAGTCGCTTCTGCAGGCTCCGCCGAGGACGGCGGCGAACTCTTCAAAATGCCAACTCGCCTAGCTTATCAAGCATTATCTTTAACGTTTACCATGAATTCGTACCTATCCAGAACTCCGATTGAATTCGACGGGAAAAAGAGACGATTCAAGTACACAAAAATCACGCGGGAAAACATTCCCCGTTATGCGCCATGGTTAAGCGCAATCTTTTTCTTGTTTTACTTCCTCAGCATTGGATGCGCCTGGTACGTGATTTTGCGTCAAATTGTCAAACCCAATCCGCGGATTAAAGTCAAGCAGATCTTTGGGTACGTAATGATGAATACGGCGGGAACGATAGTGATCGGGGCGACGATATACGTTCTGAAAAGTGGAGAAGAAGCCGTTCAACGGATAAACTGGTTGGTGCGCCGATACGAAGAGATGTTCCCGGAAGACGGTAGGTAAATAGGTTAAGGTGCTAGTGGATGACTGGATGATGGGCTATTGATTTTTCATCTCACCTTACCCCTATTCAAATTTCTAAAATGGCCACAATTTCACAAGGTTCAAGGAAAATCAAACTGTTCTCACTTTTAAGTCAGGAAAGTAGTACATTTAAAAATGTAAAAAAATAATTTTTGAAATTGCAAACCATGTCCTTTAAATAAATTAGTAAATTAGTGTTTCGCCCAAAAATCTATTCTTGAAATACAGTAAACCGTCAATGTGTCATCCGACTCCATGGTAATAACTTATGAATAACACGTCTGCCCCACACTTCTCTCGCCACAATGATTTTCATACCGCGGTTAAAAATATGATTTGAATGCTGACTACCAAAGAAGCTGGTTACGTAATATTTTGTGTCTTTTCAGGCGTAGATGTTCCGTCAGCTTATCCGATCTGGAGGTTAAACAATGGCGAACTTGACACCTTTGGCGTGGCTGTCTTCGCCATGCTGGGCCCCCTTCCGGTGGTCCCCTTCTTGGCAACGGTATTCGGAATGATGGAGAACTTGGACGTGTACCAATACGTGTTGCAAGACGTCATACCCGCCAAGGTGTTTAACAACCTCTGGACTCAAATTGTGCTCAGGTCCATCTCCGCCATTATGATTTACGACGGTTTTGCGGAAAGCGCGAGAATCTTGGCCGTAATGGGAATGCTGGTGATAGCTCCGACCCAATTGATTGTCAGGATCGTTAGGGGATTGTCGCGTAGAGATATTGGAGAAACTGGGTAAATCCAAGTTATTTATACATTTAATTTGCATGGCCTTGGGATTAATGAAAGTGCGATTAATGATTAGGATTAGGGATTCATTTAAACAAGTTGGGGATTGTGGATTGAGATTAAGCCGTACATAAGTTTCCCTCGGTGTTGAGATTAATTTCGGATTAGAAAACAAAAGGAAATGCATAAAATACATATACATGGTTCACCCTTTGTATTGTACTTGCTGATTTAGGGATTTTCCGTTAGATGGCGCTGATTTGTTGCATTTCTTGCAAGAAATTATGCACTTTCTCGGAGTGATTTCCTTCTTGTGTTTCTTTTATACCGGAAGCACTTAAAATTGGACCAATTAATATGAAATGTCCACAAATAATGTCACGCATAAATGCGGATTTTTCAGACCCCCTTGTCCCGTGTTACACCCCTTTTTCCACCTATGGCACAAATCGTCTCTCTCTCACACACCCTCCCATAATTTATGACATAATTTATGTACATCCCCTTATTTCAATTATTCTCTAGTCGCATCGGTGATCATCCTATCAAGCAAATTCAACAAATTTACTCGGACTACGCCCAATTGAAAATCATTGAAGTCTCATTCCACGGATTTGAGGCGACTCTTGCCTTTGAGCTTATCGAGTGTGGAATCTGGCTCGCTGCTGCGGCTCTCTTTGCAACGCTGAAATTGCATCAAGTATTTCCACTGGGATTTTACGTCATGTTTCCATTCTTCGCATTTGCCATTTTGGGCATCTCACAACAATTGATACCCGTCTGCTCAAGCATGCATGAAAATTCGGTGAAAGCCTTGACCAAGTGGACGGCGCAGGTAAGTTCGGGAGGAAATGGGGCATTCGACAAGAAATATTTTAGGAAGAAATTCCGACCGTTACGCCCCCTCAGGATTGTCGCGGGATTTCGGGGCTTCATAATTTTTGTGATGGATAAATCGATGAAAACCTACTTTCTGCAGAGCATATTGGATAATACGATTAATTTGTTGATTAGCCTACCTGAATTGGAGACGAGTCAGGTGAGTTTTCAGGTATAGTTGGCAGATACAGATAATTGCACAAAAATGTATGAAGTTGATTGACAGTTTCCTGCGATATTTGAATTTTGCGCTTATGTAAATAATCTGTAATATACATAGACATATTAACTGCCACATTAATAAATAAAACTATGGCATTGTACACACATATATATGTATGTATCTACAAAGCTGAACAACAAAGTCGGCTTATTTTCTACTCTTAAGTTTCATCAGTTATTATATACTTAGTATGTATGAAAATGAATTGCAAAATATGTACTCCGTCCGTGATGCAGGATAAATAATGAGGAAATGCACGGAGGCCTTGGGAACATTTTAAAATCCGTCAATTCCTCAAACTTACAAACTTCTATCAAATTTCATAATGTTTCTATTGCAAATTAGGGTATACATTTTGGAAAACTAACTCTGATCAAGGACTTCGTTTTAATTCGGTAAAGTTTGTATATAAAATTATTTTCGAAAACTTACAGATTTTATTAAAGTTATCAATGATTGTAAATTGCCTCAAATAAATGTTCACAAAGAATATTTCCCAATAGTAGTAATAATTTTTTTGTGTGTTTTCTCACATGTGATTAATTTTTTCGGCTTTAACTTATAAATACTAAATTTGCACCATGGATGTAATGCACATGTTTAAATATAATAGGTTATTGCTGATTTTTTTAAAATTTATTGATCTTAAACACAATTTATGTAGGTTTTCAGTTAGTTTTATTTTTCATTAACATTGTTGTCACATTTTCGTAAGTTACTAACGCAAGTTGAAAATAGCCGCTTGGCATTTCTAGATAAATAATAAAATAAATTAAAAAAATCTAAATCTGAAATATTTAACCCTTAATAAATCTTGGCTTACGTTAATTGTCAAAATGGCTGCATCCATTTGGGCATCGTTTCCGAAAGCGGTTTTCAGACAGGATGCGTACTGTTTGATTTCGCATAATTGGTAAGGAATACATTATATATTTACTCAATATTTTCATAAATATTCAGAAATTTTAGTATGGAAAATTACGCTCGGAAGTCGGAGAGGATTTCTACAGGCGACATCAACATGAACCTTCGTGTCTAACGGAGTTCCAAAGATGGATTGTTGGCAGGAAACAAACTTTTGCTTATCGGCGGCCTAAAATTTTCAAAATTTCCAAAAACTATTTTGGTATCAAACATATTCCCTCGGAATTTTAACTAAATTTACCGCAAGTTGGTCGTAACAGCCGAAAAATCGGGCAGCAATGGGATCAGAATGATCTCCCGGGCAGTAGCAAAGGCTCTTGACGATTCTCAGCGTGGAGACTAAATCCGAACCGATTGCTGCCGAAGAAGCCGCGATAAGACCGAAGGTCAAAAGGATGACGGAAAATGCCTTCATTTTGAAAACTGGAAACTTGGGAATTTTGAGGAGTTTGGGATAGTTAGAAAATGTAACGGCTGTGATGTGATGATCGAGTTGTAGAGATACCGTCGGTTTTATACAGTTTTATGACGTACATAGTTTCTCATCAAAGGAGGATTTGGTCAATTGAACTATTCGTTTGAATAGCAAACAGATGTGCAAATTTATAATTGTTACTTCAATATTTGCCGATTATGTACATATCTAGATCACGCCTAAAACACGCCTTTTAAGCTAATACACAATTGCATGGATACAGATTCCTTAAAAAATTAATTATGTTTGAAGGTGAATTAAACGTTCCCTCTTGACTTTTTAGGGAACGTTCATGAAATACATAACGCAACGGGGGTGGTGTCTTGATGTCAACTTGCGTCACATGTTAAAAATGGGGTGAAACCCGTTAAAAGGAGGATGGAGGGTAGAAAATTTCCAGTTTTGAGTTAGATATTTTATCAACTTTCTTTTAGGCCTATAGCTTTTGACCCAGTCTAGATTTGAAACTTGCATAAGAAATACAACAGCCAGCAAATCATGTAGGATGCAAATATATAAGTGCATATAAGTGAATTTATATATACACTTCATGAGGAAATCTAGCACTTTTATATTTCCGGATGCTCATGTATCTACGTAAAAACTCAAATAGTAGCCGTTGCTCAAATAGTAGCCGTGCTCAAATAGTAGCCCTGCATTTTTTCATAATTATATAAATAGTGACCTTGCCCAAATAGTAGCCCTGCCCGAATAGTAGCTTTTATCGAATTATAGCTGTGGATCAACTTAACCACACATCTCCTAGCCAGCAGGGTATTCCGACCCAGGGTTTTATTGGGTTGGGTTTTTTGGGTTTTAATGGGTTTTAATGGGTTGTTAATGAATAAAACCCAACGGGTTTTACCATGTTAAATGGGTTTTATTTGGGTTTTAATGGGTTTTATTTGGGTTTTAATGGGTTTTATTAGGGTTTTAATGGGTTTTAACTGTGTTTTAGCTTAAAACTATATTCTAAAAGCTGAAAACAGCTGTCATACATTAAATGTCATACGAGTTCCTCTTTGACTTCCAACCGTGCACAACGTGTCTCCCTCTCGCTCTGCATCTGGATTCTCTTCCATCTGGGTCGCTGGTGTGCCAGGGCTAGTAAAGTGTGTCCTAAGGCCTCTACGCCATGTGAGCCTCGTCCACTCACACCCCCCACCTACGTGCCTGGTGACACCCCCTGCCACACCCGTCCCAGCAACGACAAGCTGAGCCATCAGGCGAAGATGGATCTCACCGGACTCTGTGCACGGGAGGATCTACGCCTTAGAGGAGCTCCCCCAGGTAAGACCTTTGTTTGATAAATTGGGGTGGTGAACATGTGGGGGTGGTCGACGGAAGAGTGAGTGTGCGCAGTGCTGGTGGGGGCGGCTGGGCTAGGTCTACGGGGTTCCCATGACTTTGTCATGTGCTGCGATGGGAGGGGTTAGTTTGTGGGGTGTATCATGGCCCCTTTATGGGGTCACTTAGGCCGAACCCTGAAATGGGTCCTTGGTTAGTTTGTGGTCCATGAATGCTCCACTCCAGCCTAATACCCGTCGTGTCCCTGCCAGCACGGCGCCTACTCATTTGGATGTCACCATTTTCCGATATGCAAATCGCTTATAATCTCTGTCATTCACTGGTCGAACCTGGGTTTACAGGTAGTCAGGGCCGAATGGTGAACTGGGCAACTTTTCCAGTTCAGGTAGAGGTTTTCCAGACTGGCCACCATAGTCTGGTTTTCCCTCTACTCCCCTGACTACTATCACTACTATCACAATTATTAAAATCAAAAATTTGACTAAAATATGTAACTAAATGTGATTGTGACTTGCAAGAGCTACTGGCTATTTATGCAATAAAGATACATACATACATACATACATACATACATACATACATACATACATACATACATTAAATGTCATACATTAAATGATCTGGCTAGTAGCCAGATCATTTAAGTAATTCAATTATAGTTCAGTTTAATCGCAATTACATACAAAAAATCGAAATAAACACGAAATTTGGCTCATCGAAGAAATGGATTAAGAGCAGGTTTAAACAGTAGAATTGTCATAGCTCCGATTCTAGGGGAGAAATTGGTGCTCTTATTAACATTTAATTTGAGCCTGATTATGGAAACAAAATTCAATAGCTGTGTGCAAATAGTAGCCGTACATCTTTCCGTCATTTAATAAATAGTGACCCTGCCCAAATAGTAGCCTTGCTCAAATAGTAGCCGGGTCCCAGACACCAATTTTGTAAGTAGTAGCCCCCGGCTACTATTTGAGTTTTTACGGTATTTACAAAACTTTAGGAAAAATATGTATTCCTTAGTCATATGCAAAATTTAAAAAAAGTTTGTTAATGATTTTTCGATAATGCATTATTTTTTATGTACATTTTGTGTTTACATAGCCATGAATGATTGAAAACTATGCAAATGCTTACTCTGCATCAGTGATGAGATTTTTGCCCCTCGTCCTCATTTTTGAGTGAGGGGGAGGAGTAAAGAGGGGGAGTAGCTAGTGTTTTTGCTCCAAAATGAGGGGAGAGGAGGGGAGGACTAAAAAGTTGAGGAATTAGTGAGGAGAGGGGAGGACGAGGATTAAAAATTTGAGGAGTTAGTGAGGGGAGGGGAGGAGGAGGACTAAAAATTTGAGGAATTAATGAGGAGAGGGGAGGACGAGGACTAAAAATTTGAGGAGTTAGTGAGGGGAGGGGAGGAGGAGGACTAAAAATTTGAGGAATTAATGAGGAGAGGGGAGGACGAGGACTAAAAATTTGAGGAGTTAGTGAGGGGAGGACGAGGAGTAGAAATTTGAGGAGTCGATGAGGGGATAAGAGGACGAGGAGTAAATTACTCCTCGTCCTCTTTACTCCTCTTACTCCGAGTAAAAGGAGGGAGTAAGACACAGATATATACATATACTACTGTCCGCTCTGTGACTGTCCGTCTATCTGTCTGTCTTTATCCACGATAACTTTAGAACAGATTCAAATTTCGCCATGCGGTGTTCGCGACGTGTTTCTAATTTTGAAGTACGGATGAGTTCGAAGATGGGCGTCGTAGATCATAAAGTCACGGCGCTACGGTGATGACATAAACGGTCTAAGATGTCGAATTTTTTATTTTGACCGTTTTAGACTTATTTTTAGACGGGGATTTCAAAAATCGCCATCATTTCGACGTGTGACGATACCATGACCGTGTAGATGTCGCCCAAGTCGAAAATTGTTGAATTTTTCGTCTCGACCGTTTTAGACGTAGTTTTGAGCGGGGATTTCAAAAATCGACGGTTTTGTCATTTCACGACCCTATGAGGAGTAGAAATTTGAGGAACTGGTAAAGGGAGGGGAGGGTGAGGACTAAAAATTTGAGGAGTTAGTGAGGGGAGGAGAGGAGGAGGACTACAAATTTGAGGAGTTAGTGAGGGGAGGAGAGGAGGAGGACTACAAATTTGAGGAATGGGTGAGGGGAGGGGAGGATGAGGACTTAAAGTTTGAGGAATGGGTGAGGGGAGGGGAGGATGAGGACTTAAAATTTGAGGAATGGGTGAGGGGAGGGGAGGGTGAGGAGCTGATCAAAAGTCCCAACTCTGCTCTGCATACATGCATACCTATATACCTGTCCTCTTTACCACCCTCAAAAATGGTGTCATTCGAAAGATAATCACAAGGGCTTCAACTTTAGTCCTTATCACTTATGCTCTCCGGCCACACCCAAGGCCTGTGGGAGTGATTAAAGTTTGCATCAATTTCGTACAAATAAATATTGATGCAAACTTTAACCACTTCCACAGGCCTTGGGTGTGGCCGGAGAGCATAAGTGATAAGGACTAAAGTTGAAGCCCTTGATATTATCTTTCGAATGACACCATTTTTGAGGGGGGTAAAGAGGACACATTTGTCGTCCATGTGACCTGTGACCTTCAAGGTCATGACCTGAGACCTTACATCAACATTTTCTTACAAGTTCGTATTTTATATAAATTTTGGAAGCAACTTCAAAAATACGAACCCTTATGATTGCTCCCACGTGGGGTTTGAGTCATGTAGTACGTGAACGACCAAAATTTGGGGGTTGCTTCGTTGCATTAGGGTTGAGAGGCGCGACAGGCCTGTATGTACTATCCCCGTACTTAGGCTTTGCACCTCATTTGCATAAATCTCAATAGCCCATTTTCGGCGATACGAGCTTTCCATGTTGAATAAACTCTATGGCTCTCGCGAATGCGTTAAAATATGCAAATGAGGTGCAAGGGCTGAGTGCGAGGATAGTATGTTAGGATATGTAATCTCAAATGCATGTCAATATGCAAAGATTGGTTTGCATTTTGAAAAATTATTTTCTGACAATTCGACCAAAACATGAAGGTTTCCGTATTGCAAATGTATTTCTATTTTAAAGCTGTCTAGGTTGATGGAGATGATGGTGAAAAGAGCACATTTGTGTATGTCTTATACTTATACATATGTAAGGAAATTGTACGGTTCTATGCATCTCACAAATATAAATTGGTGGTTAACTATGCAGTTTTGCATTATAGTTTTTTGCACTTGTGTTTATTCCTGATTACATTTAGATACTTCTAAAATTACAAGGTGTTCGTAATTTGTTTGTCAAAATAATATTTCTTAATTGATCCGGTCGAAATTGTCTCATTTCATTCCAAAAATTGCACCTTGGCATTTCTAAGAACAAAGAAAGATAACTTTAAGCAAGACGTACTTAATTAGAACATACATTTTTAAAATGCTAAACAAATTTTGCAAAACTTACGTTAATCGTCAGAACGGAAGCGTCCATCTTGGCGTCATCGTTGAACGAGGTCTTCAAGCATTTGGCGTACTGTTGAATTAAATACATACAAAAATATAGTTCGAACCTAAGTCTTTTTAAGGAAAATGGACACACACAAATGATATGATCAATTCAAATGGTAACCAAATCAACTTAAAAATCAACCATATGCTTTAGGTATGATTATTTGTTTACCTCTGGGAGCAACAGTGGATTCTTGCAGGCCACATCGATATGCTCCTCGGTGTCCAAATCTACCCCAAAAGTAGACCACTGGCATACCGTGAAGATTTCTTTCTCGTCAGCCTGTTAAACCAAACGAATAATTGAGACCGTTAGGTTTGTATGGTTAGTTTTTTATCCAGTGTACACATCGAGACAATTCACGAAGGACTTAGTAATTCGTAAAATCCGTAGGCTTCGTAAAATAATTTTACAAACTTGTACAAAAAAAGGAGACGCCCTTGATCTAAGCAAGTTGACAAAAATTTGAAATTCGCCCTAGAAATGTTTGTAAAAATTTTGTAAAAGTTTGTAGGTTTACAGAATTTGCGGATTTTGCAATGTCACCACGGACTGGGTGGATTGCCTCAATATCTGTTAAACGGCGGTCGCAAGATGTGCATAACTCTGCCACTTTCTGGCATAATTCGTTATGGCGAATTTTAACCATTTCGGCTACACTTCGTTACAAAACTTGGTAGCAAATAACTGCTAATTTCAAATGTCTTTACCGGGATGAGGTTGTAACAGTCGGCAAACCGTTTGGCGATCGGGTCGGAATGGTCTCCGGGGAAGTAGCAGAGTTTATTGACAATTCTCAACGTGGAGATCAAATCGGACCCAATCTCTCCGAGGGCGGATGACATGGCGACAAGTGCCAAGATGGAAACTGCGGTGGCTAATTTCATTTTAATGCAGGGTTCGAGTTTGAACTGAGGTGAAAATTATTATTTAGAACAGAGTGACTTTAAAGTAGAAATGTTTCTCGGTTTTATACGAGTTGGTATGGACGTCAATTGTGACATTGTTATGCAATTCGGGATTATTGAAACACCTGGACGAAATTGTGTGCATGTAAAAATTGCTAATCAAGGTTATACTGTACAAATGTACAATATTTGGTTAACTGAAAAATACAAAGCCTTAATGTTATGCAAATGTTGACTTGCAACAATTAATCTGCACTGGATAAAGCAATATACACTGTTAGAAATCCAGTATTTACTCTACCAAAGTGGTACAGATATATATGTAGGCAATACATTGTAGTAATAGCTCGCTATTAAAGTTTTACCATATCAGTAGCAAATTTTTATGGACGAATATAATTTTAATACCAAGCAGTAGCAATTTTGATACCGAAAAATCAATACATATATTAGATTTATTCCTATAAACATACACACATAGATTTGTATGCGTTGCACGTGGTCAGGGAATGATTTTTCATCAAATTAGCATATAATCTTTATTTATTAAACGGTTTAATTTAAACCGCATGTACCATGTTTTACACCATGAACTTGTGGTTGGAATTTGTGTAGGGCAGAATTTTGGGTTCGAAAAGTGTATGTACATACATATTTAGCTAAGAGGTCCGGTTAGTAAAAATTAAATCTGCTGAATCCGGATCAAGTAGGATTTGATTTTTGTGGTTTATTGCGAATGAATGGAAAGAGCGGTGTGAAGGTGACGCAATCCTTTCTAATATCGTAAAGTAAAAACTCTAAAGCCCGTAAAGTTCAAAATTATCATAAAATTGTGCAATGTTTTCGGAAAAAAAAAATTTCATGTATAAGTTATAATCTAAACACCCTTATACATATATTTATGCTCCGTTACATACATACGTGCTAAGAGAGTTGAAGGACGTCTTTATTTTAAAAAATTATAGAACCGTTATTACTAAAATTGCGAAGTTTGTACGTTGCTACATTAACTGCTACATTATTAAAGGACCTTCATGGAAATGCTTTGTCTGTGAGTCTGTCCTTATCCAAAATTCTAACTAAAATTCTAATTAATTCAAAATTTCTGCAAAGAAAGCGTCATAATTATAAATAAACCGTAGTAACGTTAGAAGTAGCTCACCCTGTAATAATGATTTGGTTATAACTTGCCCCAAAGGTGGAGAAAAATGCAACAAAATAGATACATAATTTTTTGCAATTATGCACCAATGGTGCAGAAAAATCCAACAAAGTGGATCAATAATTTTTATGCAATGTTGCACCAATGGTGCAGAAAAATTAAACAAAGTGGATCAATAATTTTTATGCAATGTTGCACCAATGGTGCAGAAAAATTACACAAAATAGATGAATAATCATTATGCATCGAGAAGACCCCAAAACTTGTGCATCACTGGTGCAGAATTACCTACCAACGATCAACGATAATTTTCAAAAATTTATGTCAAAATTGTCTAATAAAATCCGCTGACTAGTATGCATTATTGGTGCGTTATGCATCAAAGCCCCCAATTCTTTCGCATCATTTGGTGTTTCCGATTGTCAGATACCAACGGTGCTATTAATTTATGAAAAAATGGACCTGGGACATTTTAATTAGCATCAATTGATGCAAAAAGGTCGTTAACAGACAGACGGACGGACAAGAGGAATTCAATAGCTCCCGTGCTACGCAGGGTGAGCTAATAAAAGCTTTTTCCTCCCGACATTCTGCACCATTGGTGCGTAGGGCATCCCTTCTCCAATTATTTACTATAAAATTTGTATATTTTAGCCTCAATGGTGGAGAATAATGGAATAAATAGAACTGAAATCTGACATGATTTTGGGGGGAAATAGATGGCCCAATTGTTACGCATCATTAATTTTTGGGGGGAAATAGATGGCACAATTGATACGCATCATTTTTAATAACCAATTGCTCGGTACTAACGGTGCTACTTATTCCAAAATTATAGTCCTATCTCGATCTATTTGCTGAATTAACTTGCACCATTTGCGTACGGATTGTTTGCTACATATGGTGCTCCTCAGACCGGTAATAATGGAGCAGGGACTTATTAATTCGCATCAATTGATGCAAAAAACTCGTCAACAGACAGACGGACAGACGGACAGACGGACGGACAAGAGGAATTCAATAGCTCCCGTGCTATGCAGGGTGAGCTAATAAGGTTCAAATATTTTAATCCGGATTTCTTCAAAGTTAACAAACTCATGTATACATAAATATACGATAATTGTGGTACATCCGTTGTCTCCAACCAAATAAAACAATGCCGTATTGATTACGACCTAAGTAGAGAAACTCCTTTGTTTCCATTTATGAAATCCAGTAGCCTTGTCGGAAGGATAAATGAATTGCATAACAAACTTTCCCATTCTGTAATGAACATTTAAATGCATCACAAACTTATATATGAACACCTCAAATTACAAATTCCATAAAAAACAATTCGCCTCACTTCAGCCTTAAATATTTCGAAGCAGTTACCATGCCAACTAAAAATAAGTTTCCACCAATTTTCTCTCACATTTTCTACCTCCTTTGCCTCCCCATTCTGGTCACCTCGGACTGCTGCCACCGTCAGAAACAATATGGTTGGGTGTGCCGTGGCAGCCCGCCAGACAGCCCCCCACAGTATTCGACCGACTCCATCTGCGCTGACTGCACTCTTCCCACGCCCTACTGCGGCTACGGACCGTGCAATATTTGGGGCTGTGATTGTGAGGGTGGATGTCGAGATTATCCCAGTAAGTGGACATATTTCTACATAAATCGTCTTAAATTTATCCAGCATTCATTTATTAAACAGATGCTACGCCGCTATTTAAAATAATGGACAAAATTAGAAAAAATAGAAAAATTACACTGTTAGAAATGGGGCTACAATTATAACCAAAAAGTGGTTATAAATTTGTCATCGAGTGGTTACAATTGTCACCGGCTAATTATAAAGTTTCGTTGACTTGGTATTAAATTGTCACCAGAGCTAATAAATTTATAACCAGTTGGTGACAAATTTATAACCACGGTGGTAGAGTCACATATTTACGTTTACTTTTTGGTTATAACCGTAATCCCATTTCTAAGAGTGTAGAGATTAAATTGGAAATTAAATTATAAAAATCAAAAGTAAATTATTAGTTATGTAAATATAAGATTTTTTTACATGAAAGTATTTAATTTTTTAATAACGAAGTCACATTTATTTGGTACATAAATGAATCTCGCTAATTTCCATTTTGCGACGACCCAGGGCCCAGAGGACAAACGGCCGCAGATTATGATGCTGTGATGAGGGAGTCAGTGAACGCTGTCATGGCACAATTCGACACGGACAAGGACGGTGGTATTAACATTCATGAGTTTCGTACCATGCGAGACATAATGGACATTGATGTTCTGGAGGAGTTTGAAAATTTGGATGAGAATCAGGATGGATTCATTAAACCGAACGAGATTGATGAGAAGTATACGTAATGATTTTCCCTGTAGATTTTGATCCAAATAAATTTAATTGTTCTTTATATATGTGCATACAGTTTGTGCAGAACATTAAATAAAGAAACATGTTTACACTATAAAACCAAAAGTTAGTGTTATTGATTCATAATTTTTGTCAAATTTTGATTGTGCACCATAATCCCTCAAAATACAAACAATACATGCATATGTACATACATATCAGTACATACATATATATCCCGTCATTCAAATCCATCCTTATTGTTAAAATTGTGGTAAAGTCATATATATACTCCGTTCTGGTATTAATTTAGTGATAACTTCCTACCGGGTTGGTAATGGTTTGTTTCTGAGTGGTCTTTCATCACCTTCACATTACTGAACGGTAATTCTCTTTACGGTACCGGTGGAGTCATATACTTACTCCAGTCAGTAATGATTTAGTACCATACTTTTTTAAAAGTGTACATTTGTGTGTACATACATTGTATCACTGCTTAGCTTGGCCGATTTTCTCACTCCTTGTGAACACTGAAAATGCAAAGTGATTTTCTTCGAGTTCGCCGCATAACGCGTGACAGTCGACAGTCGACACATCATACGCACATCCGAAACATACAAGTATGGGATAAAAACCATTTGTATTCCATGTACTTAATAAGTACTACTTATCAGTTTCTACATATTATCTAGTGAGATGTGATGGGTGCCAAAAACTCACACTGCGAGGATGAGTCACGTCACCTTTTTCCTGCGAAATGTGAGCAAAAATGATCATGCCATGAACAGATATTTATGTATCGTCATCAACTCTGGTCAATGTTTACGGCAGTCGTGCCAAAAACAGGGGGAAATTCCACCAAACTCTCATCCATCCATAAGTATTCAGACACATGAAGCTTGAAGACAAAAAAGGAGTCAAAGTTTTTACTTTTTGTTACCAAAAGTTTGTCAGTTTCTCGCACTAATCGTGCAATTAGTTATGGCCCAATTAACAGGTAAGTATACATTTACATATTTATATGAATTTAAATATCTGCGCTTCACACTTTTTTTCAAATGTAGATTTAGATATATATTTGAATTATAAATTGAAGCATCACCAAAACCATGCCTTGCGCCCAGGAAATATGGTAATAATTGACCAACCGCACCTGCAAAAAGGAAGCTTGTCCAGTCAACCGATTAACAATTTGGGAGACAATTCATCCCCTCCAATTAGCAAGTCGGGCTGGTGGGCTTGTTTAATAGAATTCTGCTGCTCATCAAGCGAGAAATGGGAAAAATCTAAAGAAAAAGAGAAGAGTTCATCCTGTATTGGGTGTGATTGTAAGGGGAATTATGATTACAATTGTTTAAGTGGCTGCGACAATAATGGTGAAGATAGTGTGGGGTGTTGCGACTTTGGCGGGTGCGACTGTGGTGGGTGCGACTTTGGCGGGTGCGACTTTGGCGGGTGCGAATGTGGTGGGTGCGACTGCGGTGGGTGCGACTTTGGCGGTTGCGACTTTGGCGGGTGCGACTGTGGTGGGTGCGACTGCGGTGGGTGCGATTGCGGTGGGTGCGACAGTGGGGGGTGCTAATCCGTAAATACATAAATATCTGGGTTCAAATTATCTATATATCCATTTTTTTACTTTTAATTTTTGTCTCCTTACATATATCTAACAAAACCAAAACCTACTTAGATGTACATAAGTATGTACATACTTATATATTTACATTGTTTGTATGTATAAATGTATGCTAGAAAAATATTTTGCTTAAATTTTATTACTAGTACAAACATAAATTTACATACTATATATAATATTTATTTGTCCACTTAAAAAACGAGAATACATAAACATATGTACGCTTTTTTAAATTTGCCTGAGTTGGAAATTTGTAAACCAAACATTTGATTGTAAATAAATTCAATTCTAAGCAATATTATAATATTTGTACGTATGTATGCATTTCATTACAAATAAGCGATATAATTACATTCAATAATATATGCCTGCTATGCTATTTTTGCTGGTCACCTCATTTCCATATATGTGCATACATATTTACATAATACAATTAAATACTGATGCACTAGCCAATAAAATAGAAGAAATTACTTAACATGGAAGACCCGTATCGCCGAAAATAAGCATATATATTATTCATATCTTTATGCAAACGAGATGACCCACAACAATAATTCTGCTATGTGTACACACATACATACATGTACCTTTAAATAGACTGCTACCCATTTTTAAAACTATTTGAAATTAAATGCAATCTAAATTAAGTAAACTGTACAAAATCCAGAGTAACGCTAATTGAAAAAGAGTATTTGCTTATTATACTGAACTTAGCGTAGCAAACTTCGTACACAATTTTGAATACACTTATTTTCAAAGGGTAGCATTATGTTTAAGAGTGTGTGCATGCATGTAAGTACATACACGGAACATTTTTATGTACATACGTAGAAATAAAATTTCGTTCACGACAGTAATATCTATGTACATGCATACATACAGAGCGTTGCTTTTTTATCTGATAAGGATTTTGACCTTGAATAACCCCGGAACGGTTTGTCGTAGCGGGTCAAAATTTTGAACAGAGGAGCATGTTATCCTCAGATGAGTGTGTGCAAAATTTCAACTCTCTACTTTCAAAAATGCCTCTCCCACAGCCCCCAGAAGTTGAAACACTCATTTTTACTCTTTCCAAATTCTGTCTAAAATATTCGGCCTCGGCAGAAAAATTTTCTTTTTAAGTATCCGAAGCCGAAGAAGTCCATTTGACTTACATCGGGGGATTGTACAGGTATTTCACTATTCAAAGTGATTTTTATCCCCAATCTAGCTTCAAGGTCCTTTGCATAATCTAGGGTCAACTCTGCCATCAGGAAAGACGCTGCGTCATCTTGAAAAATCACCTCATTTATTTTTTTACCTTACAATTTAGGAAAATGTAATTCTAAAAGTGGTTTTAATACACGGTCCACATCATACTTTACAGGTTCCTTCACTTTTTGGGGGACTTTGATAAGTGGGAGGACACCACGATCCGACATTGCACCCACCACCATAAACTTGTTACAAAAGTTCTGCTTACGGAGAAGCACTGACTTTCGTGAATTATTTTCGGCATTTGTCGTGTAGTAAGCTCTTCAAACCCAATTAGTAATTTGTGGGGAAAAGAGTGCTTCGTCAAATGTCACCAATAACAAACTCCTATTCCCTAACAGAAAATTTGAATAAATTTTTTTGCAAAGACGGGCACGATTTTTTTCCTGTTTTTCGGTCAGCTGATGCACACGAGCTACACGACGAAGTCGTTTCTTCAAAATCTTAATTTCTCTTTTCACTGAACGCTTAGACACCCCAACCTTACGGGAAATTTCCTTTTGGGTCGGTGAATTGTCTTTTGAGGTCAAGAGGTCAATTTTCCTAAACACGGTCGGAATTGACACTTTTTTTGCCTTCTTAGAGGGGGTGGTGGTTGCCCTTAACTCAAATTTTCTCGCTTTTTACCTATATTTTTCTATACCTTATTGATTCTAGAATTCGAAACCGTTTTCCTTTCACTTTTAGGATGTTTTGTCTTTCGGCTGTACGAGTACTTAAGTCTGGAAAAAGTTTTTATGACTGTCTCAACTTCTGGGGGCTGTGGGGGAGGCATTTTTCAAGGTAGAGAGTTGAAATTTTGCACACACTCATCTGAGGATAACATGCTCCTCTGTTCAAAATTTTGACCCGCTACGACAAACCGTTCCGGGGTTATTCAAGGTCAAAATCCTTATCAGATAAAAAAGCGACGCTCTGTATTATGTACGCAATGTACAAACACATAACATTGTGGGCTAGGTTAGGTTAACCACAGCGTTATACATATGATGTTGCATGTGCATATTTATTTACATATGACGAATCTTGAAAACATGTTACATTACACATCTTGCATATACTTTCCCCATGAATGCATACAAGAAATTGTACCCATTTAACACACAAGTCAGAACTAAATTCTGCCTTGTGCAAAGTTTAACTCAAACTTTTTTTATCCACGTCGAACTATACACATAAACCAACATGTGCTCACCTTGCCATGTTCGAGTTTTAGTAAAGTTTCAACGACAAAGAGTAGAATTTATGTTCAATAATTAATTTTTTAACAAAAAATGTAGGGGAAAAATCATTCAGCAATGAAATAATTGGATACTTTATAAATATTTACCTCGTAATGGGAAGGGTATCATTTAAATTAAAACATTCCTCATCTTAATAACCACACCAGGGAGAATTATTTGCAGGTAACGTGCATAATTAAATAACTAATAAAAATGGTGTAGTTATTTGCAAAACAGGTGAAAAGAAAGCTTGCAAATGTACATATACAGATGAGGCTAAATTAAAAGTAGGATATTTAATAAGAATTTGATCCTTTTTTTGGCCGGTGCGTTGTAAAAAATTGTTTATAATTCATAGCATTGCTACCTGATTTTGCACTGATCGCAAGATTTTCATTCATACATAACGACTGGACTTTATACACAATTTAAAAAGATAAAAACATTCCTTATGTAATACAATATTCGCTTGTGTCAGGTTTATAAGTACGATAAATAATGGGCGTACTCACGACAACTTCTTATTTCGCATCGCAACTCATTTAGCGAAGATCAAAATATTTCTGTCGTGAGGGGATTCGCAAAATATGACTTCGTAAATCTCTCTAATCTCGCAAATCTACTGAAAAACACAAATTTTAGTATTGTTTCCATAGTTCCATGGATTTCTCTAATTTCTCCTACTGGGGATGGTGAGGATAAGTTTGCGAAATAATCTTGCGAAATAAGAACATGCCCAATTGCTAGGTAAATTTGCGAAGAAAAATCCCATGGTTTTCCAGCAAAATTTTTGCGAAATCTCGCATATCTCGCAAAACTTCGCAAGTTATGTTGCTATGCTCAATTTGCGAGATATGCGAGACATGCGAAGGTTTACGTTAGTACGCTCAATGTGTATATGTATATGTTCGCAAGTATGTACATATGTACATAGTGCATACATAATATGTAAGTACACGCACTAACTTACATACTCATGTACATACGTACATTGTGCATATGTACATATATGTATATATGTATGTACATAAGTATACATGAACATAAATTTTGCTCAATTTTTTCTAGAATACAAATTTGTATTCTAGAAAAAATTGACTCTGATGTATTTATACATCAGAGTGTGTATTTATTGCATCATTTAAATTTTACGCAAATAAATGCATATCGATATACAGTCAATTCAAGATATAAGTAAGCACAAGCACCACCATTTTTTACGGGTGTGTTCACTGTTCATCGTAAATATGTTTATGTTATTATTAGAAAATGCAATTTGCACAATCCATATTACTTAAATATTGATCAATGTGATTGCCAAAGTTCAACCTTGAATTTAAAGTGTATTATTTTATTTCATTGTTTCCTTAAATAGACAACGCTTGGAAACCATGGACCATTTATCGCCGGTTGCTCAAGCCTTATCCAATCCAGTTGTAAGTTGTTACATTTTGCATGCATTTTGCAAAATAAAATATGTATGTAATCATTAAATTTTTCAGTAAATTGCAATTAGAAATTTTTTAAATAATGCCCAACACATGAACACGACCTTACAAATCTAGGAATATGTATCGAATAATTACCAAATAATGGGGGTATTCATTACGAGGTAGAGTGTTCGCATTGAAGCATAATTTTGAAAAACATGCGAACAAAATACATGTGTACTCGCCTTGGAATTTCCAAGTTGGAAATGCGCTATTTCGAATTTTCCAGACAAAATGTTCGTGCTTTTTTTCCCTAACGTTGCTAATGATACGAACAACTCGTAATGACTACCCCCAATATTAGACTATCACCAAAAATTATCCCCCCCATTTTTTTTAGATTCTACAAGAAATCTTCCAGTACAAATCCCTCTCCGGAAAGGACCTCCGTCTCATCTCTAAGCTATGGAACGAAGTAATCCTCTCCCTCCCCCGGCCAAAACTCTGCCTCAAACTGAACCCCTGCATAAAACAAGCCTGCTGCGACCCGTCCAAATTCCTCGACCAAATCTACCCCACCATCTCCACCCCCAAGTTGGCCCGATGGATCAAAATCTCGAAAGGGTGTCAGACCACCCACTTAGACGCCGACAGCAACCACTCGCGGGAGGCGTCCGACATCTCCGCAGCAAAGCTAATTTCCACCATGTGTCAAAAGTACTCGGAAACCATTCAAGAAATCAAGGTCCACTCGAGACTCACCATTCTTCCCACCCTGTACAAAATCCTGGCTAAATCCTGCCCAAAGCTGAAGCGCTTAAGTGTCACGTGTCCCCGTCGGCGGGGCGGGATTGACCCCACCGTCGCCACGTTTGATTCCCCCCTCCCCAAGAAGTTTAAACTTGAATATATCCGCTTCATCCTGGACGACCCGCCCCATACCTTTATGCAACAGATTGTTAACGCCGCGCCAAATTTGAAGACGCTATTCATCGTGGGAAATCTGTACCCTGATTTAGCCAAGACTCCCAACATTTCCCGGCTTTTTCACTACGGCCGAGGCAAAACGGGGCCGGGCGGGTCGAGCCAGGCCTTCAATGGGGATTCGTTGACGAGACTGATTTCGCAAATTGCGAATTCCTTGATCTACTTGAAAATCGGGTTGAACACGGATGAAGGCAAGTATTCCCCGGATACGGCCCCGGATACCTTTTCCCTGCCGGAAAACATGCCGAAATTGAAGGTGCTGCATAACCGATGCGTCGACATTTTTAAATGTCCCGACGAAATGGGGGGATTGATCGGGGCGGCGAAAAAGTTTAAGAATTTGGAGCACATTTTGTTCGGCTGTAGCGCCGCGGCGGGGAAGGAATTGCTGGATAAGTTTTTGGAGGTGTTGTTCAGCTCGAAAGAGGTGTTGTCGAGGGCCGTGAGGAAAATCGTGGTTCAAGACTTGACCGAGAGTTTGGGTCCGTTGGCGAAATTGAGAAATGTTTATCCCACCGTGACGGAGGTGGAGTTATACTTTTTGCATAAGGTGAATGCGCCAGAGGAAATGAATCCAGCCGTGTTTAGCAGTCAGCTCGAGTTGCTACTGCAGATTGGGGGGTTGAAGAAGATTACGCTTAATATGACGATGGACTTGAGCCTTTCGGACTTTGTGAAGGCGCTTTCGGACAATAAGGAGCTATTTAAAGGTGGGTACATTAATGGGTTTGTCGTGCGTGCATAGGTCACAAAATGGGTTGAAAATATTTATAAAGTTGGTGACACAGAAATATTTTTCGCTGTATTTAGATAAGCTACTCTTCTTTGGCTATTATTTCCATACTTATTTTTGTACAATTGCTTAAAATATGTGCATATTTATTGTCGCATAGGAAAAGGACTTAAGCAACTCATGCTTCTCAGAGAGTCTCCCACCAGCGATATTTCGGATGATTTGTACGAGTCTGGAAAAATAGAAAAATATGGTATTAAGAATTTCATCAAAGAGTTTGAGAGCGTCCTTTTCGCCACGAAGGGGCTGGAACTCGTAGTAATTTCCGGCGTGATAGTAAGTATTTTCTTCCGTAATTACGTGCATGCATACTAACTTTTGAATACGTATATATGTACATCAATATGGACATTCAATATGTATGTACATACATGTAAAAAGTAATTGTATACCGACTAATCATGTATGTACACTCTAAATAATTTGGAGACAAATTGACACCCGTGGAGGTACTATAGTGCTCAATTTTTTGGTAATGATTAAGGAGACGTTTTGTCACCAAGGGTAAATACGTAAAAAAATAGCGCATGAAACTTGCATGACGTCGTTATTTAACAAGTTGAAAATTTTTTTTATCTAAATACAAGTTTTTTTTTCATGAAAATACATACATATTTATTGATTTTTTAAATAACAATGTTATCCGAGTTTTTGACTTATTTCCCGTTGGTGACAAAACGTCCTTTAAGTCATTATTGGAAAATAGAGCACTTTATATATTTAGAACCTCCATGGGTGACGATTTGTCCCCAAGTTATTCAGAGTGTAATTTTGCTTTCCTAGTTCCGCGGACCAACGGCGCATCGTATCATAAATTTCATCCGTGATGAAAACTTACCTGTACAATTTTACTAAATACCGGAAATATCTACTGATTGGGATCGCTCTTTTCGTCATATTACCGTACGAGTCGTACGGTACGTAAAACGCGTCAAGTTTTTTTCTTCAACCTGCTTCGATCGTATTTAATTTATTGGCAGGTCAAAAATGTCAAATTTTCTAGCAAACGATGCACATCACTAATTTTGAATAGATATTCCAGGATTTTTGTACTTTGTTAGTCCTACGTCGTCGTTGTCGTTTTTATAGATATGAACATTAGCAGTTTAAAGTTAGCAAATTGTGTAGTTTTAGATCTACATATAAGTTTTTTATTGATTTAACTTATTTGTTAGATAAATATATATGTATATGCATATGAATAGCATGTATGCATACCAACACAGAATTTTTATATGTCCAACAATACAATTAGTTTTATGTAGAAATTCGCAAGTATGTTACAAACCTAATAAAAGTTTGAAAACGATAAGTGAAGGCTTTATGGTACATACATAAAAATGTATTTTGCATGAAATCCAGCGTTCCAACTTTCTGAATTAGGTACATAATTGTAAAAACATTCGGTCAATGTCTCAGATAAATACATGTTTCACAAATTTGGCAACTCATTTAGTAAGTAGGTATGTACATCATATCATAGTTTACAAACTAAAAATACGGGCAAAATTTTGATTGCACAAAATTCTCATGACTTTCAAAAAATTTTCCGAAATTATTTACATCTATACTTGCAATTCAAGTTGTGAATTTGGTTTGTTACTTGTTTTTGTGTGCTGATGTATTGAATCTGTTTGATGCTAATTGCTAGGTATGATTTTCGCATTTTTGCAACAAAAGGAGCAGCGCATATTGAATATGTACATATGCGCACATTTACTGCAAACTTTGTTTAATTTATTGCATTTTATCATATTAATATTTATTAATGATTAATTAAAATTGTTACAATTGTTAAAGTGGGTTTAATCCATGCAATTGTTGGAAATCATCACTGTCCATTTTATGCAAAGGTGACCAAAAAGGTTTGGATTTGGAAGGGTTTGAAAGTGGCGGAAAATCTGCCCCCAACGACCGGAACGACAGGACCGACCTCTTCTTCCAATCCGTTCGATTCCATAACTCGGGTCACGTTGGTCCCGGTTATGACAATCCTGTATTGAAAATTTGCAATATTTATTTGCCAACACGATTACATATATTTCGCAAAATATATTTTTTGCATACTCAGTGGTCGCGCTTCCTCCAAAAGCTTCATACAACCGGACGCAGATCGTGTCCACCGTGGTATCCGTTGGTTTCGAAACCTTGACCGCTTCCACCACAACGGCGGGATTAGTCGTGGTCACAAAGTTGGCGGGAAGTCTGAGAAGGAAAAAAAAATTGTGCAAAAATCATGTGCAAAATTTGTGCAAGTGTGTACTCACTGCGCATTCGGCATTGTAGTTGGAAGCAATGGGACATTATTTGAGCCGAGAACATTCAGCTCGTACGCTTTCCGGATAAGGTCAGCCTCTTGGAATGAACCTGTTCAAATAAAATTTGCATACATAGACAATTTGCACGGAAAATTTGCATTCGCCAATTTTTGTACTTGCCACCTTTATGCGGCATGACGGCGTAGTAGATGTAATGCTTGTGCATGTCTGCCATCCCGTCGGGATTCTTGGGCGATTTCAGCAGTGAAAGCTGCACGTGGTTGTCGCGCACGTGCCAGCCGTACTTCGAGTCGGTGATGACTGATATGCCCTTGTCCGCTTGGGAAATGTCCATCCATCTACATAAATAATGCAAATGTGTAATTAATTAGGCAAAAAATAGGAGGGGAATTTAATTTGTTTACTTGTGCCCGCAAACTTCAAATTTGGCCATGTCCCAAGACGTATTCATGTGGGTGGGCCGCTTGGCGTGACCGTATTGGATTTCAAAGGTTGCATCGCGGGACAAAACGTCGACGGGAAATTCGACCTTTAACAATTTCCTGTTTTCTTTCCAGTCAACGATGGTGTAGCTGTGGAAAAAATGTGGCGTTTATGATTTTTTTGAAATTATGAACCTGGCAAATTTTTGCGGGTTGATTGAGGTAACAATTTTTACCCCAATAGAGATAAAATTTGTAAGAAATTTAAGCTTTGGAGCAAACTATGTATAATAAATAGGGGTATTCAATACGAGTTTGCATTATTGCAACATTGGCTAAAAAATCGAAGTTAGGAAGTTTACAGGAAATAGTGGCTTGAAAATTCATTTGCGAAATTGCGCATCTCCGAACCTAGCATTTAGGATTAGTTCACAAGGTATTTATAAAATTATTTTGCACTGCGAACTCATAATGAATACCATCAATGTCTTACAACGGATTTCAGAAAATATGAAAAATTTCGTGCGCGGTTATTGCTATCTTTTGATAAGCACTCGTTACCATAGCGATGGAGGCGTTCGTTCATTTCTATGCAAATTTTTCATGTAACTTACTACTCCAAGAGGGGACTATCCGCTCGCATGATCGTGTAGCGCGTGAAGGTACTCTTTTCCTCGCCTGCGCCAAATTCTACGCCCCACTTGTACCCACCGACGATGGGGCCGGTTCCAAAGTTGACGACTTCTTGCGTTGTCAGCAAATTTGGCGGGATCCGTCTCGTCTCCAAGTGATAGTCCATCACGTCCCAAGCGTCCCAGTAAAGGGGTACCTGCAAAATTTTACAACCGTTATTTTGCAAATTCCTCATTAAAAATTTGCACAAATATTAAATATGCACATACGTCATCATAGTAGTACAGCATTCCTGGGCTGATTCCTTTCTGGAGGTGATCATTGAAGGCGGGGATTTTGTTAACCCCGTCGAAAAAGAGACGCTCCGTAGGAACTCGGGTGACTGGGTCGACCTCCACTTCCAGAGTTAGTTGACCATTGGAAAATGTTCCGAACCAATTTGTACCGCCGTCGGCTGGGGAAATACAAAGGTTAATTTGATCATGCACAGTTAGTTTTGTACATACTGCACATTTTGATTTGCAATTTTTTGGGGAAATTGGTTTGTCGCAGATTTATAAAAACATCTTTGAAGATACTGCCGAAAGATATGTACGAAGTTCTGAATTTGTTTGTACGTATTACTACGTATGTATGTACTTTGTTAAGGCCATGAAACTTTCTGGATTATAATCAAGGTTTAAGTTTAATACAACTTCAAAACTTTTTCAGAATTTGTTGCCAGAAAATAACGAAAATTTTAAAATACATAATTTACAACAAGGTACAAGTTACATTTTTTAAACTTTTGTAAATTGTAACTGAATAATATAGTCTAACTGTATAATATAGTATATAACTGTACGTATGTATCTTGTAAATGACTCCGTGGTGTTTAGTTTGTATGCACATAATTTTTGGGGCCATGTGAGGGTTATGCACTTAACTATCGCAAAAACTATGTAAACATGCGAATTTTTGCACAAAATACTTACGGACGAACGTAACCTCCACGGCGGGCGCCTCCGCTATAAACTGAGAATACCCAGAACCCCGCAGGTTAACAATTGCAGCGGAAAAGGTGCTCGGAACGCGGTATCGTCCCTCCTCCTCCCGTTCGAAGGGGGTCGTTTCCAACTGTACGGTTTGAACGTTAGGCCCCGTCGGAGGTTGCTCGGGTGCGGTTGGCTTCATGAAAACGACGCCTTTCACGTCCCACGGGAGACAGTTGTAGATCGCTCTGTTCGTCCCGGTGCCAATGAGGAGGCCGTTGTATCTGGTCCGGATATCGGTCAAGGTGGTCATGACACGTTCGTAGTACTCCCACGCGTCAATGGCCACGTATTCGATGCAGGATCCCGGCAAAACGTCGTGGAACTGGTTGAGGAGGAAGTCCTTCCAGGCGACGTCGACAAGTAGCATGTCGCTAAAAGAGGAAATTAACTGGATTAGAGATTTATTTATTTTGTCGGCAGTACAATTCAAAATAAGTTTATCTGTTTTTTGAAATCGACGATGCGAAATGTTTTGTACACATTTTAAATTTGCATGGTTTTCGAATTTTTTGTAATGTATCGGAATGCTTTGGAAATCCGCAGATTTTTTTGCAAATTACCCAGGATATTTTGGGTATAGTAAAGTTACGCAAAGTTCAAACCGGGTATTACGCAATTACTGTTGAAGATATGAATGCATGGTGGAGAATAGAAGTGAGTCTAGTCAACCGGGTAAACCCGACCCGACCCGGGTTCTGGTGGATCGGATTTTCAAAATATTTGATCCGACTCATCTCCATCGGAGAATGCACTTACGCCCGAATTACTGCCTCTGACGCTTGTCCGGAGCTGTACGCTTGCGCCATGAGCAGTTCGACTTCTCTAAAGAAAAACTCGCACTTTCGGTTATACCATTTTATCCGAGCCTGGAAAATTTTAAATTTCCAAATTATTTACAAGTTAACATTCTATAAATATCCTGATAATTTTTTTACCTGGCTTGTATAAGTGCCATTGTGAAGCTCCAAATACAACTCGCCGACCCATTTGTAAAATTTATCTTGTTCAGTGGCCAGGGCATCGAAGAAGGTGTTGCTGTCGCTGAAAAGGACTCTGTTGAAAAGAAAAATTATGAAAATTCATGAAAAACCGGGTAAAATTGATAGAATTTGAATATGTACTTTGGCATCCCATCCACATTTTGGACTCGAATGATTCGTTCGATAAATTCACGGGTGGGGCCACCTCCTCCGTCTGCAGAAAAATACAAGGTGTCTTTTATCCGGGAATTATATCAAAATTGGTTCATTTCTTTTACCTCCATTGCCGTAGAGGAAAACGCCCGTGTTTGAACGCCCCTTATCCAAAGAGTTGTTTTGCGAGTTGAGAAAATCACTGACGCTGAAAAATTGAAATTTTTTAAAAAATTTTATTAATTTTAATAGTTTAAAAAGTTTAATTATTAAAGTTTAATTAAAGTTTAATTGCGTGATAAAAAATATTTTTCTCGGGTGTGTATTTACTTGCAGTTCATATTGTAACTGTCGCCGGGGGGAAAGTGTACCAAAACTTGGGACCCGTCAATCCCCTCCCACCAAAAGTTGTGGCTTGGAAATTTATTTACCTAGAGTTCACTTGATATATGTTATTCGATTTTTTAAGAAATTCGAAATTGTATTTTTACCAAGGACCATGACATCTTTTGCGTCAGGAAGCGATCAATCTTGACATGCTGTAATAATAATAGTAAAATATTAATTAACATTGTCTCATAAATTATACCCGGGTAACATTCACAAACCTTCAACATTTGCGGAATTTGGGCCGAATATCCGAACGTGTCCGGAAGCCAGAACTCTTTGGAAATGTACTGCGGGCCAAATTTGTCTTGAAAATATTTCTGTCCGTAATAATATTGACGCATGAAAGCTTCCCCGCTGAATTTAAAACAATTTTTTAATCGTGTTATAAAAATGGAAGTATAAATAGGTAAATGTGGAAAACAATTAATTTAAAAATAACTAACTTGGGAATATTTCCATCCTAAAATGTTAAAAAAGTGGAAATTTTTAAAAGTGTCATTTAAATTAAATATTTATTTCAAAATCGCATACCATTTCGATCCAAGTACCTCCCACGGGTACGAACTGACCGCCCAAAACCTTGTCGTGAATTTCTTGAAACACGTCAGGATAAAATTTTTCTACCCATTCGTATTGTTGGGCCTGAAAAATTTAAAGTTTGTGTAAGAGACAGTTCATAAATTATGCAAAAATTATGCAAAGACGGCGATTTTTTAGACACCCCTCCCCCTATGTAGCCTCTAATTGGAGCTAATAAGACCCTCCCCCCTCCCCTCACTCGAGTTCCATGCATAATTTATGAACATCCCCAGAAAGAAAAAAAAAGTTACACGAAAATTTACTGTTTATGAAAAACATCTTTCAGTCAGTAAAAAAGTTTATGCATAGCGAAACATCCAGAGTTTTGCATAACAACGTCTCTTGTGTAGACATAAAACCGACAACTTTTTTCATCCAGATTCTCCCTACTTACCGACGACACGACAAATTTATACTGCGGATATTCTTCCATCAATCGCATCTGAGCGGAGAAAGATCGTGCACACTTTCGAATAGTTTCGTCATATGGCCACAACCAGGCGGAATCTGATATGAAATTACGTTACTTGTTTACACGTGGACAAAATTATGCGAAATTGCTTGACTCACCGATATGACAATGTCCCATAGCATGCAAGGTGTGCGACTTTTCTCCAGTTTTCTGGTTAAAAAATGCTGTCGCAAGTGCTCTGCATTTCCTGTTTTGGGGTGTACAATTAAATATATTAAATCTCAATATGCCCCACTTTAATTATATATTGTCCACTCACGTAACGTTTGCCACACTGTCGCTGTCTTGCAGCGTGGTGACGATCTCGTTAGCGACGAACATAGCTTGCTGAAATATGTATGTGTAGGGGGAAATGTGAAATATTGCTTTGTGGAAATATGAGATATTTATTTGTGGTGGGTTACGTACATAGCCGATGTGCGAGTCCCCCAGTCTATCCGCCATTTGGTACAGCATATCAATATCCACGCGCAAGTTGAAATTCTCTCGGTTAAAGATGACAAGATCGACCCGGCCAAAGCCGTAAAATCGGTTACGATCCTCCGGTGCTGTTATGGATAAAGTGGATTTATAATTGCAAATTAAAGATCAAACAAAGATAATAGGAAGATCCTTAAAATATGTAACGAACCAATCATATCCCCCGCCCCGGCCCCGAACATGTCATTGCAAGCCATTTCGACATAGAATTCCCTCCGATCCGTCGCCGTCCAGCTGTCGGATACTTTATATTCTTCCCGATAACCGGGAGAAATTCCCTAAAAATAAAATTATAAAATTACGCTCATATTAATTATTTACATATGTATATGCAAATTTGTAGCTGGGAAAATTTAAGTAAAGTTCTGTATAAATTTCTAACCTGAAGAACGTTAAGGTCCGTATCGCACACGGTGGCTTCCGTTCCGGAAGAGAACCTAAAGTGGACTTCCTTTCCCAACCAGGACGCCGGAGGTTGAGGAAATCTCACCTGAAATTAGTTATTAATTAGTGAAACATGCAAATTAATGTACGAAAATGTACATATTTATGTAGGTAACTCGTGTTAATTTACATGAAACCAATGTGTCGTCCAGGTAGGACCTAAGTAAATTAGGAGGAGAAATAGTAAGTACATTTACTATTATTTGTATGTAGAAAATATATTTTGCACTTGCATAAATATCTATCACCGTTCAAAATTTAATCTTTTTATCAAATCAACAGTAATACTCCGGGTGAAAACCCAACTGCTGGATTTTCACCCGAAAAAATTACCGAAAAAAACGAAAAACTTCTGCATATCTCTTCTGCCGACCTTAAATATTTATCTAATTCTGAAGAAAATAGGCAAGTTTTTAAAAATACATATGTATAGATTTGCATATGAAATTCAATTCCATCCAACTTTTTTTAAAAAGAAGTACACAAATTTTGTACTAATCTAAAATTTCTAAATTTACTTAAGAGGTATCTCTAACCAAATCGTTGCCCTGGTTGGACATCGGTATAAGTCGCATTCAAGATATCTTCCTTGGTGTAATTTTGCCAAGATCCGTGCGGTCCAGGAATTGGGAAGTGTTGAAGCACTAAATTGTGAGAATTATGTAAATATTATTTCAACAATTTCCCCTTAAAAATAATTAAATCTGATTTTAAGTAATTAATTACACTCCGTTTCCAAAACCTCTCCCCAAACTTTGTTGTTTTGCCACCCGATATCACGGAACAACCCGTCACGGTAAAACCCCGAAATTTTCCCCATCGTTGTCTGCCGATTTTTATGAATCGGGGCACGAACTTCGTTAAGCGACATTTTCGTATAATTTCGACCGGAAATATCCAGTCAGACGCGAAATGCAATGAAATTGGAAAAAATGTGACGTCTTTAGCCTTCAATTGGTTAGTGACGACTGCGTTGAAGTTTTAGGAGGACGCGATGCTTTATAATTTTTTTCGTTAAATAATTACGCCCCGTCTGACTAAATATGAGCATCAATTGTTTTCTGGATTAATTATCTACTCGAGTAAACAAAGACGGAGTAGATGAGTGCAAAAGAGTGGGTTTAAAAAATGAGGTGTATTTAGAATTGAACGTAACGTGACACACAGGACGGAAAGAGATAATAAGGTCGTTAACTGGGGAGAGGACAATACAATGTGAATGATTTTGGGGATCAATTGAAAGTCAATGGAGGTGGTGGCAAGATAAGCAGGATTTTTGGTAATTATTTACATTGTTTTAAGCAATAAGTTCAGTTTACTAGCTGGATTCTGGTAATATTGGGATGAGGGAACGTACAAAAAGTATGGGATATTTTTTTTAAAGAAAATTTTGACCCCAATTTCCATGATGAATCGACATGGTATCGTATCATTGAGATGAGAATGCTATAACATTTTAATGTTCACATGCACGGTCCCTTGTCGTTTATTTTTTTTTTGAAGAATTTCGATTTATGCATAAGTTGTAATTTGCGAATCAATAAACATGATATTTTTTGTGTGGTGTTCCTAATGTGATTAAAGTTAAAAATGTTAAAAATAATTAGTGACTTTAAATTTCTGAGAAATAAAATAACCAAGTTTATGCAGGATTCCGTTTACATGATGATCATTTTTTGAACTGGATAAATATACATAAGCACATACATAATAGATATGCAGAAGAAGATATTTATGTAATAGTGAGTGGTGGATATGTACTATTCTGAAGTTCTTCTTGCAAAAAAGTTGCCTAATTGATTCTGTAATTATACATAATTCCACATATCTGTGAGTGGAAAACCTTGCCTGACAAGGCGTCGCATTTCTAGTCGGATTTTTGATTGATTATCAATGTCCGTCCAGACGAGGGTAGGGCAGTGAACCACAGTCACCAGTTGTTTTTACACAAAAATTAAAGTGGGCGTTTAAACGAGAATGTTGACTAATCCTAGTTATAATTGGTTACGATTTGAGTAGTTAATGGGGGTTTTGTTTTGTTGGGTATTTAAAACAATCAACTCGCATTCCATCGTTATCTTACTAAATAGATATTTATTAGTTTGTAATGGAGTCATTAATAAACACGCGTGTTTTGCATGTGTGGGGAACAAGTTGAGTCAAATTCAGACTAGACTTTATTAATAGAACATATTTACATACATACATACATACGAGCAAATTTTATCAGGTGTTTCACAAGGTACATACATCCTGTATTAGTTTTCGAATAATTACAGATTTGTGAAATGTGCCAAATTTTGCAAGTATGTAGCTATGTACATATGTATGAAAATTTGCATATATGTATACTCATCTTTTTAGCATTCTTTCTGGGAACCAAGGACACAGACTTGTACATAAATACATTAGTTTTACTTAATACTAAATTAGATTTCTAAAATTATGATTGATAAATTTTTCAGAGTTTGCAAAACCATTCCAGAAAGCCATATGATGTTTATTCTCAAATTTATGCAACAACTGGGCATGCTTCTATGTATTTTACAAATTCATTCTCTCGATAGGAATTACAGATAATCCACGTAAACTGAATCAAGAATGGCTGGTAGGTCTATATTGATCGTTCTATCAATTCATATTGTATAAATAGGGACATGTGCAGATACATCCAAACTCTGATTAAGCGTCACTGTCACTATCTTCAGTCGCGGATTTTCTGTTGTCACCATCTTTATCGTCTCCATGAACTTTCTCCTTGTGCAATTCCAACCTTTTCGACGTGATGAAGCTCATCGAGCATTCGTCACAATTAAAATTCTTCTTCTTTTCTCGGTAAGATTTGCCTTGTGCTCTTCGTTTTTCCAACAGTTTTTTCCTCGCTTCGTCATCATCCCCACAAATCGTAGTTAAGTGAAGTCTGAGATTCAAGGGTTGTCGAAATCGTTGCCCACATTTTGGACAAAGATGTGGTTTGGATTCTTCATGGGAAAATTTGTGAGCCTTCAATGTTGTTTTATTTGAAAATGACTTTGAACATATTTCACAAGGAAATATTTCATGGGCTTGGAGATGGTGGGACAATCGGAGGAATTGGTTTCGAAATACGGCGTCACAAAAGAGGCAGGGACTTTGAGAAGCTTCCGTCTATGAAAATTACAAGGGATTAATTAGCCAAAAACAGACATCAACGCGAATTTTGGACTAGGATTTTCGTACAAACTAAGGATTTATCAAAAATCAGTGGCCACGAAAGCATAATCTGGGGACATCTGGGGACATTACATTGTAGGATAGGGGAGAGAGGTTTATATAACACGGACAGATGATGGGGCATCGAATAACCGTGGGGACATTGTCCGTCTGTCCCCATACTTCCGCGGCCACTGATCAAAATGCATAATTCCCAGATTAATTATACAGAATTGAGATTAGATGCGATATTAATGATTCATTAATGCCGAGATTTAAAATATTAATCTTTAACGTATTTGCATAAGATTCGATAACTCATAACCAAAATTTTCAAAATCATTTTGATTTTGAATCATTTCTCGACTCTAGGAATTTATTATAAAATTCTTGACGAGAAATTTGTAGCCAGTAAGTTGATTAACAGAATGGAGGTGAGTTTTTTAATTTAAGGTATGTCAGTGTATACGAGTTCCAATTTTTCTGAAGACTTCTTGAACTTAAGATCTACTTCTTCAAAAACTATCAAAATCTGGATTGTACGAAAAAAAATCTGGTATATTTAAGCATTACAAATTGGCAACAAATTTGCCCATCAGAACTTCTACTAAATTCCCAGAGCTGAGAAATGATTAAAAATGTGTTGATTTCGACGATGAGTCATCGAGTCCTACGCTAATTTTCAACCCACAATTTTGTCCGACGTGCACCCTTGCAAATGTTGAATCCACTCAGCTTCAGTCTCAAATTCCAGATCGGCACAATCGTACGGACATTTACTTTTGTCCTGAAAGTGGACGAGTTCGATATGTCGTACTATACCAATCTTTTTGCTTATACTTTTTGAGCAAAGGTCGCACTTGGAGGGTTTGCGTTTCTCGGGTCGTGGTTCATAATCTCCCAAATTATGCACGCGTTTCTTGTGATACTTCAAGGAATCTGAATTCCTGAACGTGTCCACACACAAGTCGCACTTGTAGAAATTTCCTAAATGGGCAATGTTGACGTGTTTCTGCCTTGTGCTTGAGCGGGTGAACCGTTTGTCGCAGAATTTGCACGCAAACGGTTTGTCCTCTGGAGGAATGTATCTGTAAGAATGTCAAGTTTTGATATTTTTGTGAGAAAAATACGTAGATATTTAGCATTGTGGGTATTCACGCCACTCGAAAAGCTTCACTTCACAACTTCTTCGCAACTGTTTGCGAAATCGTTGAGGTGATCAACCTACTTTAAATGAAAATGAAAATGCATAAACTGAAAATCAGTAGAAATGAAAATTCACTTAGCGACGAGTTTACGAAAACTATTCTACGACGTACATTGTGTCACATACAAAGTTGGTTAAAAAATACAGGAATCTTGTTGTCTTATCACAACTCTTACGAAGCTGAAGAAGTTGACGTGACTACCCACATTTCTTCTGGATAACTATCGATTATAGGTAACTACCGATTGGTTAACTTGGGCGGCCCAACGTGCATTTTCTGGTGGTGGGATGTCAACCGAGCCAAATTACCAAACCGCATCCCACACAATTCGCAAACGCAGGCTTCCTTGTGCGCGAAGGCAACATGTCCTCGGAGCTGGAATTTTGCAGCGTATTTCTTATCGCATAAGTTGCACGCGAAGTCCCTGAAATTGAATTAATCGTGACGAGTTAAGATTAAAGATTCAATTGAGTCAGTGGTCACGGAAGTTGGGACATTAAAAATTATAGGACACGCGACAAGGGTTTATATAACAGTGGAAGATGATAAGGACGTCTAATAAATAACCGTGGGAACATTGTCCTTCTGTCTCCACCTTTCCGCGGCCACTGAATTCAGTACGAAATTCTCCAAAATAAAACCTACAATGACATTCCTTCCGTTGCTCCGATCGCTTCTGCATGACGTGTCGAGGCGAGATGATCGTTATAGCCTTTCACCGTGTAAAAAACTTGGTCACAAGGGACACACGATTTGACTGCGGTGGTTCCGTCGCTAAGTCCAGGATGATATTTTTTTCTGTGGTCGACAAGTTTAGCAAAATTAGGAAACGGTTGCCCTTCAGGACATCGGTCACAGACAAAGCTAATTTTCCCTTCGGAATCCACACTAAATTTGAATCGAAGAAAATAAGTTGTATTTGTACATTTAAACGTTTGGTTAGCGTGAAACCTAATACCGTCTGGCTAGAACTGCAAATTGATGGTATTTGGTCTGCAGATGGGCTGTAACCTTAGTGGTTCGACGTAGGTCTCGCTCGCACACCATACATTTTCTATGCTGAGCCTTGTGTTTAGCGAGGGTTGGAAGGTCGTCGAATCTTTTGGAGCAAAGTGTGCATTGTAAAGTGGCAATTTCATCCTCAGTAGTGTCATACGATCTAAATGTTAACAATGCTTAAATGTCGTCCCTTAAATTTTAGGCACATGAGCAAAGTTAGCTTACATAATGTACACGTGCATTTTCTCCCTGTGTTGTAATAGCTCAGAAAAATCTGGAAATCCGACTTGATCACATTGATCGCAGGAAAATGTAGCCACGCCGTCTTCATTTAATCTACAGAAAACAGGGATATTTAATTAACGGGGTAATGTAAATTAAAGGATTTTGATCTATGTATGTAAGTATTTATTAAGTAGCTTCAGCTACTTTATGTGAAGACTTTGTCTGTCTGTCTGTCTGTCTGTCTGTCCGTCTGTCTGTCAGCAGGATAACGGGAGAACGGATAAAGATAATCGAAATCGGTTTTCGCCATCATACATAATACCCCAGGGGGAGGATCCTATCAACTTTTGGGTGCAACCGGACCACACCCACAGTCGCCAGGGGGTGTGGTCGGGGCAAAATGAGATTTTTAGTGCAATTGAATCTATGGATGAAATGGAGTGAAATTTTGAGTTCCCCCGTTGTGCCACACCCCCCGGGCGCCAGGGGGTGTGGTCGGGGCAAAATGAGATTTTTAGTGCAATTGATTCTATGGATGAACTGGAGTGAAATTTTGTGTATCCCTGATGTGCCACACCCCCTGGGCGTCAGGGGGTGTGGTCGGGGCTAAATGAGATTTTTACAAAAATTGAATCTATAGCTGAAATAGAGTGAAATTAAGTGTTCCCGAGTTGTACCACACCCCCTGTGCGCCAGGGGGTGTTGTTGGGGCAAAATGAGATTTTCAGTGAAATTAAAAAACATGGATGAAATACACTGAAATTAAGTGTTCCCCCGCTGTCGTAGGGATGGAGTGAATCTGAAGCTACTTCCGTATGCGCGTTTGCGACGGTTTATTTACTTTCGGCATCTTAAGGCGACCCAATGTTGTCGAGTTACCAGATGTAGACGTAGCTTCTTCATTCCGTGAAAGGTGCGATCACAAATTTCACACGTTTTATCATGCGTGAGTTTGTGCTTGGTTAGAGTTTCCACGTCGTCAAATGTCACGGCGCAGACGGTGCATTTCAAAGTTTCAATTTCACTCTGGGTTGGAACTAAAGTCCTGAAAATATGTAATATTTTGAAATTTGTTGATTTGGGTGAAAAGATTTCACCCGAAAGTTTCCACTGAAAAGTATTTATGGAATTTGAATCTATGCGATTATGAAGCGCTCATAAAATACGTAACGCAAAATTGGTAATGATTTTATCCCCCTCGAATCGGGTTACACCTCCACTGGAACATGTGGCGCAAGTTAAGGCTCTGTACCAGTAATTCACCAAGGTATTCAAGTACCCTTACTACCCAAATTTCTTGGGATTGAAGCGTGATAGCATGGTTTGGAAAAAAGTCGTTGGTGGTAAATTTATCAACATATTTTTTAATGAAAATATGATGCCACACAGTACCACCAACTTTGCGAAAAAAATAAAACCACCATTAATGATTTTAAAAAATTCAAAAGACGTTCACAATTTGTGGGGTAGTTCTACTTTCATAATTCCTGTTCATAGCGGTGGAGAATAGTGTGGCGCAGATGGTATAATGGGTCATAGATCCAGAAAAATGGTGGTCGGCAGTTTTTCTTGCAGAAAACTTTGCACTGACCCAATTACGCTCTCTTCTTTCAAAAATAGTAAAATTTTGGAAGTGTTTTGGAGTCTCTCACTGATTAATCCACCTCGGCTATAGTGTTGACCACAACTTCTAATTCAAAATTTCGTGCAAAATACGCTAATACCGACAGGAACGTCTTTTGAAAAGTTGCATCCGGCTAGTTGTCAGGTAGTATATAAGATTTATGTATTAAAAAAAACTCGAATTTTCGAATTTTGAAACTTTGAATTCATCAAAATATTGGTAATCATAAGGTAATCCGAACGTAAAAAGCAAGTTTGGGTCTAGTTCTTATTTATTTTTCATTCACGTTTGACTTATTTATTTTTCCAGCTTCCCCCATTTTTCCAGGGGGAGGGGGGAGGAGGTTTCATATAATTTTAAAATTAATTGGGTAACTAAGGTCAAAAATATATTTGGGTGTTTAAAGTTGGTACAGAGCCTTAAATTCTAACGAACCTTCCTCCCCCTCTGCTGCGTTCCTTATATTATGAACGTTCCCTTACCCGACACAACGAGGACGAGGTTTTCGACCGGTATGTGCGACAGTAGTGGTAAGGTGACGACGCAGTTCTCGTTTTGATGTGTATGTTGAATTACACTTGAGACATTTGTATTTTCCGGATTTCTTAGATACCTCAACCTCAACGTGTTCTCCATAAATCGATTCATTATCTGATGAGGACTTGACTTCATTACCGAGACTGCTGTCCGACGATGCATCAACGTCGGAAACCTCTCGATTTTCAAAGTCATCATTCTCGTCGTCGTTTAGAATGTCACGGTTCGTCACATTTTTTATTAATTTCTCCGCCCGGATTCTTGAAAGTCTTGGCCGCTTAGTATCATTCTGCAGGGCAGCTTCTTTACCATCGTCAGAGATCCAAGGACTATCAAATAATCAAAATGCAATAATGCATGAATGAAAAATTAAATTTTAGCGTCTAGTTTCATTAACAGCAACGCATGTACATAGATAGCAGTCGGTTACCTGCGTTTTTTATTTTGTCGTCGTGAACTATCCAACCATGGATTTCTCTGGTGTCGATTAAGCTTCCGCAATTTGTCAAATGTCACATTACACTCGGGACGGGTCAGATTTTCTACCACGTGCGATTTTGAAATAATTGACTCGTGATCATCGAAATCCGGGACCATAACGCCATCTTCGCTATCAAGCGTTGAGAAAAGTTTGACATCGTCGTCGTCACTTTGTATTCCGGACGAATTATTATTATCGTCATCATTGAGCGCAACCTCATAAATCATTTTTGAGGCGGCATTCTCTAGGTCAGTATCTGTTGATTAATGATTAAGAAATTATTTTCTTAGTTATTTTATGTATTCCGTGAAATAATTGATTGATATAAATATTAATTGGTGTAATTACCTTCTCGGTCCGATAATTTGTGGCGTAGTTTAATCACACTTTGAATGCAGGAAGAAATCTCTTCAACCTTCTTTCTTAGATGGATAAGTTTATCCAACGTTGTCGAACAGAGGGGACAAATTGAAGTCGTGGAAAACTTGTGGATACTTTCTTTTAGAATAATTCCTCGCAAAATTACAACTTTTACTTCGGATAATGGACGACGCTGGTGCTTCACGCCACAAATGAAGCAGTGCATAAATTCTAATTCAATTTTTACTTCTGATTTAACTGAATTCGTAGAAAATATTTGTTCATCACATTTTTTTAAACGGACGACGGAAGAAAGTAAATCTTGCAATAAGTTTCCCGTCCCCCGACGGGATTTGTTGGACGCCATTATGAACCTTCAATGTGTTTTAGATGGTATCGAATTTCGAAAAGTTTAAAATTGTTAACGATGCTTTTTCTAAAAATTCAGAAATAATTAGTATGGATTGTGGATTGTTTATCGCAAGCAGATGACAAGAGAAATTGTGCAGCATGCAAAAGTGAATCGCGGGGTTGATTTTCTTTCTCTTTGTTTATGTAGCAGGTGTTGTGATATGGATTTTCATACAATTTTACAGTACACATGCAAATAAGCGTCACTATCAACCAACTACAGAATTGAGGTTGATAAATGTATTGTAAGAAATATTAATCAATCGTGCAATTTTTATACATATCAAATAAATATTTACATAAAATCCGAGGCAAGCAGTTAACCTTGCATCCAAAGTATGCATTCATATGTAAAACTCTGATTAATCCTAAGCATCAGTGTCACTAACTTCAGTCTCGGATTTTGTGTCGCCATTGTCCTCGCCATGAACTTTCTCCTTGTGTAATTCCAACCTTTTCGACGTGATGAAGCCCATAGAGCATTCGTCACAATTAAAATTCTTCTTCTTATCTCGGTACGACTTGAATTGTGCTCTTCGTTTTTCCAACAATTTTTTCCTCGCTTGGTCATCATCCCCGCAAATGGTGATTAAATGAAGTCTGAGATTCCAGGCTTGTCGAAATCGTTTCCCACACTTTGAACAAAGATGTGGCTTGGATTCTTCATGCGAAGATTTGTGAATCTCCAATATTTTTTGAGTTGAAAATGACTTTGAACATATTTCACAAGGAAATGTTTCATGGGTTTGGTGATGGTGGGACAATCGGAGGAATTGGTTTCGAAATACGGCCTCACAAAGGTGACAGGGACTTTGAGAAGCGTCCGTCTGCGAAAATGTAAGATTTTAATTAAACGGACTTTTGGACTCGAATTTTTGTGGAAACTAAATATTTATGAAAGTCAGTGGCCACGAAAGCATCAACTGGGGACATTAACATTGTAGGAAAGGGGAGGGAGGGGTTTGTATAATATGGAAAGATTATGAAGAAATCGAATAACTGTGGGGACATTGCATTTGTGTCCACTGATCAAAATATAAATCATTCATAATTCTCGGATTAAAGATTAGGTATTCATACTATTTAAATGAGAGATTAATGAATCCTTAGTCTTATTTGCCTAGAAAAATTAATTCTTAAGATATTTAGGACTCATGACCAAAATCGTCGAAGGCAATACAGAGAGAGAGGAATGATTTTGAATCATTCCTCTGCTCTCGGGATTTATTTTAACATTCTGGACGACGAATTTGTAGCCAGTATGTTTGATTAAGTAGAATGGTGAGGAGTGTTTTTTAAGGTGGATTAGTTTGGATTTCTGATTAATTTTTCTGAAAGCCTCTTAAACTTGAGATTTCCTTCAAAAACTATCAAAATCTGGATTTGTTAAAAATTGGCAACAACCTGATCAACAAATTTGTCGACCAAAACTTTTAAGTAAATTCTCAGAGTTGTGAAATGATTGAATAAAAAGTTGCCGCTGATTTTGGTGATACATAAGTTATAGACTCCTGCGTTAACCTTCAACTCACAATTTTTCCCGACGTGCATCCTTCCAAATGTTGAATCCACTCGTGTTCAGTCTCAAATTCCAGATCAGCACAATCGTACGGACATTTACTTTTGCCCTGAAAGTGGACGAGTTCATTATGTCGAACTATACCAATCTTCCAGCTTATACTTTTTGAGCAAAGGTCGCACTTGGAGGGTTTGCGTTTCTCGGGTCGTGGTTCATAATCTCCCAAGTTATGCACGCGTTTCTTGTGACACTTCAAGGAAGCTGAATACTTGAACGTGTCCACACACAAGTCGCATTTGTAGAGGTTTCCTAAATGGTCAATCTTGACGTGCATATTCCTTCTGTATATACGGGTGAACCGTTTGTCACAGAATTTACAAGGGTAACGTTTGTCCTCTGGAGGAATATATCTGCAAATACGTGAAGTTTAGATATTTTTTGGGAAGAAAGTGTGCATGTATGTACAAAATTAATTGTGGGTATTCATGTTTCTCAAAAACGTCGCTTCGCAACAAATCATGGCATGTTTGCGAAATCGGTATCGTGAACGACCTAGAACTCTATTTTAACTGAAAATGAGAGAATTGAAAATTCATTTGACGGCGAGTTTATTAAAAACATTTTAATACGTACATAAATAGATGTAGATAGCCTTTTGGTTCGCACATTTCGTGAAAAAAGAAGAAGCTGATTAGTTCTCGAAACTCTTCGCAAACATGGCAAAGTTGCGAAGCGACATTTATCTACACGGTTTACGAAGTTGACATTAATAACCACATGGGTTATGTAATTACCGGTGGGGTAACTTCGGAGGCTCAACATGCGTTTTCTGATGGGACGTCAACCGTGTCAAATCACAACACCGTAGCCCGCATGTTTCACAGACGAAGGCTTTGATATGCACAGAGGCAAGATGTCCGCGGAGCTGGAATTTTGCAGCGAATTTCTTGTCGCATAGGGTGCACGCGAAGTCCCTGAATTAAATAGTGACGTGTTTAGGTTAGACTGAATTTAGGGAACGTCCGTAAATTATGCCACGCAAAAATGCCGATTTTCAGACCCTCCTTGTCACTCGTTACGTCCCTTTTCACATGTGGCGCAAATCGGCCTGTCACGCAAAACTTTTACCTTTCTAAGTGACATAATTTATGGACATGCCCTTAATACAAAAATTTTAGATTGAATTCAGTACGATATTCGACGCAGTTAAACCTACAGTGACAATCCTTCCGTTGCTCCGATCGCTTCTGCATGACGTGTCGAGGCGAGATGCAATTTATAAGCCGACACCCCGTAAAAAACTTGGTCACAAGGGAGACACGATTTGACCGCTGTGATTCCTTCGACAAAAGTGTTTCTTCCAGGATGATATTTTTTTTCTGTGGGCGACAAGATTCGGATAATTAGGAAATGGTTCCACGTCAGGACATCAGTCACAGACGAAGCTAATTTTCCCATCGGAATCCACACTATATTTAAATTGAAAGAAACATGTTAAATATACTTGAATCGTTACATAAATTAGGTTAAAACTTGATTTTTCTACCGTCTGGCTAGAACTGCCAGTTGATGATATTTACTCTGTCGATGCTCTGCAACCTTATTGGATCCAAGTAAGTCTCGCTCGCACACCATACATTTTTTATGCCGAGCCTTGTGTTTTTCGAGGGATGGAAGGTCGTCGAATTTTTTAGAGCAAAGTGTGCATTGTAAAGTGGCGATTTCTTCCTCAGTAGTGCCATGAGACGATCTAAATGTTAAGAATGTTTAAATGCCGTCCCTTAAATTTGAGGTAGACGAACAAACCTAGCTTACAAAATGTACACGTGCATTTTTTCCCTGTGTTGTAATAGTTCAGAAAAATTTGGAAATTCTACTTGATCACATTGATCGCAGGAAAATGTAGCCACGCCGTCTTCATTTACTCTATGAAAAAGAGGAACATTTACATATATACATACATAACTGCGTAATATAAATTAAATATACACAATAATTTACTTTCGACATCTTAAAGCGACAAAATGTTGTTGAGTTTCCAAATGTCGACCAAGCCCCTTCTTTCTAAAAAACGTGCGATCACAAATTTCACACTTTTTATCATGCGTGAATTTGTGCTTCGTCAGAGTTTCCACGTCGTCAAATGTCACGGCGCAAATGGTGCATTTCAAAGTTGCTATTTCGTTCTGCGTTGGAGTTAAAATTCTGGAAATAATATTAGGAAATTTGTTCAATTGGGTGACAAGTAGCTTGAACAAAGTTTGAACATTTAAGATTACATGGCAAGATTACTAGGAGGATTTCGCCCTATATGTGCGAAAGTTGTAAGGTGATGTCCCAGAATTGGTTTTGAGCTGAAATGCTTATTGCATTTGAGACATTTGTATCTTTTCGATTTCGTGCATATCTCCGTGTCATCGAAATTCAATTCTCACTAAATGAATCATAAGCCAGAGAAATAAAAATGAATAAAAACTCGAATAAGACCTAATTCTTGATAGGTAATTTTTTAAATTATAAATTCAGATTACGATTTATGAAATTTCTTCACGTGGTTAAATATTCCAACTGAATCGGAGAACTCGTCGTGATCACATTTATCACAGGAAAATGTAACGACGCCGTCATCATTTAGCCTGCGGAAAGGTGGGATACTTATGTATATTCTTCATACGAGATAAATAATATTGATGCGTTTACCTTCTACATCTTAGAGCAATGTCATGTCTTTGAAATTCGAGATGCCGACCAAGCGCTGTCGCATCTGAACATTCGAGATCACAAATTTCGCACTTTTTATCATGCCTCGATTTGTGCTTGGTTAGAGCGGCCTCGTTGTCAAATTGTCTTGCGCAAATGGTGCATTTGAGGGAAGTTATTTCATCCTGGGTAGGCATCAATATTCTGGGAATGTTAAGAAATTTCTTGTTAGTTTAGACAAAATTTATAAAGTATTATACTACATATTTTTCATGTGGTATATGTATAGTATGTCGGACAAGCTTTGTTTGGAACCTAGATATAGTTCTCAGCATGCAACCTCAGGCAAAATTTGATTCCCGCGTTCGTATCCCTACCATACCAACAGTGCGGGAAGGATACGAGCACGTGATGGTCGGGGTTGCATGCTGACCATATTACATAATTGATTCTCAGCTGAAGGTAAAAATAGCTTAATAACCAAGTAAAATTTTCCTCGTGGATTTTTCTTACGTAAGGTCCTATTTGTAACCCTTTCGTGTTTGGTTTTTGTTTTACTAGATTAGTTATTTGGTAGCAAGTAATGCATGGTAATTGAAAATTACCATGCATAATTTACCATCCCTAATTAAACGTACTGTGCCAATGTTACGTCTCCGACGGTGGAGGTGTGCAGGGTCGAGAGAAGATGACGGTGATAGGACTTCGTCGACTTAAAAACTTTATCGCAAGGCAGACACGATTTTCCGTCGGAAAAAATTCTTGGTCCGCCATGATGATGATAGTTTTTCTTATGCCTGGTAAGTTTCGAAACATCAGGAAAGTATTGTTCTTCAGGACATCGCTCACACACGAAGGTAACGATGCCATCGGGATCCACTCTAAATATTTAGTCCAACGTAAATGAAATACATAGGGTTAGGTCCAAAAGTAAAGAAACATTTGAAAAATGCCTGTAAAATCCGGAAAACTTAATTAATTCCAATGACACTTTGAAGGGTTAAGAAGAAGGTCCTTATCGTTCAATTTTTTGCTTCATATGGTCCATAGACCCCCATCCTTGCTTATTATCCATAGACCCCCATCCAGCCAAAAATCGTTCAATTGATCTTGCCCGAGGGACGTAGGGAGCATATTCCCTTTTTGCAACAAAATCGATTTTTTTCGACCACAGGTAGTCAAGAACAACTTATGAATAATGAAATGTTCCTGTGTCCGGTCAGAAAAGTACATTACGATTATTGATAAAGGGTATCAAGATCTTCTTTACACAATCGTTCAAATATCTCTCCGAGGTCATGGTGGCTGTGGTCACGAACGGCTTTGAGACGTCCCCCAATGAGTCCAATGCTTGCCCGATTATGTGCTTTGTGGGGAATTTTAACTTCGGCGTGTATTTGAAGGAATCTTTAAACGTTTTCTTATTAGTACATGAGTAGTACTTCCTCGCAGGGAATTCATCTGGATCAATCGAGCACTTGGTCTCATCATCCATGACCAGAATCACGGGCATGTTTTGCTTGACTCGTTTTTCAGCAATCTGCCGAGAGTTGGGCTTTGCTCTTTTTTGGTTGTACTTTGGTGCAGGTGTCGCCTTATAGGATTTGACCCCCAACTTCGTAGGTTTAATGTCATGTAAACTTAATTTTTCTATTTTCAATTTGTAGCCCAAATTACCATCTGATATCCCAAGGTTATTTTGGCATCCCTGCTGAACTTCACGTATTACTTTGGGGGTAGCTACAGGAGCTGGACAATTTTTTTATTTTTTGAATTCAGCATTCCTCCTCCCCTCATACATATCTAAAACTCTGCAAATTGCCCCATTATGAATTTTTTCTCTTTCGAAGTGGCTATTAACCATTATCCGGATGCGCTCGCACACTTTTTCGTAGTAGTGGCAAATTTTTTTGCGAGCTGCTCTGAATTTTTTGTTCTCATTTTTGAACTAATCGAGATATCGACTTCCGGTTTTCAGATTCGGGTAGTCAATCGCATAGACTACAAAACTACCGCGTTCCAACTCAGTGACAATTTTTCTTTCATACAAATAAAAATACTTTTTCAAATGTTTCTTTACTTTTGGACCGAATCCTATTTGTATCGCGGACACTCTTAAAACTTACCCTTTTGAAAAGTAAATGCATTCCGAATTTTATATTAAGTAAACTAAACTAAATCCAGAGTAAGGTCAATTTGATTAAGAGAAAAGTTTACTCTGGATTTAGTTTAGCTTACTTAATATAAAATTCGGAATACAGTTACTTTTCAAAAGGGTAATATTATTTTTAAGACAACTAATTTAAGTTTTATGTGAAACCAGATTTTCCTACCGTCTTGCACGAATTGCTGATTGATGTGGCCAAGCATTGAGGTGGCACTTAAGTTCACGAGGATAATTAAAGTCTAAATTGCACACTTCACATCTTTTGCCATGCAGAGCTTTGTGTTTTATGAGGGTTGGAAGGTCGTCAAAATTCTCGCAGCAAATTGTACATCGTAAACTGGCAATTTCTTCCTCGATTGGACCCAAAGACCTTGATATTATCCAAGCGGTTAATATTCATTAATTCCTTTTGCACTTTTGAGATACATAAATTAGGGGAGCCTTCATGCGTAAATTCGGCTTACGAATTATGAATTTTATCGACGTGCTGAAATAGTCCACGGGCATCAGGAAACTCGACCTGGTCACATTCATCGCAACGGAATGTAGCCACACCGTCATCACTTAATCTGCGGAAACATGTTTAGATATTTATAGGGTTGCCGCGGGTAGCGAAAATGCCACCCGTTACCCGACCCACTACCCGCAGCACGACTACCCGTACCCGTGCGGGTACCAGTTACCCGCTACCCGTTATGAGAATGACGTTAAAAACTAACCAACCTTCAGAATAAATTTGATTTAATAAATTATTTGCCATTTGAGTTGTTCATTAGTTTGAGATAATACTGTGCAAGTTACGAATGCCATAATTTGATGTCTAGATGTCATTAGATGCTTCTAAAACCAAACTTTTTGGCTTACAATGGAACCTTTTTTAAGCTACACCGGAATTTCTTAGCGAATTAAATAAAAAAAAATCAAGCCAAAAATTAGGAATTATCACTTATCTTTCCGCTGAATAGTCCGTTTAAAGATGGGGGGGGGGGGCAGAGTTTAACGTCCACCATAGTTTTTGTCCAGTGGGGGAAAATGATGCTGAACATTTACCTAAAAATTGAACTTTGCCACCAATATCTTTCTTCAAAGTGGACACTCAACGGAAAGTATAACGCGATTCCCAATTTTTGGCATGACTTTTTAATATACTCGCTGGACAATCTAGGTGTAGCTTGAAGCTTGTAGCTTGAAAAAGGTTGAGTTTTTAGTTTGACTTTTTGAAATTTTGACTGAAATAACGTTTTCATTTAAAAAAATTGCCTACAAATAAAATTTTTGCTTTCAATCAGATTCGGGTTTCTATCTTCAAAGCACAAATTAAAATTTCTTCAGTCTTACAAAAATATACACAAAAACAACTTGTGTTATACAAGTCAAATTATTACTGATATTTTAGAGCAGGCAAATTATGCTTGAGAAACAATAATTTATCCACATTTTCGGGTCGTGAAAAGCATTTGAGGCTGAAGTAGGCTTCTGTGGCTTCCGAAAAGACACGGTCGCTATAAGCGCTAGTTGCAGCCAAATGCCATGTGACAAATCGTCGTTGAAGCTGCCAAAGGAGCCAAATCCATTTTGTGCCAAAGGGGCCTTCTCCCAAAACAAAATTTTTCAGGAGAGCATAAAAACAAAAGATGCATTTAAACCTCAATATTTCTATAATTGAGGAGATGCAGACAACTTCTACTCACTCAAGTAAATTGGTAACAGCAAATGAGTGTAATTTATAACTGGTTTTAGTATATTTACCAAATCATCATAAGATGTATGTAACTCAATAGGAATTACAGATTTTAATTTCTGATCTCCGATTTTGATGCCCTTCGCATATGTTGTAGTACTGGGGGAGGGTAGGAAAAGTGAAAGTGGGTTTCCCTCCATGCCTCCGTTTGGCCTTACCACACCCCCTCAAAGAGTAAACGAAAACCGGCAAATTTTTTTTGCGAGTTGCTCTGAATTTTTTGTTCTCATTTTTGAACTAATCGAGATATCGACTTCCGGTTTTCGGATTTGGGTAGTCAATCGCATGGACTACAAAACTACCGCGTTCAAACTCAGTGACAATTTTTCTTTCATACAAATAAATATACTTTTTCAAATGTTTCTTTACTTCTGGACCGAATCCTATTATGGGAATCATTTGTATAAATAAACTTTGCAAAAATAACAATGATAGATTCTACGAGTATACATATCTAAAATATATATTTTCCGCGTTAAGAAATTACAACCAATACCAAAAATTGTATAAAAACCAAGTATTAATTACAAATTACTCCTTAGTTTTATTTAACCCTCTATTTTTCGTATTCGGATTATCATGCGTTTTCACGTGATACCTCAAGTGTGCAATCCTCTTAAACGATTTATCACACCTGGGACAAGGATGGTTCCTCACGGATTGGTGGACCTGCCGCTCATGCCGTTTCAACTTCATCACCGTACTGAACATTTTCCCACAGGAGAAGCACTGCTGCTTTACGGAGGAATGCATCGCCTCCGTGTGCAATTTCAAGGACTGACTGAACTTGAAGGTCGCCTCACACTGGTCGCATTTTAGGGGCCTCTCTTCCGAGTGTGTCTTCATGTGGGAGATCAAATTCGTGTGCTGATGAAACGCCCAGCCGCAAATTTGACAGATGAACGATTTGCTGTCCGAATGAGTCACACTGTGCGTTTTCAGACTACTTTTCGAATGGAAGCGGGATGGACACTGGGAGCAGGGAAATTTTAATCCTTGAGGTTCGTGACGCCGTTTAATGTGACTTTTCATTCCCAAACGGGAGAAAACTTTGCGACAAATGGGACACTCGGATGTAGGTGGGGGTGGAGGACCAAATTTTGACCTTCTGTATCTTTTCTGTTTTTCTAAGGGAGAAGAGGTTTCATCTGTTTCTGGATTTTTGGGAATATTTGTTTTCTGTTTTTTGGAACGATTTGGCTTTTTAGTTGGCTGAGGAGAATCATCTTGAGGAGGAGGGGTCCAATCTGTATCTTCGGGGTCGGAAATATGTCCTAGGGAAGGCTGGTCGTCTCCGGAATCTGTTTCATGATGAGGTGCAAATGTCAGTTCTTGATTACGAGACTTTCTCCGCCTGGAATTATTTATGCATCATGTAAACAAGTAAGTAATGTGAATTTAGTGATACGAATTTAAGTCGGTGATTAATTTATGACTTGATTTAATGCGTGTTTTTACGTTTTACGCTCGCGTCGAACATCTTCTCGGCTTTTGTCTGTTCCTCCGTCGCTGTCATCATCGCCTGTTTTTATTTCAAATTTTAAGGGAAGCTCAAGATTCTGAAAGTATTCCGATGGAGCTGCTGCAAAGTCGACACGATATTTTTGCGTAATTTCGTCCAAACATGACTTAATTGATCGTAGCCAATCTTGCATCAAATTGACGTTACATGAAATATCATCTGGGAGAAGGGAAAGAAATGTATTTACTATAAAATATTTTTAATTTCCAAATTTGTATTTTTAATTTATGTAATAACCTTCAAAATAGTTTTGCCACTTGTTAATAATTGTCCCCAGCTTAATTTCCGCCTTGCGAAAGGTATCCTCGAGGAATTCCAGCTCTTTAAGTAATCCAGGCAAGTCCACGTTCATTGTTGTATAACCGCTAAAAATTATTGACACGGGAAATGAAATATTAAATTGTATAAAAATGAAAAACGAGGAAACTTTTTCGAAATTACTTTTCAAATTCCTCCTCTTTCTCCGTTTTTATTTCTGCCGGATCAATCAAGGCCTTCTCGCCCGACAGGAAAGCCATTCTAAATATGGGATAGAATTATATTTTTGAAATAGTGAAGTATGAAATATAAAAAGGCGTACGATTAATAATTTGTAATTATTCAGCAACAACACCAAATTTTAAATTAGTTCCGGAAGATCAAACATCTTGACTACCTGTTTGACAGTCGAGAAGATTATGATAGGATGTTTTCCAGATTTTATAAATCAGGCACAATCAGCAATTATCATCGTTAATTATAAGCATTGACAATTGACAATATTAAAAAATCTGTTTTGTTTATGATGTGTTGTGAGATTCAATCAGCTGGATTTGCTCGTCCCAGAAAAGAAAAGTAAATGGGGAATCTGAAATAAAATCTTTGTTGTCGTCTGCAGTGTACATTTTCATGGAAATTTTCAGCTATTATTAGTGCATGTAAAATTATGACCGTATTCTATTTCTTCGCATCGCTAGAGTAGTTTGCAAAGAAAAACAAGGAGCCAAGCTTCGTAAAAATTGTCGTCGTCTCCCCAACTCGAACAAAACATTAATGATTCTCCTCCTGATAAATAATGATATCCTGGTGCAAGACCCACACTTGGTGATAGGGATGCCAATCCCGGACGATTTTTTAAATCCCGGGAATCGGGAATCCCGGTTTTAGCCGTACAAAATCCCGAGAAATCCCGGGATTTTTTCCCGAAATTCAAAATTTACCTCATAACTTGAAATTAGTTAAATTTGGGTATACAAAAAGGTACGTACTTTTAAAAGTACAGAATATAAGCACATTTATAATACTTATGCACATGTACATATACTTATGTTTTTTCGAGATCTGTGCATCCATAAGTATTATTATAACATGGAACTTTCTGGCCTACGCAAAATAAATACGATAGCAGTACAAGCTAGCGATTAGATAGTGGTGTGTCTGCTTGTAAATGTAACATTTCGGTGCAATCTGATTGTTGTGAGTCTAATTTTTCGCCCTTTGCCTTGGAGAGGTGATAAGAAAAATTTTGAAAATTTCATTCCAGAAAACTTAAATAATTAATCAACGATTTGCTAGGATTTTAACCTGACATGAAATGCATAAATTAAAGTTTATTATTAGGGTACTATTATAAAAAAAGCTACAATTGGACAATTCAAAAATTTCAAGTTCAAATATATGAACTACCTCGTTCATTCAGCCTTAAATTGATTGACTAAAATTCGAAATTATATATTTCTAACATGTTAGCTTTTTTGAGCGAACTGATTTCAGATTTTATAATTATACCGAGGATAAGGCTTATTTCTTCCTTCAAATTTAAATCTGACATCGAAATTAGAAATTTTGTAGGTTTCATTTTGTATTGCAAATTTTACTTGCGAACTATAAGATTTAGATATATTTAAGACATATATAGATATTTAAGAAATGTGGCTTCCTATGATATGTAAAGCTTTAATCTTGGAGTTGAGAATGAATTTTGACAGGTTATGCTCATCGAAACTTGTTCTTATCAATAATATAATCGAAAATTATATAAAACCGCCACTAAAAGCAAAATATAAGGAATTTTCAATCCTGAATGACCAATTGAAAAATCCCGAAATCCCGGGATTTCAATTCTTCAAATCCCGGGATTTCGGGATCCCGTTTCCCGGGAATTCCCGGGAATAAAATCCCGAAAAATCCCGGGACTGGAACCCCTACTTGGTGACACAACGGGCGCAAAATTCTGATTGTGAATTATTATTCTCCACATGATTCGTGAGGTCGATCTTTTTTAGAAAAACTTTGCACAAGGCGATCTGTTCCGTGGCGAGGGTCGTGGCAGTAGGAAGTAGATAGGATAGATAATATGTAAATATGTTGCATTCTGTCAGACAGAGGTTTTGGAGACAGGACTGTCTGCAATGCTCAACTTTTGGATTTGTTCCCAAATGCATACTCATGGATGATATGCATGTGCTTCCCGTGCACAATGGAGGGCCCTTTTCTCAGTCTGGACATTAAACAACGAATGCGCATTTCCATGAATTCATATTTATGTATAAGAAAAGGTCTAATTTTTCCAGGTAAGCTATTTTAGACCTGCATCAAGAATTACGTGGAATATTTAGAATTTCATTTCCTCACCTCATTCACTTTGATGGAGTGAGATCGTACATTTTCATAGTACTTTTTACATTAATAAGGTTCACTCTTGCTCGTTTCCTCAGGATTAAATAAATATTACGTAGGTTGGTAAATAACTCGCAAGATAAATAGAGCTGGAGAAATTATATATTGTACTAAAATAAGAGTATATTTTTATTAATTTCTCCCAGTAGACAAGAAGCCTGAAAAGAATTCTTTATAAGAATGGATTTGGACCGCAATCATGACACACAGACTCCTCACCTGGCCGTCAGACTTCCGGAGGTATGCAAATAAGTATACATGTATCTTACGTAGCATATTTACATACGTATCTATTTTATCAAAAAATATGTCTCGTTTCTTCCCAGAGTCGTTTTTAAACTTGTAATAAGTGGCTGATTTTCACATTAATATTAATACATATGTATATATTTAACAGATTGTGGCGAATATTGTCCCCTTCCTCCCAAAATCGGACCTCATCTCGTGCACTTTGATCAACTCGACGTGGGAACAAGAAGCCCGAATACCTCTCCTCGTCCTATCCCAGTTTCTCATCGACCCACAAAATATCACCCACCACCAAGAAATTTCTTCCGTCCGGGGAAACTCCGCGAGAAACGTTGGGGTCGTCGAATTCCGAAATTTGTCTCGGGGAGGCCCTTGTGGAAACTTTATTTCTGCCCATGGCCACAAAGTGAACCGATTGGTGACTCGGCTACCCCCGCCAGATGTCGAATGGCCGCAATTTTTCGAAACCTTGTCAAACTCATTCCCCAATCTGACCTCGGTCGCGTTTGTTTTCAACCGTCTGGATTACACCGATTCCCCTCCAAGCAGGACGATCTTTTCGAAGGTTAAGAACCTGGCAATCTGCAACTACAACCCCTCCGACTTCGAGGGAACTCAGCAAATACTGAGTACCCAATTGGCCCCTTTATTTCCAAACCTTGTGGCCCTCTGGTGTCAAAGAATTTGTCCATCTGTGGTGAGATCCTTCCTAAAGTTCGCCCCCACTCTGACCATCTTGACTTTGATCAATATCCCGTTAATTGATCCAATCCAAGAAAACACGGTAAACCTGACCCGGCTAGAAATCGGGCTTGACTCCAACCCCAACCGCTTCGCACAAAGTGTAACCGCCATGCTCAAAATTTCATCCGGAACGCTGGAAAATCTGAGACTAAGCCGGGTACCAAATATTGAACCCTTCGTGGTACAAAATTGCATACAATTCATCATACTGTTCCCAATCTTACCGAGATTACGGGTTTTTGAACTTGTCCACAATGACTTCGCGACACGGCTTGGGGATAATACAAATTCGCAGGTAACACCCGCTATAAACCTGCAATTTGTAAGGGGTAGTGCCGAAACGAAGTTACCTTATGCCGAGCAGTTCCCCGTTCTGGAAACATTACGGGTTTTGAAGGGCGCCTCTTCTCGAAATGATAAATTGACTGATCAAGACTTTTTTGAGGCGAGCATGGGGTTTTTGTACAATTCGTTCCTCCATTCGACTAACACGAAGTGTTTAACTTTGAAAAATTTGGTCATTCCGTTCCAAGAGGAGTGTGGGGAGAAGTTTAAGTTTTTCGACATTTTCCACATTTTCGACAGCAGAAAGAGCTTCGGTGGTTTTGAGTGGAAGGATACTACCGCAGACGTTTTGGAACGAGTCATCGATGTGTTTCCAAATTTGATACAATTGGAGAAGAAGGATAAGCCGGGTAGTAAAAGTAAAGGAAGGGGCCAAGGATTTGTGGGAAAATGCTTGGCTTCAATTTTTGGTCTATTTAGAATGATCACAAGCTTTTTCCCAAATTTGACACATATGGAGTGAAGTTGGGCGTGGTGAAAGTGAAGGAGGAATTCGATGCAGATTAAGGAAGAAGATTTTAATATTTGATGATATCTGATTAATTTTAATTGCTAGGTTATTGTTGTTCCTGTTTTGTTCATGGCTTTCTCGAAAACACAGTAGAATAATTTTTGTGTTAAATAAGTATAAGGTCAAAATGCTTCAATATTAGAATATATGCATATATAGTTTAACATTGTTTTGTTACAAATAAGAAAGGATTTTCAAAGGAAGCAAAATATTTGTACGTTATTTATTTTATTTCCAAATTTGTCACTTATTTGTTCGTATTTTAGAAGGCTGGCTATTATCATAAAATTATATTTTGATGAAAGTAGACGCACAAAATAAACTATATTACTTTGAAAAAGTGAAACCCTTTGTTCAATAATTCGGTAAAAACTATAACATATTTACGTTATAAATTATGTATGTAAAACTCTGATTAAGCGTCAGTATCACTATCTTCCGTCCCAGACCTTCTCTCGCCACCGGCGTCCTCGCCTCCATGAACTTTCACCTTATGTAACTCAAACCTCCTCGACGTGATGAAGCCCATTGAGCATTCGTCACAATTAAAATTCTTCTTCTTATCTCCGGACGATTTGTCGCTTGCTCGTCGTTTTGCTTGCAATTTTTTCCTCGCTTCGTCGTCATCCCCGCAAATCGTGGTTGAGTGAAGTCTGAGATTGCGTGGTTCTCGAAATCGTTTTCCACACTTTGAACAAAGATGTGGTTTGGATTCTTCATGCGAAAATTTGTGAGCGGCCAATATTGTTTTCTTTGAAAATTGCTTTGAACATATTTCGCAAGGAAACGTTTCATGGGTTTGATGATGGTGGGACAATTGGAGGAATTGGTTTCGAAACACGGCGTCACAAAAGAGGCAGGGACATTGAGAAGCTTCCGTCTATAAAAATGTAAATAATTCGTTCCGATTAGTCCCGATTTGGCTCAAATTTCAAAATAAATCCACTCACAATTTTTTCCGAAGTGCATCCTTCCAAATGTTGAATCCACTCGGCTTCAGTCTCAAATTCCAGGGCAGAATCACAATCGTACGGACATTTACTTTTATCCTGAAAGTGGACGAGTTCAATGTGTTGTATACTGCTCTTGCCTACACTTTTTAAGCAAATGGTGCACTTTTGAGATTTTCTGGGTAATTTGGTAGACTGTACTTCACCATTTTTCATGTTATGAACGTATTTTCTGTGACCGCTTAACCCCCCGTGAGTAGTACACGTGTTTTGACAAAGGTCACATTTGTAGCGTTTCCCTTTATGGACGGAGCTAACGTGCTTACACCGTGAATCTTGGCGAGCGAACCGTTTGTCGCAGAACTTGCATGAGTAAACTTTAGCCTCTGGAGGAATATAACTGCAAGAAGTACATCAAGTTTTGACAATTTATTGCTACGAAAATGCGTACATATGTATTTAGCATTAATTATTACCGGTTGGTTAACTTCGGCGGCTCAGCATGCTTCTTTTGATGGGCCGTCAGCTCATCCAAATCACGACAACGAGTCCCACACATTTCACAAACGAAGGCTTTATTGATATGCACAGAGGCAAGATGTGCGCGGAGCTGGAAGTTTGCAGCGTATTTCTTGTCGCACAGGGTGCACGCGAAGTCCCTAGGTTACATAATCATGTTGAAAAATTAAAAATTCAAGTGAAAATGCAATGGTGTGAACTTCACACTGTGAAGTGTAACACGTCGATTTGGTTGAAATTGTAAAATCGTGTATGTATGGAGAAGAACAAAACTTTTGAAAGGGAAAATTTTTGTAATCTTTCATCTCAAATATTTTGACCAATTTCAACCATTAATCTCACAAACTTCCAAACGTTGGTTGTTCACTTTGACTTTATAATTTTAAAAAATTAGTTTAAAAAAATAAAATTTCAACCAAATCGGAGTGTTACACTTTTACACTTTACATGATCGCATTGTGCGTATGAAATTCTACGTAAGTAATTAAACCCACAGAGATAACGTTTCCTTTGCTCCGATCGTGTCGCATAGAGTGGAGATGAAGGTTATAAGACTTCACCGTGTAAAAAACTCGGTCACAAGGGAGACACGATTTGACCGCGGTGGTTCCTTCGCCAAAAACACCTCGTCCAGGATGATATTTTTTCCTGTGGTCGACAAATTCCGAATTATTAGGAAATGGTGGCAATTCAGGACATCGGTCACAGACGAAACTAACTTTCCCGTCGGAATCACACTAAATTTAAATCGAACGAAGCATGTTAAATTTGCTTGATAAATTAGCGTGAAAATCTAATTATTTTCCCACCGTCTGGCTAGAACTGCTAATTGATGGGTCCTAGACAGTTGGTGTCCATTAAGGTTTCGGTGATTAGGAAAGGTTACGCTGCACACTTCACATCTTTTGCCATGCAGAGATTTGTGTTTTATGAGGGTTGTAAGGTCGTCAAAATTCTCACAGCAAATTGTACATCGTAAAGTGGAAATCTCTTGCTCGGTTGGACCCAATGCACTAAGTATTATCCAAAAGTTCAAGATTAATTAATTCCTTTTACACTTATGATATACATAAATTAAGGCATTCATCGTTAGTAAATTCGGCTTACGAATTATGAATTTTGTCGACGTGGTGAAATAGCCCACGCGCATCAGGAAACTCGGCCTGATCACATTTATCACAAAGAAATGTAACCACACCGTCTTCATTCAATCTGTGGAAAATATGGAAATTTACATATGCAATTGTGTCACATAAATTAAATAATTTTGATCTATTTACTTTCTGCAGCTTAAAGCGGTCACATGTTTTTGTGATTTGAGATGTTGAACTAGGGAAAAGTTGTGTGGAAACGAGATATCACAAATTTCACATTTTTTCTTATACTGATTTTTATGTTGGGTTAAAGTTTCCACGTCGTCAAATTTTGTGGCGCAAACGACGCATTTTAGAGAAGATATTTCATCCTGGGTTGGGATCACAGTTCTACAAGAAAATTAGGGTTGAGTGGATGAAATTGATAAAATTTTTAACCCGGGTAATTACCTAGGAGGAGGAAGAGCTTTAATTTGCCCAGTGTGAGCGAAAGTAGTTCTAAGATGACGCTGAAGAAGGTACATTCGGCCGTAAGTTGTATTACATTTAAGACATTTGTATCTTCCGGATTTCTTGGATATTTTAGCACCATCAAATTTCAATTCTGGGCGACTAAATTAGAGCACAAAATACAAATACAAATTCAAGGCTAAATTGTTGATAATTATGATGTTAAAAATTTTGAACATTTGCAATTATGTATGTACCGGGCACGATGACCAGTTTGGTTCCGCCCGGTATGTGCGAGAGTAGTGGTAAGGTGACGACGAAGATCCTTCATTGACCCGTAAGACGTATTGCATTTGAGACATTTGTATCTTCCCGATTCCTTGCATCTCTCGGTGTCATCAAAACTCAATTCTGAACGACTAAATTAATGACAAACCAGAACACGACTAAATATTCAAGACTGAATGATTGATTACCATTATGCAAAGAATTTATGAAGACCTTGGGTTATTATCATCTTGTCCATAAACCGATTCGTCATCTGATGAAAGCTCGACTTCATCACTGTCCGAGGAAGCATGAAAGTCGGAGTCGCCTTGATTCTCAAAGTCGCCATTATCATCATCGTTATTTGGATTACCACGTTTCGTGATATTTTTGATTAGTTCCTCCGCCCGGATTCTTGAGAGTCGTGGCCTCTTAGCATCATTCTGTAGGTCAGCTTCTTTGTCGTTGCCGTCGTCGCATCGACTATAAAATAATAAAAAATCATGTTTGAAATGTATGGAAAATTTAATTGTAGCGTTTATGTATCTACTTTCGTTAATAACAACGCATGCATATAGTAGCCGGTTACCTCCGCTTTTGATTCTGTCGTTCTGATCTGTCCAACCATGGATTCCTCTGGTGTCGATTAAGCTTCCACAATTTGTCAAACGCCACCTTGCACTCGGGACAGGTCAGATTTTCCAAGGTGGGCGATGCAATAGGTAGGCTGGAGGCATGACTGTCGAAATCCGGGACAATTTCATAAACGCCGTTAATGTTTGTAAAAAGTTTGACTTCTTCGCCATCCTCGTTTTTGACTTTTGCTATTTGCAACCCCCCTGAAGGTTCCAGAACACATGGGACGACGACATCTCGAGCAGGATCATGCATCGTCACCAACTCTTCTTCAGTCTTGCATTGCACAAATTCTTCGATCTCAACATAATCATCAATTTGTGGCAGGGCTAATGGTAATTCTGGCATTGTTTCCACGATGAAATTTACATCAGAATTATTTACTTGAACACTGGCACCGTCAACAGTGACCTCAAGATCAGCGGTCTTATCGTCTTCACTCGTCTTTATCGATTCCTCTACAACTGGGAAGATAAGGTCGTCTACAGGCACACAATCGTAGTCGCTTGTATCACTCTTGCATTTTTTGACATCTTCATTATTGGCAGTTTTGTCATCAACGCTTGTCGAAACGTTGGGGGAGTCATCAAAATTCTTCAGGTTAACAACTTGCATGCCTTTGGAGTTGGATTTCCTATAAAATAATCAAATGTAGAATTCTAATTTGTTAATTGTGAATGCATATTTATATTAACCGAAATTAGGGTTACTTATTTTGTCGTTCTGATATGCCCAACCATGGATTTCTCTGGTGTCGATTAAGCTGCCACGATTTGTCAAATGTTACGTTACACTCGGGACAGGTCAGGTTTTCCAAAGTGATCGAGTTTGAAATAACTGATTCGTGATTATCAAAATCCGGAACCATAATGTCATCGTCGTTATCAAATTTTGACAAAAGTTCGACGTCTTCACCTTATACTTCGGGCGAATCATCATTTGGATTGAGCGGAACGTTATCAATAATTTCAGACGTTGAATTTTGTATGTCAGCATCTGTTGATTGAGAAATTGTGTTCCTAATTATTTTATAGTTCCCTTAATAATCCAGTGAAGAGTGATGATTTAATTTATTTAATTACCTTCGTGGTCCGATCCCTCTTGGCTACCAAGTTTGACCACATCGTCGTCTTCACTTTGCACCCCAGGCAAATCATTATGGTGGTCATTGAGCGTAATTATTTCTGAGATGGTATCTTGTATTTCAGTATCTGCTGATTAAGAAATTATTATATTCTTGATTAGATATTGTATTAATTCCGTCAAATACCATGGTTTAATTTAATTACCTTCAAGGTCTGATAAGTTGTGGCGTAATTTAAACACACTTCGAATGCAGGTTGAAATCTTGTCAATTCTCTTTCTCAGGTCGATAAGTTTATCCAACGTTGCCGAACAGAGGGGACAAATTGAAGTCGTGGAAAACTTGTGGAAACTTTCTTTTAAAATAATTTGTCGTAAAATTTCAACTTTTATTTGAGATAATGGACGGCGCTGGTGCTTCACGCCACAAATGGAGCAGTGTAAAAATTGTGATTTAATTTTTAATTCGGATTTAACTAAATTCGTAGAAATTGTCTGTTCATCACATAGTTTAACTAGGACGGCGGAAGAAATTAAATCCTGCAATAAGTTTCCCGTCCCCCGATGTAATTTGTTGGACGTCATTTTGAAACTAATAGTTAGGTGGTTTCGAAAAGCATAAAATTGCTAGTCATGTTTTTCCTTTAACTTAAAAAACAAGCTGTTAATTATTTTCTTGATTATCGTAAACACACAAGAGGAGAAAAAGAAGGAAATTGTGCAGCATGCAAAAGTGAATCGCGGTGAAGATTTCCTTTCTCTTTGTTTATGTTGCAGGTGAAATGATACGCATTTTCATAGTTACATACATTATGTATCTACCAGCTTGGTAGGGGTCATAGTGGTCCAGCATAATTAATTAATTAATATGTCTTATTCTATTCTGTGGTGTTACGCTGCGTCCCAAAGCAAAGTGTGAAGATAATTTTGTTACTCGTAATAATTAAATTACATAATATGCATATCCAGTGCTTGCAATTAGTATTAGATATAGGGAAGTGCGCCTAGCGGATGAGACTGGTCGAAAAATGCCGTGTGGCTCCGCACGCGAATTTAAAAATAAAATTTTTTGTTGAAGTTTTAGACAAACTTATGTTGACTTAAAAAATCATGATGTATTACTTTAAATAATGCCGCAAATTTCTTAGGTCTAATTTAAAGCGGACACTTTACATAAAATTTTTCAAAAAATATGCACGAAACTAAACTCATGTGGATGACCTGAATATAATTTAGCCGAATTTTCAAATGGCCGGTTTTCTATTCAGTCAAGGGTCAGGAAGTCTGATATGGCTTCAAATTAAAAGTGACAAGCAGGTTTCCCAAAAAATGAGGGATTTGTCAGAAAAGAAATGACCCTGAATTCTTCACTATAAATGACCCCAGTGACCAAAATACGTACGCGAAAAACTGGATCAAATGAATTTTGGAATCCATGGTCATCGGTCATCATCTTCTGCAGAAAATTATTTTTTGGCTGAACGTAACTCGCTGTCAATAAGTCAAAATTCCTAAAAATTGCCAAAAAGTTAAAAAATTTTGATTTTTTTTCCGAGAGGAAATTGCCCCAAACTTTCCCCGATGTGGTCACATTGAAAAAGTGGGGACAGATTTTGAAAGCTAATATCCTACTGAATCAGAAACACCGAATGGATGGACAGGATTCAACAGAATGTGGTAGCAAACTAGCTCTAGGTGGGTGAGAAAATTTTTTTGGGAGTTTTCAGGAAGAAAGTAGTTGTGGAAGCCACACACGAAACCTAGCCAACTATGGTTTAGGGTGATTGTAGGGTAGGGTCACTACTTTATCATCGTAAATTTTTAGTAAACCCAGTCTGCTATATTTAGAGATATTCACATTTTTATGCCAGTCTCATCCGCTAGGCGCACTTCCCTATATATATTGGTATTTTGTATTTTTACAGTTTATTCCTCCAACAGTATTAAATGTTTGATAGAAAAGTTCGCCAAATTTTTCAGCGTTTCTATAACCGGTGTTTCAATGTGATTTTTAAATTCGGGTTTTATTTGTGTTAGATAATAAATTTGCATATTACACAAACCATTGCGTTATTCAAAATGTTATCTCTACAAAAAACTTTAGAATCCTCTTTAATCAGCACTTCCACGCCTCCCGTAAAATAAAATGTACGCCTCCTTACGAATATCGTCGTTTGAAGAGAATGCATCAGACTCCACGAACTCAACCATTTCGTCGCTAAACTTCCGCCATGCATGATCCACAGGATTTTTGCAGTAAGCTGAAAGATTTAGATAAGTATTCATGTACAAAATGTGCATTGTACGGATTTTTATGTCCATATTTTTTTTATCTAAATACATTTTGACAGTTATATTTTGCATTGCCCATAATAATTTCCACCCTATTTACAATTCTAGCCAGAGGTCAACGCCGCCGATCTTACGCCGCCGCGCCGCCATACGCCGATAAATCTAATTCCCTATTCTTTCAGCATTGAGGCGACGCGCCGCGCCGTGCCGAAAAATCCCCAAAATTGGTGCCAAATTGGTCGGCGCTGACCTCTGATTCTAGCAAGTTTTGCATAAAGGTGTTTTGAATAATAGTCATATTGTATTTATAATCTTTTTTGATTAAACATATTTTCACATAAAGGGACTTTTTACATAATCGGATATCGCATAATGTTACACCGTTCGAAATCTGGTAATAATCAAGCAGGTATTTATTTCTCGATATTAAACCGCTCGGTATTAAAATTATCATAAAAAAATTTGCTACCGATACGGTACAACTTTAGTATCGATATCGAAGATGCGAAACGAGTGAGAACTAAGATTATGCAAATACAAATTGTGCTAAAATGTTGTTTTGTATATTTAATTTGAAATTAGACCAATTACTTTTTAGTGTTGTGCAAAATAAATTATATAAATCAACCGGAGACCGTTATGTATGTATTTTTACATACTTACCTTCGTTGTAACCGCTGTCGCTAGTGCTGTCATCCTGGAAATAAGTGACAACGCCAAACAAGTCGTAAATATTGCCCTCGTTGCGTGGCGATTTTACCCAAGGCGAAAGATCTAATCCTTCTATTGGAAAATCGACTTGTTTTCCTAGTGGAGAATGGGCCACCTATGTACAATGGAAATATGTACATACATACATATATAGATATTTGTACCTAAAAGTTTTATTTTAGGCAACAATAATTGACATACATAACTAACCCGTTTACTAAATCGCTTTAAAACAATGACCAAAATTTGTGGAGTTGTCCATATTTTAACCTGCTTCACCGTCCCACTGATTTTCTTCTGACAGCGGACACAATGCCATGAATCCTCGAGATTTAATTGTTCCGCTTAAATTGCAATTTATAAATAATCATGTCATTACATAGATATGTACATACATACACTCTAAAAAATCCCGTCACAAGGAGTATTACAAGTCGGAGTGTATATGTATTATTGCAAGGGTTTTGCATCTAGGGGTTGCCTTATTGGAGATTATGAGATTAATTCGAGGGTACTACAGGGTGTGCCAGTTTAATCGATTTTTAAAATTAAAAAGTCCGACTTGGAGAATTTGCAAAATGTATTCTCTATTTTTAGACCAAAAATTGTTTTTTTTCCTTTTATTAAGAAAAAACTCGAATAAACCGTCGCAAACGCGCATACGGAAGTAGCTTCAGACGTACTTCACCCCAAACGGTCCCACCACAACTCGGGAACACTTAATTTCACTCTATTTCACCTATAGATTAACTTTTTGTAAAAATCTCATTTTGCCCCGACCACACCCCCTGGCGACGAGGGGGTGTGGAACAACTCGGGAACACTTAATTTCACTCTATTTCATCTATAGATTAATTTTTTATAAAAATCTCATTTTGCCCCAACCACACCCCTTGCGCCTAGGGGGTGTGGCACAACTCCGGAACACATAATGCTACTCTATTTCACCTATAGATTAAATTGCACTAAAAATCTCATTTTGCCCCGACCACACCCCCTGTCGCCGAAGGGGTGCGGCAAAATCGGGGAAACACTCAATTTCACTTAATTTCACTTAATTTCATTTAATTTCACTCAATTTCACTTAATTTTACCCATAGATTAAATTGCACTAAAAATCTCATTTTGCCCCAACCACACCCCTGGCGCCGAGGGGGTGTGGCACAACTCCGGAACACATAATTTTACTCTATTTCACCTATAGATTAAATTGCACTAAAAATCTCATTTTGCCCCGACCACACCCCCTGTCGCCAAAGGGGGTGTGGTCCGGTTGCCCCCAAAAGTTGATAGGATCCTCCCCCTGGGGTCCTATGTATGATGGCGAAAACCGATTTCGATTATCTCGATCCGTTCTCCTGATATCCTGCTGACAGACAGACAGACAGACAGACAGACAGACAGACAGACAGACAAAGTCTTCACATAAAGTAGCTGAAGCTACTTAATAAACTGACACAATTGTATTATTGACTGATAGAAATTTGTTACTAAACTGGTAATATTTTCAAATCCCGCGATTGGACCTATTACTAGCGTGGTAGTGAATTCACTAGTCAGTCGATAACAAACATAAATATTACCATGGCGATAAAGTCGCTACATACATAAGTATTTATACGTATATTCCGCAATACTTTGGTATAATAGTAGATTATTTAGAGTGTATTAACTTAAGTTCCAAGCTCTTCACAAATTAAATAAGTAAGTGACCTACGAGCTGTGTAGCTGTTGAAACAATCTGCCAGACTGACTGAACCGTCCGGGTTGTCATCCGGTATTGGGATGGGTAACCCCAAGCCGAGACAAGGGTCAAATGTCATGACCTCTTTATTGCATCCCGAGCAGGTTAAACTTGAACCAAGAAATCCAATAAAACAATCTTGAATAATGGACTTATTTCTGCTCAAGTGATACGCAATCGTTTCCGCTTCGACTTGTGCACTTTTATCTTTTGAGAACTAGAGTAAAAAATAAAGTAATTATATATTTAGCATTTTGCTTTCGAGAATCGTTAGAAATTCGGGATTTTTAGAAACTAAAATCATGACTAAAAAATAACAAAAATTTGGAAATTGCATTTTTTGAGAAATTTGTCTGAAACAGTTGAACAAATTTTTTGTAAAGCGGAATACTTGTCAGACCTGAAGAACTCGATACATTTCCTTGCTCGCGCGAAGATTCAACTCCTCGTTAAGGTGGTCTAGCAGCCAGCAGCAAAATTCGAAAGCGTCATGCAGGTTATCACCCTCCCACTGGGGGCCAACCTGGCCGATAATTTCTTTAAATTTATTTTTCATATCACGGAGAATCTCGTGTTTAGATGGATTCCACATATTTAGAAAAAGTTGGGCCAATCTTTTAGCTACCTTGCCCTGTAATTGTACAAAGAAATACAGGGTGGTCAAATGTCTCGCTACAATGGATAATTTTTCAATGGAAAAAATTCATAAATTTCCATTACATAGTTGCCTTTTAAGTTCACTATTTAAAGAACTTTATCATTATGTTATACCAGATTTGATATTAGAGTTGAATAATCAATACAAATCCCAATCTTGCACAGCCTGCTAATTTCCAACCAATGGGCGTCGCACATTGCCAAATTATATTAAGCAAGCGAATGACGCATAATTTCCATCGGCATAGTATTAAAAATGTGATGGGAATGAGTAAGTCATAAGTGGTAAATGGTTACTAATTCTTCTACACTGCTAAAAAGCAGGTAAGTCACATATGTACATTATACATACTCCATACTGGTATTGATTTGGTAATAATTTTCTTCCGGATTGGTGATAGTTTGTTTATGATTAGTGCATACTACTACAAAATTACTGAATGGTAATGCCCGTTATTACCGTTCCGGGAGAGGCACATAAAGAGGTACATATGTAAATATGTACTCTTGTCAGTATTAATTTAATACCGGTTTTCTAACTATATTTAAGAGTGTAAGAAATGTCATTTGTAAATACGGAGGTGAATAAGTAAGTAAAATGCACCACCTTTCCCAGCGGAATCCAGTACTTCTTCCTCAAATCAGTTAGATGTTCATTTGCCAAAAAGTATTTGACGAATGGATCAGCGTTGCATAAACATTGCGCAATAACGTTTAGCCAAACTGTATTTTCCTCGTTGGGCAGTCCAACAGTGGCAGGGACGAAATTATCTGGAACAAATTTTGAGCAAAAGTTTAATTATATACACTCTTACAAATCCAGTATTAAAATAATACCGATCGGTATTCATATACGACTTTACATATGTATAAGAGTCTGCCAAAGTGGTACATACATAAATAGTTCCGTTTCAGTAATAGTTTGGTATTAAAGTTTTACCATATCGGTAGAAAATATATAACATGTATTATTTTAAATCTAATAATACTAAAGGGCCAATTGTAATTTAGATACTAAATACTTACCTGGTCTTGGTAGTCGTGTTTTCCCCATGTTATTTAGCTTTAAATAAGTAATGTAAAAATAATAATTTTTAAAGACTGGTTGAATATTGTAAATATAAAATTTCTAATATGCTAATGATGGGAACAAGAGTATATATATTCGTTGAAAGTTTGCACATCCATTCAGGAGTAACAATCACTATTTTGTGCAAGGAAGATAAGTTTATGTACACAAAAATGAGTCTGTGCGGGCAGGTGAATGCAAACATCCGTTGTGATTATTAATACGAGCAGTGTCCTGGAAAGCTGTGGGGACATGTGGGGACATTAGTATTGTAGGATAGTGGAGGGAGGGGTTTATATGACATGGGCTGATGATGGGGACATCGAATAACCGTGGGGACATTGCCCTTTTGTCTGCACACTTCCGCAGCCACTGAATACATATCTGCATAGATATCGCAATGTGCGAGTCTGTTTTTCATATATTCACAAAGGTGGAGTGTTTACATGATGTCGCCATAACTTACATATAGATATGGTCGTATCTACATTTCCTGTATGAACGTGTGTATAGTATATAGCTGTATCCATAGTCTGTGATTTGTTCATGATTTCGTCATGATTTCATGGTTTCTCGCATCCATACTCCATAACTTTCCAAAAATTATTTTATTTCGATTTTCTGATTGGTCGATATTTTAATTGTTATGGTGATTAACATGCTGAAATCATGAACCCGTGGAAGCATCACCAAATCATGAACAAATCACGGACTATGGATGCAGCTTATGATAGTAGGTATACACATACGTATGTATGTATGCACTTATTAGAAATCCAATATTAAGCCAATACCAAACGGTATTCATACATATGTATATGATTCTACGAAGTGGTGTTGATAAGTAATGCCGTGTAATTACAGCTCGTTATTAAAGTCTTACATATCGGTAGCAGATTTTTATGGGCCGGCGTAATTTTATGTGTAATACCGAGAAATCAATACATGGTTGAGTATGCCAGATTTCTAACAGTGTTTTTGATACATAATGTATGAAAATTTGCAGTTGTACTTTTTCAATTGTTAAATAATATGCTCATTGATTGTACAATTGCACTATGCTAAATGTGTATTATTTATAAGCAAAACATTTTCTGATTAGTGGTATGTTCAATCACCACGGTAACTATAAGTAAATTTATAAATTATTGACATGTCCAATCTCATAAATTTCAAAACTGGTGACTGACTTAGGAAGTAACAAAGTATGCATTCAGGTACACGTCTGTTTGAAAGAACATAGGTACAGGGTACATAACAAACAATTACCTTTAATTTATAAATACCCCTAAATGTTCGGGTACTTTTTGCAAAATTAAGATGGTGATGACGCGATAAAACGGAATCATTTGGAGTTTATATTGTACGAAAAATTTCAATCAGAATGCGACAAGTTTAAACAAACAAGGTCGGTGTGTGCAGTGCGGAAAGGACGCGATCGATTTAAAAGACTGCACGAGGGATAATAGATACATGGGGCAGCCATGGACGCATTACTTATAACTTAAAATTATGACGTATAACTTAACTTATAATTATAAATATACCTCGCCTTATGGCGTTTCTATGACTTATAACTTATAAAATAAGTTATACGTCATAATTTTAAGTTATAAGTTATATGTCCATATGGCTGCCCCATGTATCTAATATCATCTTATCTTTTCCATGCAAATTACGGCATGAGTTGCATTAATGAAACTCGAAGATGTATACACTTAAAATTAGAATCTGGCATAGTCACGAAGGTGTTCATTTTTCGGTATTAAATTTGCTACGCTTGATATTAAAATTATACCAGTCTGAAAAATTTTCTAATTAAGTGGTAAACTTTAATATCGAGCTGTTACTGCACAGTTGTCAATACCACTTTGGTCGAGTCAATTTTAATACTGGATTGCTAAGATTGTACATATATAGCCCAACTTACAAGGTTGCGGTCAGAAGTATATGCACACAAAGTACTGCATTCATTATATATGGTCCATTACCACATGACCACCCAATGGGTACCCAATTAAACGTGTCACTTTGGTCCATTTACAGATTCCGGTCCAATAAATCAGAGAGATCAAATTTCAAAACTTTTGAGTACCTCAACAAAGCATTTTAAGAAGTTATGTAATATCATAAGTGAAAATGAAAAAATTAAATTTTGCAGATTTTACCAAATTTATCCATAAGCGCAATGCTAAACTTTTCAAAATTTGTTTTTTTTTCAAAAATTCATAACGTTCTTCAAAAAATCGTATAGAACTGAACAAGATATCAAAATGTTCACATTAAGTTGAGCTACCGATTGAAAATAAAGCCTCCAAGGAAAAACATCACTGTAAGAGTTGAGAAATGAGCTTTTGAGTAAAAAATTGTGACCTTTGACGCTTCCGAGATTTTTCAAAAACAGGAACGGCATCCAACGACAATCTTTCTGCGGTACTACCTTGCAAATTTTCAAGCCCTTATCTTCGTCATTGCGCGAGATAGAACAGTTTTCTAGCGTACAATTTAATTTGCTCCCCACTGAGCATGAATTAGAACATACGCAGCCGCTTCGCCGACAAATTTGATTTTCCAATCCTTCAATAGTCCATGTTTTAATTACTGAAATATGATTGGGGATACTTCTAGTGATTCCCTCCCACTTTCAAGAAAATCATAGGCAGAAATATTTAAAAGAATCGAAAACAGTTCATTTTTATCCTAGATATGTATTGTCATTAATTTTCTTTATTACGGTCGCGGACCTAATCAAGTTTCCTCAATTATGTCGCGGTCACGTCGCGTACCGTATTTTACAATTTTTATGACTTCCGAGTGAGTTTAAAAACGTGGAAAGGAAAATGTAGAAACTAGTCATCAATTTCACACAGGAAAAATCTATTTATTTTTAGCAATTTTCAGAAATTAAAATGACAAATTAAAAACTACTTTTTTACTGCCTTTCACACTACTTCTCTCCTCGAGTCTCTCTTACATACTTGCTTGCTTCTGGAATATTCTGGCAAAAAGCTGATGCAATTTCCCGAAGCGGATCACTTAAAGTTACGGGGAAAAGTGATACATATTTTACATTTTCATACAATTATCAATTCATACATACATACAATTTCATTAATCAATTTCCAACATATATACATTAATTATAAATCATTTCTCGACATTCTTGAATTTCTGAAGGTGGCTTGGGCACATCCCTCACATACAGATATTTTGATTTATGTTTGGTGGGATTTTGACAAGTGGGAGCACCCAACGATCCGCCATACCCCTTGTCGATCCTCAGGCACACGAACCTCTCAGTCCCCTCGAGATTTGCGATGTAGCATAACCATGTGAAAGCATACAGAACTTCCATCGGGCGACATTGATTTTTAAAGGCAAGTTATTGAAAACAAATTAAGGAAGGATGTTTCTGATAGATTTAGATTCAAGCAAAAATGCTTTCCGCTGCATGGTATAAGTAATAATTATTTGGAACGGGTGAAGAACAACTTGATTTGCCCAGTGGAAAGGGTGTCAAAGATAAATGAACATTTGGCAAAATTTAGCAATAGAACCAAGAAGGGACACGCATTACTTTAATATGGTGCTAGCTGGTTCATTAAGAATTACAAAAGTGATAAAAAGTCAACCACCAACATACTACCCTACTGAAGAAAATACAGGAGAGAAAGTAATAGGTGCAGTTTATCAACTTGAATTAATTCCAGTAGTTGAGGAGCGTCTTTTAACAAAGGGAATCGGGTATATATTGTTGAAAAAATTTCGTGCATTTGAAATAATTTGGGCTTCCAGAATCAAAAGTAAAGATTGAAATCAAAGCTACAAATCACATGTAACCGCCATCATATGAAGCCAAAAGTTCAACTGAGTAAGAAATTAAAGGTTAGATTAGGAAGAGGCAACAGTAAGAATGCATGCAATTAATTGATTGACTCTACAGGAATTCTGTACGACTTTACAGAAACACTGTATAACTCTGCACAATCTACAACTAGTACTAAGATGTTGGATCGCCTGGATCAAAGGATCTAGGAAGTTGAAGAAAGTTTATATTTTACATTTCCCTCGGGCAAATACATGAATCAAAAGTAACAACGAAAAACTGGTGATTTTATTGTTGAATTATATAAGTATATCTTTTTTCCAAAGGAATTTATATGAACAGATTTATATCAAGTGTATTTCAACAACCGTTTACTGGTAATCCAAATACGTATTACATACATATGTATATACTAGCTATTCAGGGAAAATAACAGACATTGGGGGAAATTGTTTTACCTATGTAAACATAATCCTTCAGTTGGAGTTAGTGATCTTCAATAGTGAATACAGATAATAAGAACTGAGTTTTCATTAATGAAATTTACACTAGAATTTACAGACACTACGAATATCATCAGACTTAACTAGAATTTAAATTTTTCGAAAACTTATTGAATAGACGAAGGAATTCATAAAGGTATTTGATACCAGATTCAAGATTTTACGAAAAATTTTCTGCTCGTAGCAGATGTTTAAACTTGTCCCGTTATGTGCTTCTATTTTTCAAAATAATAATTTAATTAAGTTTACTCAACCAATGAACCAGACCCGTACCGACGATGCTTCTAGGTGGAGCGCTGGCTCCAGGCCGTACGGCCCGAACGGCCGTACCGGCGCGCCCTATACACTAGATATAATTGCCTATCACACACAGAAAGATAATTGCATATTAAGTGTGGAAAAGTGTATGTCAGACGTGGTTTATTTGCGAGGCCGGATGTTCCTACTACAAAAGGCGTTAGGACATGGTTTTGACGAATTCATACCTTAATTGCGGGATGGTTTTTAGTTGTAGAGATTTCTAACATTTTTTATGTGAAAGCCCATGTCTCAAACTATAGGTAAGCATATCTGGCTTCCGATTTTATGTACTCTGCGAAATGAGGAAAGGTCAAATTTGGAGAGGTGTCCTTTTTTAGTTTTCCAAACCAGTGTTCTTATAAAATGGCGTTGAACAAAATATTTTTTTCTGAGGTCCTGGTGCAAAAATCGTCTTTGCGACTATTATCAAGGGACTTAGCATGCTTTTCACTATATAAAACCACTTTTGTATCATGCTTATCTTTTAAGTCCCTTTTGTAGTCTAGCTTCATACTTGTCTTAATGGAATGCTCTCTTGAACGCAACTCCTCGACTTTAAAGGCCCCCACATTTTAGGACTTTGATGCTAAAAATCCCTAACGTGGTTTTTATCCAAGGTAGAAATTGTATGTTGCATTGTAAGTACTTTTGATAAAATTTTGATAAGTGGTTACACCCCAGGAAATGAGTTTCCATCAAACCCTATAAAATTTTTACAAAAGTTCTCCTCGAAATTGAAGCGGAACTTTAAATTTTTTTAACTAATCAAAACGCAGTAATTTTATTATTTTGTCACTTGTACCTTGTAGGTAAAATAGTTCTGCATCAGGGAACACAAAAAAGTTATTAAAATTTGTTTTCAACAAAATTTGACCATTATTTTCCTAAATTAGTTCACGAGTTTTTTACTATTCCCCGTCAGCTGATTAGCTAGGGTCCTTCTCCAAAACTGTTTACACAAAATCTTCACTGTTTAATTTAATATTACTTGAGACACTTAGAGCTTTGCCCTCAATCTTCATTTGACCTAGTGGGTCCGCTTTAAAGGTCAGCAGGTCAATTTTCCTGTGCACGGTCCGATTGATCACTTTTCATGAAAACGTATCAGCGACGATGGAGGCCCAACGTTATGTAATTCATTGTGGATTCTTTTATTATTACATGCAATGATTATCTAGGGTTGTAATATTAACAATCATTCACCTCTGACCTCTTAGGTTATCATGCTATATGAGTAATTCAGTTTGGAAAGTGTTTTTTTGGCTCCTTCAAACTCTGGGGGCACTGGAGGGGGCATTTATAAAGCTATCGGCCCAAAATTTTAAATATATCTTTTTGAGAGTATTATCTTGCAACTGACCAAAAATCAGTTCAAAATTCAACTCCCCACCAGAGATATTCAACCGCGAATTCGTCAAAACCATGTCCTAACGCCTTTTGTAGTTCCTAGTCAACAATTTAACAATTTTAAACCCGAATCTCCTCTTACAGGGATGGACCTTTAGCTAATGAGAACTTTGAGATGTATCATACAAAATATAGTATAGTACAATTTCAGACGTACCTCCACGAAGGACTACGCGTGATTTGGGGAGCTGGATGGCCACGGGCTTTTATTTTTTAATTTTGAAGATTATTATAGCGTAATAATAAATCAATAACGTAGAGTTGAAAAAAATGACCTTCAACCACTTTTGGGGCCAGAAAACAGAAGATCTCGACACCCCGATTTTTTAAGCGATATGGGGTAATATTTTCAAAACGGTTGCAAATCGCTGAATACAACCAATTAGGGAAATGAAGCTACTAACATAAGGTCAACAAAATATCCATTCCTAATCCATCATCCCATAGGGGAAGCAAAATATTTAAATATAGGCCAAATTTGTGTGATTAATTAATTAATTAATTAATTTACTTTTGAGATTTTTGGTTAAAAAACTGTGGAATACCCCAGTGGGTTTATTATTTCATTCGACTTACACGGGTAAATAAATAACTTCATGTAACATTTGATTTCAAGAAATGAGATAGAGGATTAACAAATAAGTCTCGAGGGGCTTGTAAGAAGGGCATCCAGAATTGGGTTATAGAATTTCATAGAAGATATTAAAAATCGGCTTTTAGTTTAACGGAAAACTGGTTTTACAATTTTCGAAAAACCGGTTTCACAATTTTCCGAAACCCCGGTTTTTAAAAACTCCAACACCAAAACCCCAACCCCGGTTTTTGGAGTTTAATAAAATATACTTTTTTAAGAGGCAATGTTTTCTGCTTCGAATTGTTGAGATAGGAATTAGTTGTGCTGTAAAATCCCTTATTCAGTTTACATTTAATTTTAATTTTGCATTCTTTGATTATTATATTTGCCAACTTTTTAGAATTTGCAATAAAACCGATTTTTAAAATCGGTTTTAAACCGGTTTGCGCAAAGAATCGAACACCGGTTTCCTACGATTTTTCAAACTTCGATTAATAGAAAACCGGTTTTACCACAATTTGAAAAATCCGACGGTGTTTTAAAAACTTCCGATTTTGGACGCCCTATTTAGCACATGATTTCTGGTTAATTAGACGGAATTTACTTAGAGCTTAAACCTATTGAGTGCCCAGGACGAATTATTGATATGAAAAACTAGCTAAAACTGGGAAGGGGCAACGCTTTACAATTGCTTTGAAGAAATACTCCTGTTTGGTTCACATTGTACATGGTGGAATTCAGAAGTCATGTGAAGGAGTAATTTAATAGAAATGAAAGAAAATTCGATCCTAAGTACTAATCTTTAATTCTTTGATTCGAGCGAAAACAATTGTCGTATTATGGAAAACATTTTAATTTTTTCTGGAGGAGTACTAGTCGCCCTGAAAGCTTGTGGTCATTGTGCAAGACGAAGATAATTGTCGTTTCTCGAAGGACACCGGTTTTCGCCATTCTCTCTCCTCGACGTGTGTAAAACCTTTTGTGATTTTGAAGGATTCTGTTATGCAACTGAGTGTTAGATTTGAACACTTTCTTTCTGAAAATTTGGGCATACTAATCTAAATCTAATGCAATGTCAGACTCTGCATCTTGTTTCGACATTTACATATTTGAATCAATTTCTTCCTCCCGCACTACGAAAATAACATCTTCTTACTTATATGCTATGGTCCCAGAATTAATTCATCTTATTGTAGTCAGTCATGCGTACTCTTGTAAACGTTAAACTATGGATCTCCCTCGGTACCGTTTTTTAAGGTTCCAGTACTGATCCTAAAGGACCCAGAAAGTGGAATTATCACAAAAAATTCTAACCTAATGAAATTAAAATGAGCCGAACATTTTTTTCATTTAAAATTTACTCCGTGGTTTGAAAGGTGGATATAGAGGGCTAGATGACACTTAATTTTGCGACACACTTTGAAGCAAGATACATTCAATGTCGTAATGACCAGATATTTTACACCATTTTTGAAAAGGCCGGACTCAATATGTGTTCCAGGCCGTCCCAATCCCAGGAACGCCTCTGCAATGAACTAAATTAATTTGCGGTTGCACGGTGATACAGTCGATATACTATGAAACACTATTTTTTTTCGACCAACAAAACGTTCAAAATTTCCAGATCAATTACGTAATAACAGCCAACAGTAGTATACATAGTCGGGAACACTCAAGTGTCAACAGCTGATTGCTAAAAAACTACGCCGCAGAATTTAAATCTGATAAGTGCATTAGATTTGCCATGCGATTTACATTATGATTCACTAGGGATTTTGTAATTTTTGAACATCTGAATAAATATATAGGAGATTGAAGAGAAGTGGGCGGCGATAGTTTTTCACAAAAAAAAATCCAACAAAAATAGTGAGTTTGACATGTGTTGAAAAAGTCAAAGGTGTACTTTAATTTAGCCTAACGGACTATAAAAAGGTTCATGGGGACCGAATCGACAAAGAACAGTCGAAGAAGAATTTTTTGAAAACCTCCAAGGACCACACCCAAATGGGAATAGGAAGGATGAAAAGCAGTGTAGAAAACCAAGCTGGCTCAAACTTTTCCTTGCTAAATACCTTCAATGTATTAGACTTTCGCGCCGGTTAAAATTCTAGATACCCATAGGGACTTAATTTATTTTTTACGGTATTTTTTACGGTTAGAATTCAAAATTTAAGCATTTTTGACCTTCCTATGCATGACAAAACAAGTTTTTTCGACATCTGACCTGTTTTTCGCCATGCTAAGGCCGCCCCACTTGGAGTTGGGCCATTGGGTTGAAATTCATCATATAAGCATTTTTGGCCTTAGAATGGCGAAAAACAGGTCAGATGTCGAAAAAACTTGTTTTGTCATGCACAGGAAGGTCAAAAATGCTTAAATTTTGAATTCTAGCCCAATACCGTAAAAAATAAATTAAGTCCCTATGGGAATCTAGAATTTTAATCGGCGCGAAAGTCTAATACATTGAAGGTATTTAGCAAGGAAAAGTTTGAGCCAGCTTGGTTTTCTACACTGATGGAAAGGAAGACTGCAACGCCCACGTGGTCTGGCAGTCTTCCTTTCCATCCTTCCTATTCCCATTCCTTCACACTCACATTAGTTCTTCCCGTGAGCAGTCACCACAAATTCTCCCCCGGTCCTGAAGAAGAACGAAGGTTCGAAACATTGACCATTGTCCCTTAAATCCGGATTCTACAGTTTACAGTGAGTCTCATCCCCATCCTTACTCCTTATTTTTAATTTATGAACTAAGAAGATATACTATTTTGTATCTGTCCCTCGTGTACAACGTGCTTATAATTTGTATTTGGTACGTTACTCATACTGAAAGTCGAACCCAGTTTTAGCGACGCTAGAATCTGATGAAAAGAAGACGACACCCGCGCCATCTTGGAACGTTACACTGGTTGGAATTGTATTCTCACAAAATCTGCAAATGTACGAAAAATAAATATCCATATCCCAAGCAGATAAAATATTAATTCCCATACATCGCCACTTGGAGATAACGCCAATCAAACCAATTGTAAATCCTTATCGAGTCAAATTGGCAGGAAGAACCAAGTTCAAGATCTACCCTCGTGAAACGGAGGGTCGGGTGTCCCGGGACACTTGGGGCAATAGGAAACAAGGCCCTCTCGTTATTCAAATAATTTCCGCCGTCAAAGGGATAGCTCAAATTTCCTTTCGCTGTAGTCAAGATTGTGTGACTTTTTATAATCTGAACTTCGGTGGAACCGCTCGCATAATATTCCATCCTAAATCCTAGCGTTGGGGAGTGTCCAACGACCAAAGTGATCATAGCGGTTCTTCCCTGTAAAGTTATGTTCTGACCAAGCGTATCTCTAAATAGTAACAACATTTCTTGATGAAAAACAGTATTTAGTTATTCGACGATGGTTTTTATCATGGATTTGGATTCCATTTACCCTACAAATCAACGAGGTGTAGAAATTACTGTGTCGTAACACTTAAAGTAAGATGGCAAGAGTTTGAACATCCTTAGTAACCCAGATCCATGATATATTTGCACATAAATTAGCGTCTTACAATTTTTCTGAGTTTCCAAGCCCAGCAGCGGATACCGTGGTAATGTAAAGTTCATCCGTTTCCTTCAAACCGGACGACACCAGGTTGAACCTTTGCATGGAGTAAGGTGCCTGCACAATCCAGACGCATCTCATATCGGCACGGATTGACCCGCCAAGTTGAAACTCGATCGAGGCAGATGATGCGTCCAAATAACCACCGCATGTCGTCACTAACAATAAGTTTAAAATATGTATAAAATATATTTTATAACTACGTAGGGATCTCGCCATGGGAAGTTGATCACTAGCACTTTGGGACACAAATAGTCAAAAAACGATTCCAGAAATCTCAAATTTGTGTAGAATATTATAAATACATCTGACTACCCAGATCCGCGAACAAATAAGACTTAAGTATATTATCCATCTCATATTTAACATTTTTCATAATGTCCGTCATTACTGATTTTTCGGAAGACTTCGCAACTTCATTGTTAATTTTCTGCTACCAGAACCAAAATGTTCTTGAATCAAGGACTGTTTCCCAAAGCTGGGAGTATTACTTCGTGCGTAGAGTCCAAAATGTTTCGATAGGGCGAAGATAACGGAAACTTGGAGGGTTTTCATTTTTCAAAATCAAACTCCCATTTCATCACCATGCATTTTGATGCCAGCCAGATCGGAAAATTCGTGAGAAATTTTTAACAAAATTTTAATTTGTCTTTGGTTTTCATTTGAGACATATATTTGCCATGAAAAAATTCCATTCCCGGAGTTTCTGTCACATTTTTAAGGACGTAGGACTCGTCGTCGGTGACTAACTTTTTTGGTGAGATTTTGTTGTAAAGCTTCGGAGATCGTGCGATTACGATTTTTTCTTCAGCTCCCGTATGTTTTCCTGGAGATTTCGTTGCATACGCCTTGACCCCCATTTTATAGGCATTAATATTATACAAGTTGTTTGTATTAATCTTTGACTTCATGGCCGCATCAGGCACCGACGTGGATGGATAATTTTCAAAAAATGATTGAATCGTTTTTAACTTTTGAGGGGTCAATATGACGGTTTTTTCAAATGGTGGTTATTTGAAGTTGACATTTTCGGATTCTCCATACTTTTGTATGTATGTGTTAATTTTTGTACGGCCACACCCTTCTCTGATGAAATGTAGCCAAGTCTTCTTCGAGTCTCTGTATCTCAAATTTTGGCACTTACGAAAAACTCATTTCGCGAGTTCTTCGCTTTGAAGTGGTGTACGAAATTTGTTTTCCAATGAAAACTTATGAAACTTTTGTGGCATGTGGCTAGATATATTTGGCGTATCCACAACAATTTCAGATTTTAAAACCTATTTTTCGACCGCTCTTGTTCGAAACTACCAAGTGATCAGCTTCCCATGGCGAGAGCCCTATTTTAAATATTACGTACCACAAGATGATGTGATACATGTGCGGATTTTTTTATCTTACCAGTAATGGATGGTTCAGGGTCCTCTGGTCTTCCCTGGTAAGGCTGCGGGGCGGCTGGACATATGTACATACACACATATAAAACTAAATAACTTGGGTAAAGTTAGAATCGGAAATACAATCTTTCATGAAATTTATTTCCGTACCTGTGACCGCAGCAAAGAGGAAGGTGACCAGAACAATGGCGAGCGTTGAATTCATGTTGAAGCCGAATTATGGTATGCTTGGAAAGAAGATACTTGGTGTCAAATTTATACTCTGCGTGACAAACGATATCAAATGTGATTTTGCTTATCCTCCTGTCCAGACAGTCTTCATTGCGTCAGCATGAAGTGTTATCGATAGCACAAGGTACGAGTGTAACAAATTTAATTAATTTAGTATGGTTGTAAGCTTACCTTTTGTTGCATGTGAGTAATTAGGCAACTCCAATCGTGATAAGGATGACGTTGGATTGGACAAATAAATTCATTGTCATCAGACGGGTTTGGAAGGTGGATCGGTAGATTTTGTAAAACGAAAAATCATACAATCTAAAGTGCGATGAATAATGCAGGTTATTTTTATGTGAACTTTGCCAGCAAGTTTGGTATGTAGGTCGGAATGACAATAAACGGCTATTTTAAAGTTTTAAAGAGAGAAGGCATTTTACAAATGTTTGACGCACAATAATTAAGAGTTTCATGGAAAGTTTTCTTTCGCTAAAAAAATTTATTGCATTGTCTGGTAATTTGCGTGCACGAAATTTTAGATGGGAAACGTTTGGTATTTTTTTTACTTCATACCTTACCTTAGAAAAAATTTTGTCAAGTCGATGTAGTACAGACATATTTACATACCCAACGTTGTGTTTATCATGGAGTCCTTCTGTTAAAGAATTTTGTAACGTTCATAGCGGGTTCTATGGATGCATAGTTAACGAGGCGTGATAGTTTGCTCTGGCCGCTCTATCAGCCAATACAGTCTCTCGCTCAATATTTATCCGTATGTTTACAACATGCATAATTTTTTGCACAGATTTTTGAGCTTCTCAATCTTATACCGAGATTAAATGTGCACTCAAAAATGTGAAATTTGTTGAATTATAACTATTGATAGTTGGGCAACAAGGGAGCAGGCCCTTTAAGGAATTGATATGCTACTTTTATTTATATTAAATGCCGAATATCAATTTCCATCAAAATTTTGTTTCCTCTCGAGTTCGTCATTTAATATAAATAAAAGTAGCATATCAATTCCTTAAAGGGCCTGCTCCCTTGTTGCCCAACTATCAATAGTTATAATTCAACAAATTTCACATTTTTGAGTGCACATTTAATCTTGGTATAAGATTGAGAAGCCCAAAAAATTGCATTTTTTCCTGATTCGTCTCAATTTGTCATATGCGTAATTTGAGTATGCGTGGTGGGAAGCCACCACCACACATACTCGTCCCACTGGAAACCACTAAAAACATAAACAATGCCAGATGATATTTGCAGTTTTTTGCAAAAAATTCAAAATTCCCACCGAAACTTGTGAACTTTATACCCCACCGAGTTCGTCAGTTTCGCCACTATGTGATTTATGAGGATTAGAATAACATAAAATATTGTCAACTCTTAATCTATATATGCACGTCACTGCTGGTCAAGTATGTGTGTTAAAATCATTGCAAAATGACACGCTTTGGTGCAATTCTCGCCAAATATTTCGCAAAAACTGATCTTGCATTACATGTTCTATACTGTTAAAAATCTGTGAGTCACATACATAGATACTCCGTAATGGTATTGATTTGGTAATAATTTCCAACTGGATTGGTAGTAAATTTTTCCTGAGTGGTAAATTTTTCATTACCACAACATTACTGAATGATAATTCCACTTAATACCAGTGCCAGTAGAGTCATATGCATATGTATGTACTCCGGTCGGTAATGATTTAATACCAGTCCTCTAAGAGTGCATGGAAAACTTCAATTTGTGGTAAAATAAAAATATCTATCAATGGATAATGTATTGAGAGATTATTTGGAAGGGGATCGACATGGGACTGTACTCCATTGTTATATAAATAAATATGATTTTGCCATTGGATATACATAGAAAAATCTTTAATTTATTAACTACAGATAAACATAATTTTTGACATGCATACAAATACATACATAGTTTAGACAATAATACGTTAACCACATTTAGTTAGCTGGTTACTCATATTGAAAGTCGAATCCAGTCCTGGTCACGCTAGAGTCTGACGAAAACAAGACAACGCCCGCGCCATCCTGGAACGTAACACTGACTGGAATTGTATACGCACAAAATCTGCAAATTGAAACAATAAATAAATTTTGGTACTCCGAACAGGTCAAACATTGATCCACTCACATTGCTACTTGACGATAATCGCCATCAAACCAATTATAAATCCTAATGGAGTCAAATTGGCAGGAAGTACCAGTTTCAAGATCTACCCTCGTGAAGCGTAGGGTCGGCTGTCCGGGGACACTTGGGGCAATGGGAAACAGGGCAATCTCGTTACTTCCATAATTACCACCGTTCCTGGGATAGGTCATATTTCCTTTCGCCGTAGTCAAAATTGTGTAGCTGGTAACGTCTGGAGCCACGGAGGAGCCACCGCTCGAGTAAAATTCCATTTTGAATCCAACCGTTGGCGCGTGTCCAACGATCAAGGTGATCATCACGCTTTTTGACGGTACGGTTACGTTCTGACCAAGCGTAGACCTAAAAATATAGTAGAACTTTTTAATGAAGAATAATATTTGGTAGCTTGATTGTAGTGTCATGTATTTGGGTTTATGTTACTACAAAAACTGTCTAGGTAACTGGGGTAAACTAACATTGGGGGTCAAAGAATTAAATATCTTTAATAATTCGGGACATGTACCCATCCATATTAAAATCTTACAATTTTTCTGAGTTTCGCAGCCCAGAACTCGATATTGCGGTAATGTAAAGACCGTCTGTCTCCTTAAGACCGGAAGAAATCAGACTGAATCTTTGGACGGTGTAAGGTGCCCGCACAATCCAGACGCACCTCATATCGGCACGGATTGACCCGCCAAGTTGAAACTGGATCGAGGCGGATGACGCGTCCACATGGCCGCCACATGTCGTCACTAAATAAATTCGAGTACCATAAGGTGACACATATTATGACAAATTGTGTAGCCTTACCACTGACGACGGGTTCAGGGTCCTCTGGTCTTCCCTGGTAAGGCTGTGGGGCGGCTATAAATACGTTTATATAGAATTAAATAACCGGGGTAAAGTGAGATTCGGAAATATAATTTTTAGGGTATTTTGTGCATACCTGTAGCCACAGCGAAGAGGAAGGCGACTAGAGCAATGATGGCAGTTGTATTCATGTTGAAGACGAATTAGGGTGTGCTTGAAAAGAAGAGAATTGGTCTCAAATTTATACTGTGTCCGGACAATCGATGTCGTAATTGATCTCGCTTGTCGGGTCGTGTCCAAACATGGTTCATTGCATCATCATTAATAGTTATCGATGTCACGACTTATGGGTGTGTTAAGCTTTGATGCAATGTCTTATCGGCGTGGGATTGATATGTTAGGTAACAGCGTTATGTAGTAAATTCGAGGTTGATACGGTGCACAACTTTTGGATGTGCGTAATTATACCATTCCAACCCTGACAAGACAATGATGACGTAAAGGTTCAAGTGGTCCTTGCTCAAGTTAATTAATCGCTGCTTGTTACATACAAACTTTAGAAAAACAATATCAAGTGGGTGCAATACATAAGGTTGGATATATTGGTAATGCAATGGCCCTGTTAAAAATGATGCACTTTTCCTTCAGAGTTTATACTCAGCCCAGGTCACGGCTAGTCAAGTAGCACACCATGTAAATGTCCTGCATAATTAAATGATGCAATTGGTGCGACAAATCTCGATACAGCTTTTCCTATTTTTATCATTCTGATTAGTTTTTCATATGTGCATTCCAAAGCCACCCAAAGCCAGCCGGGTCGGGCGTGGTCCGATTTATAAATACATAGTCTAAGCAAGACCCGACTTACTTTTGGTTTTTGCTGCATAATAATTACTTAGTTTTTATGAAATTCAAATGTTCGATGCCTTTACGTAATTGATCCACCATCTTTTTTCACGTCACCCGATTGTAGGATTTCAAAGAAAAATTGATAGCGCCTTGGCATATTGTTGAATGTACTAGATTTGGTAGATACAGTGCAAAAGTAAGTAAACGCAAACGCAGATTTACACTCTTAAAAATTATGTTACACTTTTGAAAAGTAAATGCAGTAATTCTACATTAAGTGAACTATTACAAATCTTGAGCGAGCGAACTTGATAAGAGTAAAGTTTAGTCGAGGTTGAGTACCTATAAGTAATTTAGAATTGAGAGTGCATTGGTTTCCAAACGGTAACATTATTTTTAAGAGTGTAGTTTGACAAAAAAATAGGAATTAAAATAATTAAAGTTCGTGGTGAAATTACTCGTACCAATTGCATCATTTTATTTCGCTGCAAATAGATATTTTAAAATACATGGGAATGTACATACATACTCTGTTGTCTGCTGCTTGACCATCGGTGACGTGGATAAGCTCGGCATGAGAGGGTTATTATTTTTTAACAGAATCACCTCTCTATAAGTACTTGCATAAATCCAATGTTATGTATTGCACCTACTTGATACAGCTTTTTTCTAAGGTGGGGTGGTGAAAAGAGGGAACGTTTGCTCATCCAGAATTTTCTACGACACAAGATTCCGATCCAATAACAAATTGTATTTGATAAGGAGAAAGTTTCTACAAAATACTTAATTATTTACTGTCGTGCGTTCGTTGTTCACCCATTCCTATACGGACTTTTTCTGCGAATTTTATGTGATTTCTTAACTTTAGGGACCATTTTGTACATACGACTCCTGGGTAGTCAGTCTTTGCGATACTTGTTGTGATACATTTTCCTGTATAATTTTCATTTGTTTCTGAACAACTCACATATACTCTGCGAATAAACCTTACACCATGATCAATAAAAATGTTTTTTTTACTATTTACTGTGCCTCGGATATTAAAGATATGCTTGTTCTTAAAACAAATCTATGTATGTACTTAATAAGTACTACTTATCTATTTATCTAGCTAAGACCAAATATTGGTTGAAATTTTTACCTGAGATTTCTCTAGTTGACTAAAACTTGAAAATGGATGCTTGCTGTCATGTCCAGATACCAGACATTCTGCCATGATAACTAAAACATTATGTATAACCGAACCTTAGATCTTTTGGTTTTTCGTTTTATCAAATTATGCTTATCCAACTTTGCAATCTCACTACGATAAGGTGTCCCATCAAATTTTAATCAACACTCCCGTGACATTTGACAATTTAATGATGACGCAATGAACAAGGAACATCAATTACGACATCGATTGTCATTCCCGTATAAATTTGAGACCACTTCTGTTCTTTCTAATCAGACCATAATTTGTCCCCAAAATGAATCCAACTGCTACAGTTTTTGTCATCGCTTTGCTTTTCGCTGTGGCCACAGGTATATAAATGAATACCCTACTAAATTATATTCTCGATTCTCACGTTACCCTAATTATTTAATTTTGTATGCATTTATTTCTAGCCGCCCCACAGCCCAACCAGGGAACGGCAGAGGACACTGAACCCGTCGTTACTTGTAAGACATGAATTACTCTTTTTTACGATATATTTTATATTTTAACTTATTGTTAGTGACGACATGTGGTGGCCATGTGGACGCATCATCTGCCACGATCCAGTTTCAACTTGGCGGGTCAATCCGTGCCGACATGAGGTGTGTTTGGATTGTGCAGACACCTTATTTTACGCAGAGGTTCAACCTGATTGCTTCCGGTCTGAAGGAAACAGACGGTCTTTACATTACTGCGGTATCAAAGGCTTGGCTTGGATACACTGACAAATTGTAAGATTTTATATGCGCCCAAGTGTGATGGATCTAGGGGGTTGGGGATGTTGAATTTGCTGCCGAATGTCACTTAACCCATGGGTGCAAATAGAAAGCCACGATAGATCCATGACACTGTTTAACTAACCTTGCGATTACGTCAGCAGTCTCGGCCCGATTTTGACCAAACCACGATAATTATGTAACCTTAGATAAATAATTAAACACGTGTTTCAGGATTTTTCATAATGGTCAGTTTAAACAAAGTTATGTATAGTGGATAGTGGAACATATATGTAAGTGAGAGTTTCCATTTTTACCGTGACAGTTTTCTCACGAGGGAGAAAAATACAAATTCTCGCGTACGGATTCCATCATGATTTCGTTCAAACTGAGCATTATGAAAAATCTTGAAACACGTGTTTAATTATCTATTTATCTAAGGTTACATAATTAATTATCTTGGTTTCGTCAAATAGTAACGAGACCGCTGAGGTCATCGCATTGTAAGTAGTATTTTTTCATCAGATAGTTAATTACATTTAGATCTTCAATTGGTCAAAACGTGACCCTAACCTCAAGAAGCGCGATTATCACCTTGATCGCTGGACACGCGCCAACGCTTGGATTCAAGATGGAATTTTATTCTAGCGGTTCCTCCATCAGTCCAGATGTTACCAGTCACGCAATCTTAACCACAACGAAGGGAAATTTGACCCATCCCAGTAACGGTGGAAATTATGGAAATTACGAGAACGCCTTGTTTGCCATCGCCCCAAGTGTCCCAGGACAGCCCACCCTGAGCTTTACAAGGGTAGATGTCGAATCTAGTGGCGCCTGCTTATTTGACTCCGTTAGGATTTACAATTGGTTTGATGGCGATTATCTCCAAGTGGCGATGTGGGTGGAGCAATATTTTACCAGGTTTGAGTATATAAATTTATTGTTTTTGTTTTGTTTAATTTGCAGATTTTGTGGGACTACAATTCCAACCAGTGTAACATTCCAGGATGGCGTAGGTCTCGTTTTGTTTTCGTCAGATTCTAGCGTCACCGGGACTGGATTCGACTTTCAATATGAGTAATGCATTGAATAAAATTGATAAACTCATTGTTGGCTGGACTTTTTTAGTCCGAGCGACATACGTATGTATGTATGTATCAAAAATTATATTTCGATGTGGTTAATAAATTCAAGATTTCTATTTACATTTTTTTTAATTACGATATGATGCCGTGTACTTAGAGCTTCAATACTCTGCAAGAATTTGTATAAAGTCATAGCCGATTAATTCCGCTTCGTCGAATTTTAAGGTCACCGACAGGTCAAAGGTCAGAATTTTTTTAGCACTTCAAAATGAGACCCCAAAAACAAAAAATCCATGGTTAATGTTTTTTGGACTTTTTAGTATTTTTTATTGGAAACTGCAATGTCTTACGAAGAAAATGAGCTATCGTACGACGATACGGTGTACGATTTTTCTCAGGCCCACAGGAATTTTTCGCCAAAAAAGTTTTTGAGGCCTGAAATCACGACCGCGGCGAAATTAAATGTGGTCGCGATTTTAGGCCTCGAAAAGTTTTTTGGCGAAAAATTCCTCTGGGCGTCAAGAAAATTGTACACCGTCGTACGATATATCATTTTCTTCGTAAGACCTTGCAGTTTCCAATAAAAAAATACTAAAAAGTCAAAAAAATTAACCATGGACTTTTTTTGCGGGGTCTCATTTTGAAGTGCTAAACAAAATTCTGACCTTTGACCTGTCGGTGATCTTAAAAATCGCCAAGGCGGATTTAATCGGCTATGCGTTTATGCAAATTCGTGCGGAGTATAGAAGCTCTAGGTACACGGCATCATATCGTAATTAAAAATACGTCAACGTGCGCTCAATTGTTTGATACAATGTTTCATTCAACTTTCAGATTTGTATTTATTTGAGTCGTTGTACCCCGACGTGACAATTTGTGGGACTGAATATATCTAACATTTATGCATGTATGCACGTATGTAGGTGTTTGTAAACGCTTTCTAGTAGACCAGAGCAAATCAAGTTAAAGATTTTCTGTACGTAGGTTTAATGATGAGCTAATTTAATGATGGTTTAATCATTTCGTCTCGCTGTTCCCCATCGAGTTATTTTTGGTACAATAAGTCAATTCTTGTCCCATATGTATCGTCCTTTATGTAAACCCGCAATGAAATGGAATATTAGCATTTTGAAGGCCATAAATTCCTGACGTGCTGACAAATATGGCAAATATATGTATATCAATCTCACAAATTCAAATTGTCATAAATGTAAACGCACTCTGAACTCTATATTAAGTAAATTATACTACAGACTCTGTAAATGCAGAGTAACGGTAACTTTACACGGACAGATTTCATTTACTTTTCAATAGGGTAATATTATTTTTAAGAGTGTAGACAGTTAATCCTTTCAGAGGTTTTAGATACACTGTTGAAAATATGGTATAGTCGAGCCGGTATTAGTTTTTAGGTATTAAAGCTAGATAGTTACTACTGCCTGTTATTACAATTAAAAGGATCCGTGAAAATTTGCTGCACATGTATGGAAAAACTTTAATACCAAGGTATTACAACAACGCATTATTTATCAATTCCATTTTGGTGGGGTTATACATGAATACGGCTTGGTATTAATTTAATACTGGATTTCTAAGAGTGTATATATATGTGATTCTGAAACTGGCAAGGTAACGGTTATTTCATTCTGATCCACTACTTTCTCGCTTAGTGAAGACTCCGATTTTCCACTTAAGATTACTTATGTAAAACAGATGGGATATGAATAAGGTTAGGAAAACCGTTGCAAGTTACAAGGACCTTGTCCCATAATAATAATGTCGATATAATTTTGCCCCAATGGTACAGAATTTGTGAATTTAATAAATACATATTTTTTTATATAATTTTGATACAACTAAGTAATTCGTTTAAATGATTTTGGGATTAAATCAATTTACTTAACTAAATTGTAGCAACATTCATACTAATACATACCTAAATATATAGTCAATTATTTGTGCAAGTCACCTTATTTGCATCTTTTGACGCATTCGCTAGAGACATTCCTTAGAGCGTTTATTCTACACGGAAAGCCCGTATTGCCTAAAATGGCATAATAAGATTTATGCAAATGAAGTGAAGTACACAGATAATTCCACCATGCATAGCCTATACTGTCAACTGTAGTTTATTAATAAGTAATGATTTAATACCAGGTTTCTAAGAGTGTATATATACATATGTAATTGTAGACCGAAATCTGGTAAGATCAGGCAGGTGTTTATTTTTGGTCCGTAATTTGTCATCAAAATTATTAAATTACATAAACACTAATGATCTGACGCTATAAATAATTTATACTTTCTATGCAAAAATAGTTAAAATTTACTCAAGGTTTGTTAAAAAATGGGATGACACAATTAGGGAAAGTTTATTCAACCGTTTTGTAAAATTTACCTAATGTCGGACACATTTTGGGCAATTTTTTCTATTTTAATTTAGAGTGTATGTATTTTAAGAATGCAGTTTTTACCTAAAAAAACAGGATGAAGAACGAAAATAATTCAATTTTCTGGTCAAATTACCCGTACCAATGGCATTATTAATTTTGCTGAACGAATGTAGGCACATATTTATGTACGGACTAATAAATAAATTCTCGTGCATATGCGTACATATTGTGTACTCCATGGCGTGTGACTTAACCAGCGATGGCGTGAGCGGTTTGATGATAGACTGCGCATAAAGGTTTTATCCTTTTTTAACAAACATACACATGTATACAGTTTTTTCTACAGTATGGTATTAAAAACACGGAACCTTTGACCCTTGTTTTTCGTTGTATACAGATGTGTGTATTTACCCACTTCCCAAACTAATCTGTTGACGCTAATTAATTTGAGCAAGGTCCACACACTCCAACCTTTCCCTAATTATTATCAGGATCCGGATGGCACACATTATGAATGTGCACAAATTTGGGGTAATCCCACCAATTAGATGTTCCATCAAATTAGTAAACCCCATAACTCGTGATACCGATGGAAATTAATTATGACGGAATGAACCTTGGTCTGCAACAGGACGACAAGCTAGGTAAATAAATCAATTGCAATATCAAATGTCATGCACAGTATAAAATTGAGACCAATTCTCGTCTTTCCAATCACACGATCATTATTCCTCAACATGAATCCAACTAGCCTAATTATTCTCGTCGCCTTCTTCTTCGCTGCGGTAACAGGTAAATACTAATGTATACAAATAAATATCCTACAGAATTATACGTCTCATCTTACCCAAGATATTTAATTTTATATTTTCATATTTTTAGCCGCTCCACAGCCTAACCAGGGAAGACCAGATGACCCTGAACCCGTGATTAGCGGTAAGACTATAAAATATATATAAATATTCTTTAGACGCAGGCTTGAAATTTTACAAAAATTGAAAATTCTGAGAAACTACGCCACTGTCAGTCAATCTCACATTACATTCAGCATAAGTAAGATTCTTCAGGAACTGACAGTGGTGTAGTATCACCGAATTCTCAATATCTGTAAAAGGTCCAACCTACCTGGATGGAGAGTATATGTACCTTTCCGGAATTACATATTTTATAGGAACTTATATTTATAACTTTCATTTTGTACTCATATATTTTTGTGACGACATGTGGCGGGATTGTGAACGCATACTCGGCCTCGATCGAGTTTCAACTTGGCGGGTCAATCCGTGCCGATATGAGGTGCGTTTGGATTGTGCAGACACCTTATTTTACGAAGAGGTTCAACCTGATTGCTTCCGGTCTGAAGGAAACGGATGGTCTTTACATTACTGCGGTATCGATTGTTGGGCTGAGTAGCTCCGAAAAATTGTAAGGTTTTAATACGCATGTGCACGTGTCATGGATCTCGGTTACCAAAAATATTTAAATTCTTGACACCCGGCGACACCTTATCCTAGTTACCTTATGGTTAGACCAAGAGGATTTCTGGGTTACCTAAGATATTTAAATTCCTGCCACCTTACCCTATAGTGACCTTAGACGAAAAGGAGTCCTTGACAGTGCCATAATATTACTATTGAGTAACTAAATATTTTTCATCGTTTACTTATTTTAGATCTACAATTGGTCAAAACGTAACTGTAACCTCAAGAAGCGCTATGATCACCTTGATCGTTGGACACGCGCCAACGCTTGGATTCAAAATGGAATTTTACTCGAGCGGAGGTTCATCCGTGGCTCCATATGTCACCAGTTACACAATCTTGACTACGGCGAAGGGAAATGTGACCTATCCCAGTAACGGTGGAAACTATGGGAATTACGAGATTGCCTTGTTTCCCATCGCCGCAAGTGTCCCCGGACAACCTACCCTCCGCTTCACGAGGGTGGATCTTGAATCTGAGCCTACCTGCGCTTACGACTCGATCAAGATTTACAATTGGTTTGATGGCAATTATCTCCAAGTCGCGATGTGAGTGGATCATTTTTTTACCTGCTTTGAGTATGGAAAATTATTATTTTTGTAATTTTCGGATGGTTTGACTGTTTGCATATGGAACTGTATTATTCTTTTAATTTGCAGATTTTGTGGGAATACAATTCCAACCAGTGTAACGCTCCAGGATGGCGTGGGCGTCGTCTTGTTCAAATCAGACCTTAGCTGGACCAGGACTGGATTCGACTTCCAGTATGAGTAACGCATTTAATAAAAATTATGACCACGTTGTTTGCTGAACTTTTTTAGTTAGAGGAAGATATCAAAATTATATTTCTTTGTGGTTAATAAATTCAAGATGTTTATGCATCATTCCATATCAAGGTCGTATTTATTTGAGTACGGACATACGTATTCACCAGCATTGTACACTTGTTCAATTTGATATGTTTATTTTGTTCCGTATTTAAATTGTGTGTTGACTCTATTTTTTCACATTGTCTCCTCGATCCAAGTCGGACAAATCGGAAACCGCTTTGTCAAGCTCTTCCGGTTTTGGATACCCTGATTCATACCTAATCCAAGTCGGATCTGGTGTGGTCCGGACTAACCGAACTCCAAGCAACATCCGACTCACTTATGATTTTCCTAATAAATAATTACTTATTTTTTATCACATTCTAATTTGCAAAGGTTTTAGTTAGCCAATATTTGTTCACATCTCACAATTGGAGTGTTTTGTGAAGGAGGAAAATTACCTGGCATATTGCCACGTTGTTGACCGTGTGAGATTTGGTACATGTAAATATGTACCAAGTTACCAAATATATGTGAGATATTATTTGGGTTAAAGCATACCTAGATATGCACAAACGTACACGGAAAACCTGTGACCGCAGACACACTTTCACCATGAAACGCATATGTTTTTATATGACAAGAAGAAGATGAATGTTTATCTTCACGCCTATTTATATACATATTCCCTGGGCTGGAAAAGTAAAAATTATTCGTTGTATAAAATTATGTTTATCCACTCTCCAAAATAATCTGCCAGCAATTAATTTACTTGAGCGTGATAAATTCATTATAACCTTTGCATACGTCATCATTATCAGAATTGGAAATTCCAGTCTTGATAATGAGCACAATATTAAAAAGTTCCTCCTGAAATTAGTCGTACCAATTGCATCAGTTAATTTTGGTCTGCGTACATACGTATGAATGTATGTACATACTAATAAGTACACGTGCATAATTACACTCCATTGTATGCCACTTGACCAGCACAGGCTTGGATGAATCAGAGTTTTTTGTAAGGTAAGGTACTAAAAAGATGGAAGGTTTGCCCATTTACAATTTCATGTAAGACATAAACATCAGAACATCCAAAGAATTTATTTAGTGCGGGGAAAGTTTTTACGTATGTAGGACTTATTTAATTATGTATCGTCCCTACTTTTATACCACAGATTTTCTTATCTATCTATGCACCAGAAACTAAAGTATTGCTTGAAATTTTGAGCTCAGACTTCTTTTGCAGATTAAAAATTGAAACTGGGTGATTGCCATGTTTTCATGTCCAACTTTCTGAGATACATATCTGTACCATCCCAGATTTCCATGCAACATATATGTAGCATAAAAATCACATATCTTGCTCTATCCACCCAGACCTTAGAACGTTTGATTTTTCGTTTAATAAAAATATGCTTATCCATTTTCCATAACAAATTGCTGACAATCAATTAACTTGAGAAAGGTACATGCACACTAACCTTTACGTTATCATGATCAGGACTGGAGTGGTAATAAATATGTAAATTAGTCACTTGCAAAATTGTGCTTCACATCAAGCTATCTGACTCAACGTGCCAATTCCACCGCGATAAGGTAGCCCATCAAAGAAATACAGCATGACATCGATCAAAATTAACGATGACAGAATGAACACTGATTTGGACAAAACTTGTCCGACATTACAAGAAAAATCAATTATTGAATCGAGCGTCATGCAGAATATATATTTAAGACCAATTGTCGTATTCCCAATCAAACCATAATTTGCCTTCAACATGAATCCAACTGCCCCCATTATTCTCGTCGCTTTTCTATTCGCTGTGGTCACAGGTAAGTACAAATAAGTACCTTAGTGTAGGGAACTAACAAAGCTATACTTCTCACGTTACCCCAGTTGTTTACTTTTGCATGAACTAATTTCTAGCTGCCCCGCAGCCTAACCACGCTGCGGCGACCTTATGGGCCAGATTTTAGAAATTCCCCGAATCTTTTTCTGCAAATATTTTTACATATTCCCTCATCTTGAGGGTTGGAACGGCCGTCACTGAAATTTTGCTAAGCCACACCCCCTGGGGGGCGAAGTGGCCCCCCGGTTGACCTTCGACATTAAAATGGGGCTGAGATTGTAGGTCAATGTATGTGTAGTTTACATTCCAAATTTGGAAGCATTTGGTCTACCACAACGCCGGGCGCAGTATGGCGACACTTGCAAAACCCCCCATTTCAGCCCTTTTCAACCGTTTATAACTTTGCTTGGGGGATCGATGGAGCTTAGCTGTTTGCCGGATCACATGACACACATTCTCGAGAATCATCTCCCTACTAAAACCGTAGACCCGCTTTCGCCCATTTCGAAATTATAAGCTTTTACATTTCGACATAATTCAACAATTTCGACATTACGACATTGTCGCATAAGTATGTCGACAAGAGCAAAACTATCTGCGACCGTCTCCATATGCATAAGATTATGATCTTGCATAGTGTTAGTCTTGTCGACATACTTATGCGACAATGTCGTAATGTCGAAATTGTTGAATTATGTCGAAATGTAAAAGCTTATAATTTCGAAATGGGCGAAAGCGGGTCTACGGTTTTAGTAGGGAGATGATTCTCGAGAATGTGTGTCATGTGATCCGGCAAACAGCTAAGCTCCATCGATCCCCCAAGCAAAGTTATAAACGGTTGAAAAGGGCTGAAATGGGGGGTTTTGCAAGTGTCGCCATACTGCGCCCGGCGTTGTGGTAGACCAAATGCTTCCAAATTTGGAATGTAAACTACACATACATTGACCTACAATCTCAGCCCCATTTTAATGTCGAAGGTCAACCGGGGGGCCACTTCGCCCCCCAGGGGGTGTGGCTTAGCAAAATTTCAGTGACGGCCGTTCCAACCCTCAAGATGAGGGAATATGTAAAAATATTTGCAGAAAAAGATTCGGGGAATTTCTAAAATCTGGCCCATAAGGTCGCCGCAGCGTGCTAACCAGGGAAGAGCCGAGGACCCTGAACCCGTCCTTAGCGGTAAGGCTAAAAATTCGTCTTATTTAACACTGTGCGGTATTACATATTTTACATCAACTTATAAATATATAACTTTAATTTGGTACACACTTATTGTTAGTGACGACATGTGGCGGCTTTGTGAACGCATCCTCGGCCTCGATCGAGTTTCAACTTGGCGGTTCAATCCGTGCGGATATGAGGTGCGTCTAGATTGTGCAGACACCTTATTTTACGCAAAGGTTCAACCTGATAGCATCCGGTCTTAAAGAAACAGATGGTCTTTACATTACTGCGGTATCAAAGGCTTGGCTTGACTACACTGAAAAATTGTAAGATTTCAATATACGGGTTTACAACAACATTTAAATTTTTGCCGCCCGGTATCACTTTACTGCAGTATCTAAAGATTTTTCGGATTAAAAGTAACCCGGATCCATGAGTATCGAGTAATACATATTGCTCTTCATTGGAGAATAAAATTATTGTTTTAGAGATTCGCTTGGGCAGAATATAACTCTACAGTCAAAAAGTGCCATGATCACCTTGATCGTTGGACACGCACCGACGCTTGGATTCAAGATGGAATATTATGCGAGCGGTGCCTCCGTTAGTCCAGATATTACCGGTGCCGAAATCTTGACTACGGCAAAGGGAAATTTGACTTACCCAAGAAACGGCGGAAATTATGATTTCTATGAGACTGCTTTGTTTCCCATCGCCCCAAGTGTCCCCGGACAGCCGACCCTCCGATTTACGAGGGTGGATCTTGAATCTGATTCTACCTGTTCGTACGACTCCATTCGGATTTACACATGGTTTGACGGCGATTATCGACAAGCTTCAGGGTTGGCGGGTCAAGGTTTTTACTGCTTTGAGAATAGAAATTTATGTATTTTTATTAATTTTCAGATTTTGTGGGAATACAATTCCAACCAGTGTAACGTTCCAGGATGGCGTGCTTTTCGTCTTGTTTACATCAGATGGTAGCATCTTAAAGACTGGGTTCGACTTCCAATATGAGTAAAATGATAAATACATTGTTGCATAAACTATTTGTTTAAGAACGACATAATAAAAAATTATTAACTTGCGATTAATACATTAAGTCAGGATTCGTAATAGACTAATATGTATTACCTTAATAACTTTAAATAATAGTAAATATTCTCGGAATTGGACATAATTTTTACAAGCATTTTAATGTGTAATATATACGAGCACGTTTGTATTTACAGTTTTAATCGTTTTCCTAGATATTGTCTAGTTTGATTACGTATTATAATTACAAAACCTGTATTCAAACTAAACCATATTATAAACGTGTTATCGCAGAGTGCAGTGGAGAATATGTGGAGAATAAAAAACCAAGTTAAATTCTGAAAAAGTCTTGAAGAAGTTGTTTCGGATCTGTAAAACTGGGCCCTAAAACTGAGTTTTTCCCATTAGTTCTCATTTTCCCCATGTCCCACCTATGCATTTGGAGTGGGTGGTTAAAAGACCATTTGTCTCACGTTTTTTCACAGAATATAGATTCTACCAGAAGAATCGATCTTATGTATTCGAGTGAGGCTTATGGAAGAACGGGGAGAGCCAACCAAATAACTCGGTGTACATTTGGCCCACCTGGGGGATGGCACCTCCGCATCATCATCATCACCACACCTCCTGGCATCAAAAAATGATGATGAAAGCACATAGGTGGCGGTGGCACCCCCATTTCTGCACCAGAACACACCCTCGTAGAGCATCAAATTTGTGGAGACGCAGCTCAGAATGGTGTGTTCTGGTGCACAAATGGGGGTGCCACCGCCACCTATGTGCTTTCATCATCATTTTTTGATGCCAGGAGATGTGGCGATGATGATGATGCGGAGGTGCCATCCCCCAGGTGGGCCAAATGTACACCGAGTTATTTGGTTGGCTCTCCCCGTTCTTCCATAAGCCTCACTCGAATACATAAGATCGATTCTTCTGGTAGAATCTATATTCTGTGACGTTTTTTTCCTAGCCAATTTCGCTCTTTTCCATCGGAACGCTGGTGAATAGGCTGACTTTAATTCACAGAATTAGAGTATACTAGTATATCTAGAATATGGAATCTATTGTAAAAACGCGTCAAGTTTGCAGCTCTGACGTCACTGTGCTCGTATCCTTACCATGTGAGCCAACACCGTAGGATAGGAGCACAGTGACGTCAGAGCTGCAAACTTGACGCGTTTTTACAATAGTTACCAACATTTCATTCATTCTGGTAATCACCACGGAGAGGAACTAAAAATAACGCATTTGAGACATGTAGATGGCGGAGAGTGTTGCGCTGAGAGTTTTTTGGTTATGAAGGAACGAGAGAAATCGTTAGTTGAAATCAAACTTTTGGTGACCAACAATTTCATCTCACAACTAGTGCTGCCATCTACATGCCTCAAATGAGTTCTTGTTAGTTCCTCTCCAAAGCGATTGGTGTCCAACCATACCAAGCATAACTTTGAGATTTTTTTTTAATGGGTAACGATCCTCTTGCTTTAATTAAACTGAATAAGCCGTTGCAAACGAAATGTTGCAGAAGGGGTGAAGCGACACGGTCACGCGGTTATGGCGCGTCAAAACTATGTCTACATTTGAAATTCCCGCCCCAAACCAGGTCTAAAACGAACAAGACAAAAAATTCGACTCCGTCCACCGTTGACTTCATCCCCTGGCGCCGGGACCTAATGACCTACGACGCCCATCTTGGAAATCATCTACACTTAAAAAATTTGAAGCATGTTAGCGGAAACCGTATATCGAAATTAGAATCCGTTCTAAAGTTATCTCTGATACGGACAGACAGACCAGACATTTCCATAAAGGGATTTCGCTTCGCTTCACCCTTTAATAAAACTCTCAATCCCAGAGCTCGACGGATATCATGGATATTAGAGGTTTGGAGGGAGAGAATTTTTCATGGATATTGGAGGTTGGATATAGGAGGGCGAGATTTTGGCATGGATATGGATACTTGGATATTGAAGGGCGATGGGCGGTGTTTAGGCATGTAGCAAATGTATTTGGTATATTGGAGGTTGGAGGGCGAGATTTTGGACCGGATATCGAGATGTATTCAGATATTTGTAGGTTTTCAGCCGATATCCGCCGAGCTCTGATCCCAAATCTTGTAATTAATAGAGATATAAACACTTTTCCAATTGAAATATTTTCCCTTATAGCGTTACAGTTAAACTACCCTATACTTTGTTCATGGTAATGTATTTAGCAAAAAGGCGGAAAGTTTGCTCGTCTAAATTAGAATTTCATTCCGCGCACAAATATCTGACTATGCAGTAAAATTTTTGGTGAGGGTGAAGTGTCTGGAAAACATTTAATTATTGTTCCATACATCCCGAAATTTGCAATATGAAAGTTATATGATGTCTGTTTTTCAAATAAATATAGTTATGTATTTGGACCAAAATACTAAAATATTGGCCGAAATTTAACCAGAGGTGTCCCTTGTGGTTTAAAACTTGAAAATTGGTTAGTTACATGTCTGCATACCAAACATCCTGCCATGGGTCCCTACATAGGTTCGTAGAACATTGGATTCTTTGATTTTTCATTTAATAAAATTGTGCTTATCCATTCCCCAAGATGTTGACAATTTATTAATTAATTTGAGCAAGCTCCACTCCAACCATTACGTAACCATCATCAGTATTCGCATTGCATAACTGGTAATCTGTCAAAACTCGTGAACTCTTAATTGTACTCTGGGTTTTTGCCACTTGAATAAACTGGATAACTAACTAATCTGCCAAAACTCGTGATTCATGCTAAACTAACAATTGTAAGTTAATTAAATCTTTTAGCCAGTGTATCAACCCAACTTCGATAACATATTGCATCACAGCATACATATGTACTCTCGTACCTCGTGACATTGATAAAAATTAGTAATGACGCAATGAACCCTGGGCTGGACAGGACGACAAGCTAAATCAATTAAGCACGAAAATCAATTGTCGTGCAGAGTATAAATTTGAGACAAATTCTCTCCTTTCCAACCACACGATAATTATTCTTCAATATGAATTCAACTGGCACAATTGTTCTCCTCGCCTTCCTCTTCGCTGTGGTTACTGGTAAATACCCTACAAATCATATCGTCCATTCTCACATTGCCCCAGTTAATTAGTTTTCTGTGTACTTAATTCTAGCCGCTCCACAGCCTAACCAGGGAAGATCCGAGGACCCTGAGCCTGTCGTTAGTGGTAATAAAAAAACTCGTCATAGTTATGCATCACATTCTGGCATTACACATCTTGCATTTTAAATTTAGTGACGACATGTGGCGGTCATGTAAACGCCTCATCTGCCTCGATCGAGTTTCAACTTGGCGGATCAATCCGTGCCGATATGAGATGCGTCTGGATTGTGCGGGCGCCTTACGCCGAGCAAAGATTCAACCTGATTTCTTCCGGTCTTAAACAAACGGACGGCATTTACATTACCCCAGTCTCCTTTCGTGGGCTTGGAAACTCCGAAAAATTGTAAGGTTTTAATATGTACATACATATCATGGATCTGAGGCAATAAGACTATTTAAATTCTTTCCGCCTGGTGTCACCTTACCCCAGCAGTCTTACAATTAGTGCAACCGGTGTCCTTGACAGATCCATGTATTGAGTAACGAAGCATTATATTGTATTAAAGAAATCGAATTATTTAATTTAGATCTACGCTTGGTCAGAACGTAACTCTACACTCAAGAAGCGTGATGATCACCTTGATCGTTGGACACGCGCCAACGTTTGGGTTCAAGATGGAATATTATTCGAGCGGTACCTCAGTGAGTCCAGATATTACTAGCCACGCAATCTTGACTACGGCGAAGGGAAATGTGACCTATCCCAGTAACGGCGGAGATTATGGGAATTTGGAAAACGTCCTGTTTCCTATCGCCCCAAGTGTCCCGGGACAGCCGACCCTTCGCTTTACTAGGGTGGATATTGAGACTGGTTCTTCCTGCCAATTTGACTACGTAAAGATTTATAATTGGTTTGATGGCAATTATCTCCAAGTCGCGATGTGAGTTGATCAATGTTTTACCTGCTATGAGTATGGAAATTTATTATTTTTGTAATTTTCAGATTTTGTGGGACTACAATTCCAGTCAGTGTAACGTTCCAAGATGGCGCGGGCGTAGTCTTCTTTTCATCAGATTCTAGCTTTACCAGGGCTGGATTCGACTTCCAATATGAGTAACGTATTCAATAAAAATCATGAAAATATTGTTGATTTAACTTTTTGTATAAGAGGAACAAATTAAAAATTATATTTATATGGGATTAATAAAGATTTTTATAAATCATTCCATCTGAATTTAGAATTTTTTGATGCGATGTTGTTTTAAATTTTTGAGTATCAAGACATTACTAATGCGCATTAATACGAGTGCCTGTACAGTCGAACTGCAAGGTTGCCAATCTGAAACATACCTGTTAAAACAATTATTTTCACTCAAAAGTCACTCATCCCGATTTCTGCATTAAAATTTTCACTCCCATTCGGTCATTATCTTTCAAAATTGTTTCACTTCAACTCTTCACCTCCTTTGTTAATGCGCCCCATGTATTAAGCATAAGGTGAAAAATGAAATGAGTGACAAATTCACGTTCACTCGTCTGAAATGAGGGAATCTTTCATTCATTTAGATTCATATGAAAGGGAATTCAAATAGTCATTGACTATCACATTCACATGATCACTCATATGAATGAAAGTGAACAGGCATGGTCTCAAATTCTCCCAACTTGTATCCACGGCGGACTTTGAGACTGGCAGTGGCGTAGTTTCTCAGAATTCTCAATTTCTGTAAAAGTTTAACTGCATGCGAGTGGAGAGTATGTGCATATGCATTCCTGTCTGTAATAATTCAACACGAGTTTCCACGAGGGTGCGGAATATACAGCACGCTGTACATATGTATGAATGCCCTCAGGGTTGTCGGTTTTATTACAGATAGCATTTGCATAAATATATAAATGAGTCACATTTTATATTCAGAAAATCATTACATCGGGCTTCAAACGACTCAGATAGATAGATAAACACGATTATGTCATTGAATATAGAAAAATCTTGAATTCATTAACCACAGATAAAAATAATTTTTGTATACAAAGAGGTTAAACAACTAGGTTAAACAACTAGGTCTATAATTATAGATCAATAATTACGTAAATTCACCTCGTTACTATTCCTCCATCATTTTTATGACATGGAATATGAATTGCTAAACTTCTGTACAGAGGGTGGTTCAGCAAATAGGAAATCCCACAATGTTTTTATAACGGATATGTCCTCCTAAGCTACCGGTGATTTTTAAATACAATTTTATTTATTTACGTATTTGTCTGGTACAGACAGAATTGTTTTTCAAATGCTACCCCTATCAACAAATTAGCCACCATGTTCAATTAGCATGTCCGCGTCTGGTGTAGAATAAAACGTACGCCTCCTCCTGAATCTTCTCCTTTGAATAGGCTACATCCAAATTCACTATCTCAACCCTTTCGTCGCTAAACTTCCGCCAAGCATGATCCACGGGATTTTTACAGTACGCTGAAAAATGTACATACATATTTATATGCACTCAAAATAACAAGCGTCACCCACGGATGGACCGTCGTGCTCTACTTGTGATTAACGATTAAGGAGGCGTTACGTTACCAAAGGAAAATAAGTCAAAATTTATTGAACCAAAAGGACGTGACCAGATTAAAAATTCGACATTTTCATTATCTCAATATAAGATTTGATTATACGACAGTATTGAATTTTTTAATAACCACGTGATGTATGAATACATGAGTTTCTGACTTATTTTTCGTTGGTGACAATACGTCTCCTTAATAATTACCAAAAATATGTAGAAGCCCTTTAGTCACTCTGCGGGTGACCACTTGTCTCTAACTCATTATGTACAAAATTTCAGACCTGCGTAATAGCCACGGTTTAAAGAGCCGTCAAACGAAGAATAAGTGACAACGCCAAACAAGTCGTAAATATTGCCCTCGTTGCGTGGCGATTTTACCCATGGCGAAAGATCTAACCCCTCGATGGGATAGTCGACTCTTTTTCCTAGCGTTGGAACCCCCTAAAACGTAAATGTGCACATATACCTACCAAAGGGCGCTTTCGCTGGTGGTGACGAATTTGTCGTTGAATAACCCCGGAACGGTTTGTCGTAGCGGGTCAAATTTTGAACCGACGAGCATGTTATTCTCAGATAGAGGTGTGCAAAAATTCAACTCCCTACTTACAAAAATGCCTCCCCCACAGCCTCCCACAGAATATAGATTCTACCAGAAGAATCGATCTTATGTATTCGAGTGAGGCTTATGGAAGAACGGGGAGAGCCAACCAAATAACTCGGTGTACATTTGGCCCACCTGGGGGATGGCACCTCCGCATCATCATCATCACCACATCTCCTGGCATCAAAAAATGATGATGAAAGCACATAGGTGGTGGTGGCACCCCCATTTCTGCACCAGAACACACCATTCTGAGCTGCGTCTCCACAAATTTGATGCTCTACGAGGGTGTGTTCTGGTGCAGAAATCGGGGTGCCACCGCCACCTATGTGCTTTCATCATCATTTTTTGATGCCAGGAGGTGTGGTGATGATGATGATGCGGAGGTGCCATCCCCCAGGTGGGCCAAATGTACACCGAGTTATTTGGTTGGCTCTCCCCGTTCTTCCATAAGCCTCACTCGAATACATAAGATCGATTCTTCTGGTAGAATCTATATTCTGTGACAGCCTCCAGAAGTTGAGACACGCATAAAAACTGTTTCCAAACTTAAATACTCGTACAGCCGAATAACAAAACATCTTAAAATTGAAGAGAAAACGGTTTCGAAATCTGGAATCAATAAGGTATTGAAAAATATAGGGGAAAAGCGAGAAATTCTGAGTAGAGGGCAACCACCACCCCCTAGAAGAATGCAAAAAAAGTGTCAATTCCGACCGTGTTGAGGAAAATTGACCTATTGACCTCAAAAGATAATCCACCGACCCAAAAGGAAATTTCCCGTAAGGTTGGGGTCTCTAAGCGTTCAGTGGAACGAGAAATTACGATTTTGAAAAAAACGACTTGGTCGGAAAACTCGTGTGCATCAGCTGGCCAAAAAACAGGAAAAAAATCGCGCCTGTGTTTACAAATAAAATTATTTGAATTTTCGGTCAAGGAATCAGAGTGAGTTATTGGTGACATTTGACGAAACACTAATTTCTCTACAAGTTACTAATTGGGTTCCAAGAGCTTACTACACGACAAATGCCGAAAAAAATTCACGCAAGTTGGTGCTTCCGCGTAAGGAGAACTTTTTATAACAGCTTATGCTGGTGGGTGCAATGTCGGGTCCTGGTATCCTGCCACTTATCAAAGTGCCTCAAAAAGTGAAGATATCTGCAAAGTATGATGTGGACCGTGTATTGAAACCACTTTTAGAATAACACTTTCCTAAATTGTACGGTAAAAAAATAAATAAGGTGATTTTTCGTAATGACTCAGCGTTTTCCCAGGCGGAAAAGTTGACCCAAGATTATGCAAAGGACCTTGAAGCTAGATTGGGGATAAAAATCATTTCGAATAGTGAAATACCTGTATAATCCCCTGATATAAGTCAAATGGACTTGTTTGGGTTCGGATACTGGAAAAGAAACTCTTTTCTGGGGAGACCGAATTTTTTAGACGGAGTTTGGAAAGAGTTGGAATGAGTGTCTCAACTTCTGGGGGCTGTGGGGGAGGCATTTTTGTAAGTAGGGAGTTGAATTTTTGCACACCTCTGTCTGAGAATAACATGCTCGTCGGTTCAAAATGTTGACCCGCTACGACAAACCGTTCCGGGGTTATTCAAGGGGCCGTCCATAAATTACGTAACGCAAGAGGGGGGAGGGGGGGGGGTCATGGGAAGTGCGTTACGAATTGTTATGAAGGGGGTGGGGGGTATAAAAAATTTGTTACGTAACACATTTTATAAACTGGACTAAAATTCGCCAAATATGATACGCCGAGCATATTGAATTCATGTCATCCAAAAGATTTCAGTGTACGCATGTAAATATACATTTTTCATTAGTTTTCCAGGTGTAAATTGAGAAAAGGTTGCATTACAGTGGGGAATTTTAGGGCGGAACCGGTCAAGGAAAGGGGGGGGGGGGTAACGAGTCCATCGTTCGCTCTGTTACCAAGAAATATACGAAAAAATCTAGTTTATTTTTACATAGATATGTACAACCAGATCAATTCATTTGCAAAAGTTTGCGGTCAAACTTTGACCTTAAATATCTCAAAATGGAGTAACCGAAATGATCTGATTGTATTAGTAAAAATAAACTGGATTTTTGGCTCTATTTTGTGGTAACAGAATGAGCGATACCCCCTTTCCTTTCATCGGTGCCGCCCCAAAATTCCGCACAATGCATTGCGAGTGCTAAGTAAATCACCTGCGGTGAAATCAAATTTATGTTACTTTACGAAGGGGGAGGGGGGTAGTCGAGAAGCGTTACGATGCCGTTACGAGGGGGGAGGGGGGTCTAAAAAATGACGATTTTTGCGTTACGTAATTTATGGACGGCCCCCAACGACAAATTCGTCACCACCAGCGAAAGCGCCCTTTGGTATAAGGTTTATACTTTAATGGGGGCAGGCGTAATTGCGAGTTAACTAACCCTAGTCCCAAACCGGTTCAAACAAATGACCCAAATTTGTGGAGTTAACCATAGTTTAGTCTGCTTAACTACACCAAATTCCTTCTGACAATGGACACAGAAGTATGAACCGCTTATTTTTTCCGCTGAAATTATAATTGACAAAGAATCATGGACTTAGACATGTATATATTAATTAAAATTGTAAGCTTTTCACAAACTAATTGACCTACGAGCTGTGTAGCAGTCGAAACAATCTGCTAGAGTAACTGCGTCACCAGAATTTTCATTCGGCATTGGGAAGGGTAACCAAAGGGTCATAGAGGGGTCAAAGGTCAAGGTATCTTTGTTGCATCTCGAACAGGTCACACTTGTCCGAATAAATCCAATAAAATTATCTTGAACAATGGTTTTAAATCTGTTCAAGTAACCCGCAATCATTTCCGCTTCGAGTTGTTGCTCACTTTTATCCTTAGAAAACTATGTAAAGTAAAAATCAAATAGTTCGGATTAAGCTTTTAGAGGGATTTTGAGGGAGATTTTTAGAAATTCATATACTGACAAACATAAGAACGATACAGCACCACATATCTACATACCCCATTAATTTTTTGACCTACATATGTTACATATGTAAATACATAGGGCGAATGAATGAATTATTCATTGAATGAATAAAGAATGAATGAATAATTGAAAATTGAATTTTGATGTGAAGGAATTTTGAATGAAGGAAAAAAAATTGAACAGGTTACAGGTATGACCACATATAAGTAGAATCTCGCTATTTGCAATTTGCATAAATCAATACACGCCAATATTGACTGTTTTAGGAAATTCCAAACTTTTTCACCAAAGTCATATGAACTAGGGGAATGAATATTTTGTAATGTAACCAGACTGCTTTCCACACCAGAGCATGTCGATACTGCGTCGGCTTGGTCGCGCGAAGATCCAACTCCTCGCTGAGTGTGTCCAGCAGGATGACAAGAAATTCGAAAGCATCTTGCAGATCATCACCCTTCCATTGTGGGTAAACCTGACCTATTATTTTCTTAAATTTGTTTTTCATATCACGGAGAGTTCCGGGTGTAGATGGATTCCACATATTTTGAAAAAGTTGGGCCAATCCGTTAACTACCCTCCCCTGTAATTGCCAAAGACTCGTAAATTTGCGTACTTTGCTTAAATACTTTTAATTAAAATACACAGATGACAGACATATGTATTTGTAGTACTTATGTATAACCTATGTATGACACCGTATACTCTCAATGATTTTTTTGTATGATTGTTACTGGCGAAGGAAAGTACTATGAAATTCTACTACGCAGTGATAACACCATGGTAACAAGTTGGTTTCCTAGAGAAGAAATTATTGGCTCCAGTGTCGGTAATATTTTTATTACCAGACCATAGCGTTGGCATTGGGGGCTGAGCAGAATTCAAGCCCTGTATATAGGTTTCCCTTCAATGATGAATTATTACCAAAGCGGCCGAATTGCATATTTTGTGTTTTTGAAACTTTTTGAAATACAAAATATAATTAATCTATAAAAAATTGTCATTTTGTGACAAATGACGATATTTTGGTACAAAATTTGTTGTCCCTGGAAATACATTTGAACGCCATCATTGAACTCATACGGGACGAGACCAAAATATATACCCACGCGGAGCCGACTCCTTAAACCTCTATCAAATGGCTTACCCGACGAACTAATTACAAATTACAGATTGTATAAAATTAATGTATTAATGTATGTACGAGTTTTTTTCGCAACAAAGCTTAGATCCGGTCAATGTAACAAACCATAAGTAATTTTAAGCAAATTAACAATGTACATACATGTGCAAAAAATTACTCTGAAACGACATGACAATGTGCATGTATGTATGTATGTAACTATACAGAGCTGAATAATAAATAAGTAAAATGTACCTCCTTTTCCATATTAATTCCATACTTCTTCCTCAAATCAGTTTGATGTCCATTTGCCAAAAAGTATTTAACGAATGGTTCAGCGTTGCATAAACATTGCACAATGATATTCAACCAACCCGTATTTTCCTCGTTGGGCAGTCCAACAGTGGCAGGGACGAACTTACACTGGAGCTCAGCTGGGAAATATTTCAAGCAAAGTTTACAAATTTACAGTTTAGTTTTGTGTATCTAATAATGCTAAATGGATGACCTATTTAATTACTGCTTAAATACTTACGTGGCTTTGGTATTGGAAATTTGGTTCTTCTGTCCATATTCTTTAGCTTTATGTTGTTTAAAATTAATATTTTCTTACACGCACCTGTTGGTTTACTACGTATAATGTGGAAAGGATACGGACCAAAGTATGTACTGCGTAATTTGTGTGTTGATTAATGTCCATGCCTTGTCCATGCAATAAAGAATAATCAGCGCTAGTTTATGTAAAAAGGATCTGTATGGCTTTATGCATATCATACGAAAATAACTCTGAGTAAGCCGGTGACTCCAGAAATCCGTAGTTACATATTATGTGACTGTAGCAATGCGCAAACCTGTTGTTCGTACATATATTCGCGAACGTAAAATTTTTAGATGAGGTCACTATAATTTATGTATATGTGTATATGTATCTGTGCACAGATACATACACATATCCATGGATATGTAGATAAGAATATATGTAAATACGTGCAAAAAGGCAACAAAATAAAGTAAAATGAAATAATGTATTCTCTGCGAATTAAATTTATACTCCAGGTTATAAAACGACAGTTTGGACATTTAAATTAGTTCGGTGATCTACGTTTACATATATCTGCAATCTACATATGTGCATTCCTATGTATGTACATAAATGGTACAGTTCGCAAAATTATTGAGTGGACCTACATTTGGCAAAGGTCTTGCATTGTTTATGATGCATTTCTTTACTTACAATGGAGGCGCAAACCATGTTCAGCCCAGATTATTTTTTGACTATGTTAGTTTGGAAGAGCAAGTCTCTAGAAACAACATTTGGTTAGAATTAGAGTTATCGGACGACATGGTTGTTTTAATTCAGATATATTTATTCCTAGCTTTCGATACTCACTAGTATCATCTTCAGGGACAATATTTGAAATCAAGAAAACAAGATTGATTTCACTCACAATGCTAATCATAAATTATTGTTGTTATTCAAAAACGGTATCGTTGTCAGGGGCGCTTGATCAGTGGTAACATTAGTGAAGACCAGATAGGATTCAGGTTCATGCCGTGGTCTTGATTCATGGCGTCGGAGGTTTTACGGATGTACAGACTTTCAAGAAATTTTCTGTGAAAATTTCGCCGCTCGGGTAGAATTAGACTTGCTGAGTCTTGGTTTATATTGTGGTTGGGATTCTCCATGATGTGCAGTGCCACCGCTGATTTTACGTTTTTCTTTTTGATGTCATTTAGATGTTCTTTTACTCGTTGATTAAGCGGGCGGCTTGTCTCACCTATATAAATGGAGGGACAAGAGCATTTAATTTTATAAATTCCTACTTTATCGGATGGTGGATTCTCCTTGTAGGAACAGATTATTTGTTTCATCTTCTTCCCAGTCAAATATCCGAACTCGCAATTTAGGTTATTGCGTAAGTAATTCGTTAATCGGTGGGTGAGTGGTCCCATATACGGTAAGATTATTCTTGGTGATTTTGCCTCGTCTTGATTTTCATGGTTAGTAGGTTGGGTTGAAAATTTTGTCCTCATTTTTTCTATCCTTAATTTGATTAAGTTTTTCGGATATCCGTTTGTCATCAAAGAGCTTGTTATTAAATTGAGTTCATTTTCTAGATATTCGTCATCGCATATTTTGAAAGCTCTATAACTGAGGGCATCTATTACAGCCAACTTTTGGGATGGATGGTGGTATGAGTTATAGTTGAGGTATCTCCCAGTGTGCGTCGGTTTGCGATAAACTTGTCTGTGAATGGTTCCATCTTCATCTCGGGATATTAAGACATCCAAAAATGGCAGCTTGCGACTTTCTTCTGTTTCACATGTAAATTGGATACTGGGGTGAAAACTGTTAAGAGATTGGAGGATACTATCCTTCTTGCCTGCCTTGATACAGCCGTTGGAGTCATCCACAAACCTTTGGTAAAAAGGAATGTCTGGATTGTTCAATATTAATTGTTCTTGTAATTCTTGTAGACAAAATTCTGCAAAGACCGGTGAAATTAGGCTTCCCATTGGTGTTCCATCTTTTTGTCTGTAAATCTTTCCTTTTCGGGTAAAATAGTTGGAGTTGACTGTGATTCTGATTAGTTTCATCACTTCTTCCGAGGTCAGTTTTGTGACAGCTTTCCAATCGTTACAGGAGTCCAGTCGTTTCTTAATATAATTCAGGGTTTGTTGTATTGGGACGCGTGTGAATAGTGAAGTGACATCAAATGAGATCAATTCATTGTTGGGGGGGACAATGAAATTCTTGATTTTGTCTGCAAATTCATATGAATTTTTCAGAGAAGTGGGGAATTTGGACGTGACACATTTTAGAATCTTGTTGAGGAAATGAGCTAGATTATAAGAAGGTGAATTTCGGAAATCCACAATCGGACGAAAAGGTACACCGTCTTTATGGATTTTGGGGAGTCCATAGAATTTTGGGATCTTTGAGTTTGAAGGAGAAATGTGTTGGTATTGATTTTTGTCAATTCTTTTTAGTTTGAATAAATTATTCGCCAAGGTGTGAATTTCTTGTTCCACTAATTTCGTAGGGTCGGTGGGGATGATGGTGTAATTCGGATCATTAAGTAGCTCTTGAACTTTCTCGTCGTATTTGGTTGTGGACATGATCACTGTCATATTTCCTTTGTCTGCAGGGACGATTGTAATAGATTTATCTTGTTTGAGATTTTTACAAATTGGTTTCAGCCACTCGTAGTTTCTGGACACTTCGTCTGGCTTGTTGATCTCTGAGTGTAATATTCTGGAAATTCCTGATCGAATTTTATTCTTGTGTACTTCCGTTATTTCGAAGTCATTCAAACATAGTTCTATATTTATGCCTGCTTCTATAATAAGGTCCTTGTGTTTGAAATATGGGAGGGCGTAATTTAGACCTAGTTGAAGTGCTTTCGTTTCGTCCTCTGTTAGTTCGCGATGGGATAGATTTACTATACTTTTCTCTATGTCGTGGTGTGTAGCTATTTTGCTGGGAAAGGGTTGATGTCTGGTGGCTTTTGTTGTGATAGTTCCTCTCAGGAGATGGTCAAATTTCTTTGCTTGTAGGGTTTTGGTCTGTAGATTGAAAGCCATTTTATCATCACGCATGTATTTTGACACTTTCTCGTTGACAGTTGGAGGAAGAGTTATGAGTTGTTGTTGTTTAATTGAGATCGATTTCTTCAATTTCTCCAATTCAGCAAATTTGAAATGGATTTGCAGTTTAACCAAAGTTTGTTCTGCTTTTTTGAGTAAATCGTTGGATCCAGGAATATGGCACCAATGGTTTTTGATCTTCATTCCTTTTGGGGTCAGATTGTGTGTCCGGCATCGTTTAAGGAATACAATATCATTGTTGAGTTTAACCGTTCGTTGTTCTTCTTTCTCCAAAAGTTTTATGCAGTTCATTATAGACGTGCCGAACCGTCTGGTTATAAAGATTTTGAGATCCTTCCAACCATGATATTCAAAATTAGAATTAGAGTTATCGGACGACATGGTTGTTTTAATTCAGATATATTTATTCCTAGCTTTCGATACTCACTAGTATCATCTTCAGGGACAATATTTGAAATCAAGAAAACAAGATTGATTTCACTCACAACATTTGGTTCACCACTTGCGCAGATGCGCAAAATTCAGAAAGTTATGGGCGCCTCAAGTTCGCAAAAAGTGGTCGAGAGTGAGCTCGCGCTGGACCTTGGATCAAAAATCATGCGTTTTTGCGAACTTGTGGCGCCCATAACGTGCTGAATTTTGCGCATCTGCGCAAGTGGTGAACCAAATGTTGTTTCTAGAGACTTGCTCTTCCAAACTAACATGGTCAAAAAATAATCTGGGCTGAACATGGTTTGCGCCCCCATTGTTAGTTGTGCAATTTTTTTCAATTTGCATACATATGTAACCGAACTTACACTTAATAATAGCAGTTGTAGATATTTATCGTACCAATTTCATCATTTTATTTTACTGTGCGTAGATATGTACAAAAATACGTACATACGTACATAATTGCACTATATATATTGCATGTACATACATACAAACATACACTCTTAGCAAAATGGTATTTAATCATCACCAATCGGAGTGCATATATGACATAACCTACGAAGTGATAACGGAGATTACCTTATGGTGAAAAATATTCACCGTCTTTGAAAAATATTCACCGTCTTGGTGATGAAAACTCACCACTCAGAATCAAACTATTACTAACCCGGAGAGAAGTTATCACCAAATCAATACCATCACGGAGTGTACATAAGTATATGTGACTTCACCACATTTTTAACAGTTTACTTGTGTATGTATGTATAAGTGCTCCGTTGTTTTTGGACGGTGCTTTTTGGTCTTTAACGTAGTTTGGACAACTTGGTTTATTTTTTTCTGTAATCCCCGATTTATGTAAAGGGGGGATTTGAAAGGCAAATTAAACTTTAATTTAGCTGATCTGCGTGATCTAAGCTCTCCGCGTTCTATGCTACACTCTAAATAACTTGGAGACAAATCGTCACCCGAGATAATTGCTGGTCGCATGAAATTCCAGACGATAAAACTTGTCTTCGCTTAACGTTTATGTCCACGAGATCGCTGGAAAAGTAATGGCGTATCCTTATACAAATTTATTCAGTTATAAATATGCATGTGCAGAAGAATTAAATAATGCAATTGGTACGAGTAATTTCAATAGGAAGTTTGTTCTACTCTCTTTTTTTTTGATCACAACTTTTCCATACATACATATGTGTATAAGATAAAAACCTGTTTTAAATTTTAGTCAAATACGGGAAAATCGAAAACCGGTTTTATGAAAGTATGGCGAAATCGAAAAAGTGGAAAACCGATTTTTCATACTCTTCCGATTTTGAATGACCGAATGGGTAAACCTACTAGAATCGGATTTGGTCTGGATTAATCCAACTCTAAGCAATACACCCGACTCACTGTTGGTTTTACTAATATGTAAATAATAACTCATTTTGTATCAAATTAAAATTTCCGAACTTCAGTTCATCCAATTCCTTTTTCAACATATTTAAGTACTTGAAAAACGTCTGATTAGAGTGAAGAAAGATAGCTGACAAGCTGGCGTCTTGCCACATTGTTGACCGTGTGAGATTTGCATGCAAAAACGCACTGAATTATTAACTAAGCTAACGCATGTACATGCAAACCTATGCACACGTGTAAAACCTGTGCCTTTAAAAGATGTGAAGAATAATAAAAAGTCCCTCCTGAAATTTGTTGTACCATTTGCATCATTTAATTTTGTTACACGTGCGCATGTATGCATGATTCAATAATGTATATGTATATTTGCACATTTACACTTTATTGTATACAAAGTACTCGACCAGCCCCGGTTTGGATGAATCAGTTTTTTATAAGGTAAGATAGTAAAAAGATGAAAAATTTTCCCGTCTTGAATTTCATACGAGAGACCAACATCAGAACGTCCACAAAATTGCTTAGTTGTTAGTGAGGGGAAAGTTTTACGTTCCTAAATACACGTTTTATCATTATCGTTTGCAACATGAAAGTTACATAATTACATACCTGCTTTTATACCACATATTTTCATATCAATATATGTAACAAGTATTGCTTGAAATTTTAAGCTTAGATTTATTTTAATATTGAAACTAGGTGCTTTTGTCAAACTTTCTGAGATGGTATATCCATCCCTGATTATATGCTGTAGCATGGAAAATACTTGTATTATTAGCTCACCCTGCGTAGCATGAGAGCTATTGAATTCCTCTTGTCCGTCCGTCTGTTAACGAGTTTTTTGCATCAATTGATGCTAATTAAACATCCCCTTGACCAGTTTATGGTATTGCACAAACCGAATCGATTTTTTAATGAATTAATAGCACCGTTGATATCTAACAATCGGTAACCCAAAATGATGCGAAATAATTGGGGGAAGGGATGCAAAACGCACCAGTAGTTCAGAATATCCGGGAGAAATGATCATACAATTTTGACATACATTTTCAAAAAATTACTGGTCCGCATTAAGCGACCATTGCCGCTTAATCTACATCAGGTGTGCAACATTATCTTGCATTTTGTAAGGACTGGTCACTGATTGAAAGTGTCAAGGTTCCTCCTACTTTTTCAAGCACTTAAAAACTACTTTTGGATATGTAAAAAACATCAAAATTTGGAAATTTGATAAGCTTTTGAAAACCGAAAACAGAATTTGGTTATCCATTTTCGTTAAAAAATGACAGCACAAACTTTAGGGAAAGTGCAAAAATGAGTTTGCCACTCTTGCGAAAATCTGATTTTCTTGGATTGGAAAAAGGCTCGTGACCACCCCATTTTTCAAGGGATGCACCGGACAAAACTAATCATACACTATACGTATCTAAGGATCGTGAAAATGCAAAATATTAAATTTGGCCTTGCCGACCTGTCCGCCAGCAGACCAAAACACTAACGAGAAACTTGAAAAAACTTATACAGAAAACCCCAACAGATCCGTGAGGGTTGCACCCAGACAACTAAACATTTCAGAAACCTATCTTCGCAAGATCATAGCCAACAAGTTGGGCTTCAAAACTTGCAACATTATAACCGCGCTAAAATACAATGAAGATAAAAAATCTGGGGCTAAAACAATTTGTGGAGAACTTGCTGAGAAAATGTTAAAATCGACTTCGAGAAGTTTCTCGTCGTGGATCATGAAAACTACTGCCCCCGTTGACCTCGAAGCGTCAATCATGTAAAGTTCTACTCATGTAGAAGTAAAAATGACGTTCGTTCGAAGTATAAATTCAAAACCAATGAAAATTTCTAATGAAATACATAAAATGGCTGATGAACGACAAAAATGGGAGTGTCTCAAATCCATTCGTTTCCACGAAGAATCTGAACTTTGGACTTTATTTGAAAGAATGTATCATCAAAATATTGACTCCCTCTATCAGATACAAACGCGTTTTATTTTGGTCTAACATGGGTACGTGCTAGAATGCCAAAACAGTGACAGGGTACCATCGAGGGGAAAAAACTGATTTCGTCACGAAAAAAGACATCACACCAAACGTACCTCAATGTCGATCCATTGACAGATTTTGAGCATTAATTTAGAAACAATATACTCCGAAAGAAAGGAGAACTAACAATTTTGAAACATTTCGGCGGGTTATGGAGAAAACCATCATAGAAATTGACGAAACGAGTGGCAAAGCGCTCATGAGAGGTGCTCGACAAAGCCTTCTCTTTACCGGTAGTGAAGGTGTATTTGGACCAAACACGGATTGAAAAACCTTCGTCTGGTCATCGTTAGTATTGCACAAAAGTTTCATTACATTTGATTCATGCATTCATTTTTGGCAGGTCAAAATAACTTGACACTTTCAATCAATGACCAGTCCATATTTTCCTCGTTTATTCTGCACCATTGGTGCATATCTGTATAAAAAGTATGGATTTATTTTGTCGGATTATTCTGCACTTTTGGGGCCAGTTAGTAGCAAACCATTAGTACAAGGTGAGCTACTTCTAACGTTACTACGGTTTATTCTCTTCAACCGAACCTTAGGACGTTTGATTTTTTGTTTTACAAAATTATGCTGATCCATTTTCCATAATATACTTTGCATTGTCATGCAAAGTATAAATTTGAGACAAATTCTCTACTTTCCAATCAAATCATAATTTGCGTTCAACATGAATCCAACTGCCCCAATTTTTTTGGTCGCCTTCTTCTTCGCTGTGGTTACAGGTAAATACATACCCTACAAAATTATACTTCTCACCTTACCCCAGATATTTAATTTTATATGGACGAATTTCTAGCTGCTCCACAGCCTAACCAGGGAGGAGCCGAGGACCCTGAACCCGTCCTTACCGGTAAGACTTAAATTTAATACCGCACAGTAATTAATATATGCATTTTATATAAGCTTACATATTTATGTCTTTTATCTTTATGCACTTATTCGTAGTGACGACATGTGGTGGGAATGTGGACGCATCTTCGGCCTCGATCGAGTTTCAACTTGGCGGGTCAATCCGTGCCGATATGAGGTGCGTCTGGATTGTGCAGGCGCCTTACTCCAACCAGAGGTTCAACCTTGTTGCTTCCGATCTGAAAGAAAGCGATGGTCTTTACGTTATCGCGCTGACTGGGACTGAACCGACCCAAAAATTGTAAGATTTTGATATTTTTTCTGTCTCCATGACTGGTCACAACGATATTTAAATTTTTGCCGTCCGGTCTCACTATATGTATACCTCAGTCACCTAAGGATTTTTTAGATTAAAAGTAACCCAGATCCAGTAGGATCAAAACAAAAAACCAATTTACGTTAGACAAATGAATTATTTATAGATCTTCACTTGGTCAAAATATAACTCTGCAGTCAAAAAGTTCGATGATCACGTTGATCGCT